CTCCAGAAATCCATTTCTTCTTGAAATGAGCAAAAACTGCTTATGCCAAATTTTTTATGCAGTGATATTCTAGAAATAAAAATAGGCTACAAAGTAGGATCACAATAATCATCTCTTGTAACATTTTCTGTTATGGCATATGTAAAGGACAATTGAGTTATTTCATAAGGGTCATTGTTTTTCAAGCATGCATGATAGCTCGCACAAAATCGGATATGTTTACATTTCCATGCGAATCGTCATGGCCAGCCAGAAGTTGATCAACCTAAAAACGAAGGATTTATGGCATTTGTATCGGGAAGTGACAGAATTTGAACTCATAAGCATCTATATTTTGCGGTTGCTCATTAAAACTAAATTAATTTTGCATTTTTTGAAATTATCAAAAAGCTCTCTTATTTACAGTTCCCCTTCATGGATGTGTTAGATCTTCTCAACCATCTGATGAATTTTACTGTTGATTTCTTTCTTGCAAATTAAGAAAAAAAAATTTCTTAAAATCGAAAAACCTGAATTCATGACTTACTTCTTCATCTGACAAACGTTCGCCGAGGGTCGTTAACAGATGTCGTAACTCGGCAATATTGATTAAGCCATTTCCCTATAATGATAAATTCTACATATTTAAAAAATCGTAAAAGTTCTCCTTCGGCCTGTGCAGTGATACAGATGTTAAAACTACCTCTTTATCAAAATGAGATAATCCTTCCACGAATTCCTCCAGTGTATGGTTTTCGCGGCATTTATTCACTGATTGATAAATTGGGACAAAATCTTCGAATGTAATACGGGTCTCTGAAAAAAATACATGAATTGCTCCGATTAAGAAAATTAATGTTAAAATTAAATTCCACATAATACATAAAATTTATTCCGCAATTGAAGCTGAAATTTCGATAAATCCTAGTTAGGTCTACAATTTTAATTAAAATCGTGATATTACTGTTACTGACAAATCTATACTAAGGACTGGTCAACATTGAACAGGTAGGCTCCTCATTATTTTCAAGTATGCTTTTGTACCTACTTGCAAGCAATATTAAATTGCTTTTGCATGCAAAAGCGTTGAATAGGATAACGGATTCCTCGATCTTTTCCTCTTTCTTTCAAAAATAAGATGAAATTTGCAAAAATTAGATTAATAAATTTTTAACAATTTACCAGGATCAGTCCAATGCGAACAACATTTTTGGATCTCAGCTTCCGTCGGGTTTTGTCCAAGTGCACGGAGAACATCACCAACTTGCGCTACTCCTATTCGTTCGTCCCCCTGAATATATGAACTTAATTGTAGATCACAACGATATCTATCAATCTTTAAGTTACACACCTTTGAATCGAAGTAACAAAACACTTCACGACATTCCGACAACTGTTCATCAGCAGACGTCATTGTTTCGTGCACAAATTATTATTCCGGTTAGCCCTGAAATTTCATAATATATCTAGAACATCCTTCAGTTACCCTTTCGAGTAGCTAAAAAACGTAAAAGTAAAAACATAAAGTTCCAGAAATTCACATAAAGCGCTAGTCCTTTTTTTTTCAAAATATCTCATCAAAGAATAAAAGTTTCCAACGAAGTTCAACCTCCATTACATGTGTGTATGAAATTGTAAATCGGAATTATTGCAGCCAAACCGACTAGAACAAAATAACTTGACTAATCAAAAGTTTCACATGCAGTGGTACAAAATATTCTATTGAAAACTATGACAATTTTCAAAACGCCATGAAATAAACAATAGCAAACAAATAGTTCTACTGATCCTATAATGTTAAGGTCAAATTAAGCCCACATGGTGATTCATTTCAATCTTGGATTTGAACCATTTCACAATCACCGACTAGTTGTATAGTCATAACAGATCCACCTTGACCTGATTTTACCCATCCCGTCCTTTGTCTTTAACAAAGATTCTTCAACTGAATATATTAACATTATGTTTCGATTCATACGAATTAAAACTAAATTTTCAATTTAATAACTTGTTTTTGCACGAAAATTTATTTCACATCATGGGCTGAGAAGAGAACATTCAAGTCCATTGTAAACAAACGTTAACAATCAATGATGGCTGGAAAAAATGGAATTAAATTAAATTAAAATTTGCAGGGAATTAAAGTGAAAATGAAGAGATTAAAGTAGATGTCCTGGCAGGTGAGATCATAAATTAGCACTAAGAAAGCCAACATTTAAAATGCAGCAAAAGAAGGATGAAACCAATGATATTTCTTTTTCAAAATCATATATAATTTACACATAAATGATTTAAACCATTCCGCTCACGATATAAAGCAATGAAGCTTCATTTTGCTCTACTGAAAATACTGCCATCTTCTCTGGTACAATACCTGAAGCAATTGAGAAATTCAGCTTCATATGTTCAATATTACAAAATTTAGCTAAATTTAGCATTAAGATGAGCTATTCTTCGTTAACTACTGATAAATTATAGTGGCTTTTTAATCCCGAATTTGTATAGAATATATCCCTACAATAATAGAAGCAAAGAAATGAAACTCACTGAGCAATATTCGCGACATTGTGAAAAGGGTGGAAAAACTGCGAAGAAAAAGATAAACTGCCTTAATATCAACACGCACTGTTCGAAACGCACCTGAACCATCTGCATCACCTACTGGAATATATGAATATATTGTATTATTCTTATCGTAATAAGTACCAATAAATCCTTATTAAGCTTAAAAGTCACAATTAAGCCTATTGTAGTCAAACTACGGTTCAATAACACGGAATTTCCAAGTTAAATAATGGTTGACAACAGAGAAGTGTTCGACGCTAGTAGCCATTGATAACAAACAAATAAAATGTAAGACCAAAAACACGTTATCGATAGTGATTTCTCCCAAACCAAATTCCTATATTAAAAGGTGTTTTTTATCATCGCAATCATCAAATCTTCTCTTTACATAGTCAGAAAGTTTTCCCGAATGCGTATTGTCCATACAACATTATTAATGAAGACTGGAGCAAAAACAGAATTTGGAAACTAATTGGACATGTTTTGATTACAGAATGAGAAAGTTATGAACAGTACCACGATCATTCTGCAACGAAACAGCGGAAAGATTCGAGAAATGTACTACAATATTTGCCATGTCCAAGTCACTACAAAATTGAAGTTCACCTTCCTGATTTCCTTTAATCTCCTGAAAAACAAAACTCTAGTCTTTATACTCATCTTGATATCGACTAATAGAACCATTTCATTTTTGTAAATAAAAACTTACCATATATTTTACTCCCATATTCTTGAACGAAGTAACCAAACTACGTACTGTTGATAGAGGTGGAAGATATAGAGTGACCTTAAATTTTTTCAATGAGCAACAACCAGAAATTGGGAAAATTAAATTCTTGAAAAAGCCGCAACTTTTTTAGGCAATAATCATCCTCTTCATTTCCTGCCAGTTGCTAAGGATAGAGGGAAAAAAACTTTGTGATGCAGGAAAATGCATTACAATTAAAATGTGGCATGATATCTGGTAGTTCTCCAAACTAAACACCCCGTAAAACGATGATAGTGTCGCATGGCAATGCATGCTGCATTATACTATCACCGTTTTAGAGAAGGTGTTTTAATAAAGGATAAAAACAAAAATCTATCTTATTTATAAAAATATCAATGAATAATAATGTTTTACGGTATCCAATTACATACTACACCGCATTACTTATCTGCAACTAAACTACAGGCTGAAATAACTATACATGAATTTTCCGAAAGGTAATCATGTTAAACATCAAAACGATTCATTCAAGTCATCTATTAGCTCGAATATTAATGCTTGTGAATTGTCAAAAAATGCTGTACATTTGCCAAGCAGCAATTAATAAACTACCGAAATATTATTTAAAGCCGGCATATCGTAGGTCTTCCAATATTTGGTTGGAATCAATATTACAGGTAACTCATGAGTCATCCCACACGACCTCTGTTCCACTTTCAAATGTGGTACATTGCCAAGCTTGATCAAACGAATTTTTGTCGACCGATCCTTCACACTTAAACTTCTGAACAAGTAATCTTTCTCCACTTCCATATAGATTTCGTTGAATTCTTCTGACACGCCGCCCATTATGTACGTTGAAAAAAATTCGGTCTGAATTTCGAAATTAAGAAAAATTTCAACTGGTCGAAAATGAAATTTATATAATTGATCCATAAGTTCACATTAAATACTCACCGAGCTTAAATAAATTTCAACTTTTTGAACAGTCATCGAATACCTCTTATTTTAAAGAAAAAAAACTGGAAAGCCTCAGGATGTATACCACAACCTAATGCGAAGTTCACATCACTAAACTGTTAGGAATCTTCCGAAATTGCCAAGGAACAGATATTTGAATAAATGCATTTCCTACAAGTTCCGAAACTCACCACATTAAGTGTTATTTGTAAATAATTTCCATTATTAGCTAATGGACAAGGATTGAGTAAGTAAATGGCATCAGATGTAATTCGCAACGTCACCTTATCTTTGCATAACTTTGCAACAAATTCGGTGATTTCTGAAGCGAAAAATTCACATAAATTTTCAGTAATCAAGGCTATGATTAAGAAATGAATGTTTAACAATTGCGCTCGAGAAATATATTACACGAATTTTTGCAGTTATATTGCAAATAAAGATAATACTACTGAAGATTTAGTTGATTAATAAAATTAAATGACAAAAAGAGAATAGACTAACAACATTAGCTTACTTGACAGAGTGTCCGCCGCACCACTCTCTGCCAAAACAGCAAGGAATTTCATATCTGTAATTCAACATTTTTAATAATAACATGGAATGAAAATGTGGAGAAATTATCATGACCAGTTTGGCGATAAAATTTCATTAACATGGTTTTAAAAAAGCGGGAAAATTGAAGCATCCAGAGAGTCCTTGCAATTGAAAGTACACGAGTGATACACAACGATGCTACAGAATATGCAGCAAACAGTTTACTGCCAAGATTTATTCATAATATACACTATATCACAATATCATGTTCAATTTCCACCAATCCACCTTCCTGCAAAAAAGAAAACTTGAACAGAAAACCAAGAAATTTTAAAGAAAAATGATCTAAGGAAATGACTGTGACATGTGATAGATAAAAGACAAAAGCATTATGTGCTAACACTAATGTACCGTTATTTTGAATAATATTGAACCATTAGGAGCAGATGGCGATTTTGTCAGGAAAATTGAATTATTTCGGGAATTAGCATTCGGTGGGCATAACCACAAACGTGTATTTGGACGATGAGACCTAAAAAAACATAATCTTCAGCTAAAGCCAAAGTTTTTCTTTATAAATTTGATCAAAGAAATTTCAAAAATTTCATAGTTCATGACTTATATCTAATATATTTATATGTATGTTCCTTTTAGCCAATAAAACAAAAAAAATGAAAAAGTTGCCATGAAATCCCCAATGCAGATGCAAGATGCGCTTCACCATCTCTCTCATTTTCAAAACGATAAGTAACATGATTTACAGCAACAACCGGAAATAAAAATTGTGATAAATTACAGTAGTAGAGAAGCTTCGAATTCTACAGCATCAAAAATACAAAACCAACAATTCATTAGAATGGTTGAACTTTTGACAAACACAAAAATTTACGATCAATCTATAAGAAGCAGCCAATTTTGACAGAATTCGTGAAATTTCTAGTCTCGATCGTAACGCATAGTCATTTTCACCACGCAGAGGCATTGCAACACTGTCTACAATTATAAGACCAATCTGAAATTCCATTCCAGTTATTTACTGACTGGAAAAAGTTGGTTACTTTGTTGGAAAAGCTTACGAACAAATTTGTGAATTATCATAAAAAGAATAATACGAAACGCAAGATCAAAAAAATAATATAATGCATCAATGGCACTACAGTCGGATGAAGCATCAAAATAAATTACACATTCTTTTTCATTTGGAACATTGTGATTCTGTGCGAATATAAAAATTATATCGTAACTTAGAAAATTTGTTTTACAAATGACATAAATTGTAGAAAATTTTCGAATTTTGTTATGTCAGTGAATTCTAAAATTATGCTAAGCTTTTTTCTGTTCTCTAAAAAATAATGCAAATTATAGGCCGAATTTCCAGATTTTGTTGAAAAAGAAAAACATTCTAAATTACACTGCAGCTCAGTATACTATTTTTATAAATGATAAAGCAGAAAAACAGATAATAAGAAAAATTAACGAACCTCCAAATTCTGTTGTACCAACAATTCTAATTGATGAATGGTGCTTGTTAATTCGATCAGATCACGACAACGGCTAACTCGTATATGTTTCAATGATTCCAACGGCTTGATTGCTCTTAATACTTTGGTTGCAATATCACAGATACGTTCTGTGTGGAATCCACCTTCTGTATCCACATATACACTATCCTTTTTTGTCTTATTTTTCTGCAGATTAACTGCTAACTGCATACTGAATAAAGTATATCAAAGTTTAAATGGAAATTTTTAAAATAATTTTTACCTGGAATGCTCTTCTAAATCGTGGAACTCAAAAAAGAAATCACTCTTGTAATCTACACTTTTTTCCCTGAATAAGAGAAATTAAACTGACCAGAGTTGTGATTTTCCACTAGCTGATAAGCCAACAATCTCGAGAAAGGTACCTGGTAATATGCCACCGCCAAACAACGCATCTAAAGACTGCAAGCCAGTTGTAAGCAATTCATCTGCTTGTTCAAGTTTGTATAAATCGTATGCACTGATTAGCTCCATTATCACACCATTCAAACTGGAAATATGAAAATTTTAACTGTTAAATATACGAGAAAAGTGATTAGCAAGCATATGAAATGAAATTACAAGTATATAAATAACTACAGGTGATTAAGCAACTGAATAATAAAAATAATGTTGTAACAAACAAATATTTGCAAAAAATAAATATATATAAGAACAAAAAATAAATAGATAAGTGGTGTACAGATGTGCTCGCTATTAAATACAGATAGAAGAATAAAGAACTGATAAACTGATAACTGATTAACAAGTATTCCAGTAAATAACATTACAGCAAATAAGCATTTATTAACGTAAACAAGGCAAAATCAACACTACAAAGAAATATTCCAAAAAAAAGCGTCAAATTTCCAAATTCACCAACATTCATTCAACAAACAGAACAGGCAAACAGAACACAAAGAGTGATCCCAGATAGTGCATCCCAGATAGTGCTAAGATCCCAGATAGTGCAAAGAACAGACTGAAACTATAAAAATGACAACACAATTTTAGAAACAATAAAGATTATTACAACTACTACTAAATAATTTGCATTAATTAGAAAGTATACTAAATTTGGAATAACATATTATAAGTCTATCATCAATGAATTAATAAGAGTACCAAATGACAAAATTACGATAAAATAAAAGAATAAAGAGGATAGTAAGATTAACGACGACAGTAACTACTGATCAAATTGAGAAGTATAGCACTTAATAATTGCAATTAAGCTAATTTGTGGAATCTATAATCGCTCCATTTGAATTGTTTAAAAATGATATACCTCTCAATGGATTGACGCTGGATCGAATTTGAGCTTTGATGGCGTTTGATGGGTTTGGGCTTATATTGCGAATAAGATTGGAAGGATGATATTTGTTAATAATATTATAACTATGATTGAGAGATAGAGTCATTGCTACAGGTTTCCCTCCTAAAATTAAATCTGAATATTCAATTTCAGAAATTCTAACCGAGTGATGATGCTCTGAAAATCCGATGTAGTGCCTGTAATCTTATTTGGAAGTAATTGATACTTTTAAGTTTTTTTTGGCTTAATTAGCATTTAGTTGGCATTTGAAGTTGTTAGTTCTTCAAAAAGACAATTTTAAAAAATTTTGAGAAATGATTTTGAATATTTATTTGGCGTAATATTACCTTAATTTACGTAAGTTGTTTTCGAGACTGTTTATTTAATCTTCCTTGTTAATGACTTGTTGATGCCGTTGTTTAATTTATCTAAACCTATAATACGTTTCATTAACAGTATTTTCTGCATTTTAATCTGTGCTTTTTCCATATTTTCAGAAGTGGTACTTTTACGAGAATGACAATGTATTCTTGACATCTCATACTGCAGGTGACTCATATGATTATTGTGAAATTATGTTTACTTCTATATATAGTAGGTTTGGTCTTAAATGATCTTATTTCTCATCTATCAATTTTAGGCATTACTTATGACGCAATTATTTAATAATGCTTAAATTTCTGTGCTTAATTTACTAAAAAAATGCTAAACTATCAATGAGTGCACTTAAGCTGCCACATTTGTTGGGAAAAATTTGTTTACTAAGTGACTGTTTAGTTTTTTTGCTTTATTTATTCAACAAATGTATATGTATCGATCTGTACTTTTAAATTTAAACCTTAGGAACTCTTATTAATTCTGAAAGTAATTTTGCAGAGACATTATGGGAAAAAAGCGAATAATTGCATTAATCGATATGGATTGCTTCTATGCTCAAGTGGAACAACGTCTTCAACCTCACCTCTACGGTAAACCGGTCGCTGTAGTTCAACATAGCAGCGTAAACTACCGAGGCGGTGGGTAAGCATTTTCAAGTGATATCATCGAAAATTTTGATCCCAATTTACTATATTCCTCAGTTTTCGGGTTCTTATTTAAGAGCCATTTCAAGTCACTTCTCGAATTCCAGCTTTAAAATTTCCTATTTCACTTATTTATTCACTATATTCCTAGTCGCAGTCTTTTCTGACTTTTCTAGAAAATGTTATTTTACGTTTATTTGTAGCAGTTTTGCGATATTTCGTTCTGTTTATTGAATCGTTTTATTGGTAATTCCAAATTCCGGTGTTTCACAGCAGCTCTTTTTATCATCCATTATAGCTTACTTGCTGTATCATATGAAGCAAGATCTTTCGGTATCAAACGTGGTATGTTCGGTGAGGAAGCGAAGACTTTATGTCCTGATTTGACACTTTGTTATGTACCAGTGGGCGAGCATGTTGATAAAGCAGATATTACAATTTACAGGTTAACTCGAAAATCGATTTTGCTTATCTCAGCGACACATAGAACTTTTTTATGGGTATTCAAATATTTGTGCAGTGTTAGTTTACGTAAAATTATCATTATGCATATACGAAAGCTTTATATTGCAAATTTACGAATAATTCAAAAATTATCATGGATCTTGTAAAAGAGCCACATTGTTCTGGAATACGTGCATTGTAATTATCGAATTATTTTAGTCCCTTTTTTCAATTATTCCCAAGTCAAAGATGGGAGAGAATACTGCAAAGCGATAACGTGGTAAGGGAGAGTTTTATTTCAGGGATGCATCTGCGGAAGTCTTTAAAGTTTTGCATGAATTCGATTCACGAATTACTGTTGAACGAGCATCGATTGATGAAGCTTACTTAGATCTTAGTGCTTTAGTACAGTATATCTTCGAAACCACCGATCCTTCGAATAAGGTGTTTCTGTTTAATTTGATACCATGCTGTTTTATATTTTTTTGATCTTTGTTATTTGGTACTAAACATAATGTAGGGCAACATTACTCCATATTTCATCACTTCCTCGAGTACATTCATGACTATTGGATTTACTCGATATGTTTTCCGTATTTTCTTGGTAATTCCTTTAATCGGGTGTTTTATCTATTACTAGAAGTTGCTGTCTTTCGGGTCCCTTTTGTATTTGCATCAGAAGAATAGAATAAGTATAAAAGAAGCAAAGAGCAAATTTATTTCTGCTTATACCAAAGAATTTAATTTACAGTATGGTAAACCTAATGCAGTGGATTCATTTCCAACAACACATGTTGCTGATGGAGCTGATCTAAATGAGGGAGAAGATCCTGATTGGAAATATGATAGAGTTGGATCTTTGCATTCCTTTATGTCCGAAGCATGCGAAGCAAAGGACGAATATAAGGTGTTATTACATTTTATTTATTGTAAATCAAAGAAGAAATTATAAATACTGAATTTCGAATCTCCCTATTTAAGAGACAAATTTATACTGGTATTCATTAAGGTGTTAAAAAATTGCTCTATCTGTTAATGCTTGAATTTTGCGTTTTGGTGAGTAGTGATTTTTGAGGAAATTTATTCTGTAGCGTTATCACGGAAAATTAAGTGATAAGAGGATATAACTGAGCAACTGTTGACAAAAATGATGTATGCTATGTGATGATCATGCGATGCGACGTACCGTATACATATCTATATCTCTCTCGTAAAAATCCAATGAAATTATGCAATTTTTAGTTAAAATTGATCATTGGAGCTGATTTGATTGAACAAATAAGGAGTGATATAAAGAAAACTACTACCTTCAACTGTTCTGCCGGAATTGGTAGTAGCAAGGTTTGTTTTTTTGGAAATTTTCAATCATGTTTTCTTGAGGATATGAAAATTTTCTTCTTTTGAACATATTTATTTATAAAGATAAAAGCTGAATTTGATTAAGAGTTAATAATTAATCGATTACTCTTCTACTCTGCAAAATTCTTTTTTGTTAAATACCTCAACCATTGTCATGGATCATCTAATCGCATTATTTAATTCAAGATATAGTTCCGGCATATTTCGAACATAGTCTTGATGGCTTCAGAAGATTATTACTCGCTTAAACTGCAGACCGTAACATTTTTTATAAATTGCCAGTAAATATTTCAATGATTTCAAATTTCGATATTTCAGATGATTGCTAAATTGGTTTGTTCACGTCATAAACCTGGACAGCAAACTGTTGTGTTCAACGAAGCTATACCTAAAGTTTTCAAATACACTCCTATAAATGAAGTCCGAAATCTTGGTGGCAAATTAGGAAGGGCATTAATGGAAAAATTCGATATCAAAGTATGTATTATTATTCATGAACTGAATTATAAGACAGGTTAAGTAGTTTGTATGTATTTAATTAGTTTATGTATATTTATTTTTCAAAAAATACAGACAATGGGAGAGTTATCAAAAATATCGATGTCAGATCTCAGCGAAGGTTTTCCAGCTCAAGCAAAATGGGTATACAATATTGCGCACGGTGAGATGTTTGCAACTTTCTCTTTTTTAAAAAATTTACATATTATTTTTAGTTTCAAATATAGTCATATTTTGCTATATATCCTCATAAAAGGCTAGATTTAACTCTTATGCAGGATTATAGCATTCGGAAATACATTAGATAGGATGTAGTATTCAAGCTTTTCCAGATCGATTAAAAGTTAAACTTTTAGTTAACATCATTTAGCAGTACATGGTGGCGCTTAACAATTGACTAGAATTAGTGATCAAAAATCATATTTTAGTATTGGTTCTTAATTTCTGTTTTCATGTTAGCTGAAGCATTTCAAAGGAACCTTTTCCAATATTTTAGGTATCGACGAAGAAAAAGTTACTGCACGGGACAAACAAGGTTCGGTTGCTGTGAGTAAAAATTTTCCAGGTCCCAATGCTTTAAAAACGGATGTTGATGTGAAATTTTGGCTGGAAGGTTTAATCAAAGAATTGGTGAAACGCTTAATTGACGACCAATTAAGAGTATGATGTAGTTTTATTATATATATCTTAAAACTACTCCTGATTTCTCATTTTATTAGTTAAGATGTCTTAATAGTGCTTGGATCTGTCGTTGTAGTTGAAGCTAACATTAACATATAACGAGACGAACCGGAAACATTATAAGCATGTGTTAATAATGACGATGACGTGGTGTAAATCCATGACAATCTTACCGAAGGTCGAATTGAACGGAACAATTTAACTAATATCACTGAGTTTTTGTCTTGAGATTGATGTGTTTCTGATCATACACTGCTATCAGATGATGTGGTGCATTTAATGATCAGACCAGTTTGGTGCTTTTATAGTTCTTAGTGCTGAAATATACATATTCATAGTTCAGGAATTTTACTTGCCTTTGATAACTAATATAATTCATCAAAAAAAATTGGAGTTCCATAATCTTTCATATAGAATATTCGAACTGCATCAACACTCCATATTGGCTGCACAACCGATATTCATCTTTCTAGAAGTATGCAGATGAAGACATATGATTCGAAAGCTTTATTTGCTTCAGTTTGGAGCATTTTTCGACATATTAACAAGTCTAGAATATCGGAAATTTGGTAATTTGAATGAAGAATATTTCTTGTTTTTTCTAAAAGTCAAGTGATTTTATTGAGCCAGCAGTAACGGTATATAAGTTTCAGCTTAAAGTGATATCTGTGTTACTGTATCTAATATACTTTTGTTTTAACATATTGTGTTAGCTTTAGTTCTTTTGCAACTTTTCAGTTGAGCTTCAACTTTTGCTTTTTCATTAAAATAGTTCTATTTTCAAAAATTCAATTGCATATTAGGGATCCATCGGTGAAGAATATTACGCTTTCCGCAAATCGATTTCGGGAAGGGATTGATGGCCGTTCTAAACAAATCACAGAATGGGTAACAGAAGCAATAGACAGGGCGGTGAATTCAGTGGCTTCCACCAGTACGGATACTAGAAACGAAGCCATGCCTAGTGAAAAGATGACGAAGACTTCGTCACAAACTTTGGTAAACATTTTGAATTTTATTCTATTTTGAAATTAAGATGATTTTTTGATTCAATTTGTAACTTGCGAGTTTCCCAGTTGTTTATAGTTGTGCATTGGTCAGTGTATAAGAAGAAGATAATTTTGAAAAATTCTTCTGTTTTAATTATGCTTCGATCTTAGGCCTCATCGAATTATTCTGAAGAGCATTAATTTTACTGTTGTTTCTGTACCCTTAGAATACTTATTAAATTTCGTCGTTTATTTGAATAGATAGTTTAAAAAGGCATCAACTTATGTAGATTTGTTTTCCAGTTCAAATATACAAAAACTTTTGTTACAGACAAGTGTGCATCATTTACAAAGACAGGTAGAAGAACAAGATGATGACATACAGATTATTTCTGATGTGAGGAAAGAAACAAAAAGTACCGCTGTTGCTGTTCGTTCTAAAATAACTGTTAAAAAGCGGAGAAAAAAAGGGGTACGAGATAAATCAAGTCCACCAATGAAGAAAATATCAGATTTCTTTAAAAAACAATGAATTTTCTCTTACTCTGATACTACGCATATCCGCTAATTGAAGCCTAGAGACAAATGCAAAAAAGGCAGATGTTTTCTTGTCACTTGCATTCGCGCAGTTCAGCTATAGTCTTATAGGTTTCTTTTCCTTATGAATTCCATTTTTAAAATCATCTAAAAATTTCAGCAGATTCTATACAATTGTACGTTGTTAAAATGTTAATTTTTTACTCTGTCCATATCAAATATTTCTCAGGTTTAAATTTTTGTGCATCATCTCTAAGGCTCAAATAAATATTTTGCTAATCCCATAGTCTATCTTCGTAATAATTTTGCAAACTTCACTTAAATGCATTTTTTGTCGTCTTTCCTATAATAGTTTATAGGAAAGAAGATTAAAAAATGCATTTAATAATTTAAAGGGAATGAACGAAATTCAAATTTCGGAAATCTCCAATTATAAATTTAAAAGGAAAAGGCATCCCTGGACCATCTTTATTTCTATCACTATTTAAAAGAAAAATAGAATAGTTTTAGAAGAGTACTGGATTGAACTCGCGGACAGTTCGATAAATTCTGTTATTCCAAAGAAAAGATCAGCCCTTTGGATACAACTAAAAATTATTGCGCGTTAAAATTAGACACTTTCCATTCCATCGTAAACACTTCGAACCAAATAGTGGAATAAATGGGAGGAATATCATTTCAGAACTTGTCAAGTTTGTGACGGGTTCTCAGCCTTTTTCCATTAAAACTTTCCATCTTGAAGTATTTCATTCCAATGAATGACTGGAATAAAGCGGCGTTTCGACTGGAAGACGATAGTAGTTTTTCCCAAAAATTGTGCACGGAGTGGGATTCGAACCCACGCATCGATCACGATACCAGAACGCCCACGTCACACTCGTTCTCGTGCGAAGCATATAATCGCTTGAGTCTGGCGCCTTAGACCACTCGGCCATCCGTGCCACAATTGTAGCAATGAGCTATAAACTATATTTCTGATTAAAACTCACTATTATAGTTTGAGAAATGGTATTTGGAGTAAAATTGTGATTTTAATTTTTGGAATTACCATTATTGTAAAGGCTAAAGTTAAAAGTTTCTCAATTTCAATTGTAATTAATTATTGACTAAATTTCAAAACTGAAGAATGTATGTGTGAATAATGAATGCCGAAAAATGTCAAACTTTTAAATTTCGAGATGAAAATTATTCATCTGAATTTCGAATTCTAATTTTTTATTTGATTCAGCAGTTTCAATTGATTTGCTCTAACTCAGATGAAATGTCTTATATTAAACTATTATTCATCGATATGCTAATACATATTGCAATGAATATGCTCAACATATCTTCTTCATCATAATAATTTCTATTATTATAAGACAGGGGAGCTAAAGGAAAGAAGAGATAACGATTCGTTTTTCTTATATCACTAGAAGAAAACATACGAACTATTGTCAAAGAGCTGATGGCATCTTTTCATATAGTTGTTTATGTTTATTTGATTATAAGAATATTTTTGTCGCCCACTGATAAATATTTTAGAAGAAAGTTCTTTGCACATTTATCCTTTATTCATTTTATCTCCGTGATATCACTGATGTGATATAGATTAAAAAACTATTTAATGCTGAAGATAATTAAACCACAAAAAAAACGTATTAGTGAAATTGTTTCAGTTCTCTTTTTATCATTTTAATAAGTTATGAGAAGGTTAGTAATCTTTATATAATGAAGTCTATTTCCTCCTTGATTAAGTGTTTCTACAGTTTCAGAAGTTTCCGGATTGCATAGACTGATCTCTTTATTGCTCTTTCGGATAATTATTCCATTATTCACATCAAATAGAACCAAATCCTACAACATATTGAAATTTCAAAAGAGAAAATAGTTGATAGAGAAAATAACCTTTACACCAAGTAAATTAAAGGAAATTTAAATTGATCTTGTGTCTGCAACTTTCTTCCAATCAAACTGTCAAAGCCATACTGACATTAACTATGCACTATAAAATAATTAATTAATTTCAGAGTTTTTAAAGTATGGTCCGTATTATTGCAGGAAAGTACTGTGGAAGAAAAATAGCCACAGGTAAGAATTCAACTCTGTGAGCGTTATCCGACAGGCGATATTTAATATTTAATAATTTTCTTTAAGCCTATTAATAATTTAAGTGTAATCGATTTATTCTGTGGAAGTGATTTTTTTAATATTTGATTTAGACTATTACAATTTACAGTTACTTAAAAAAACGACCAAAGATTTTAGCGCAATAGACGACATTACACTAATTTATTGCAGTACTACCAGCTATCGTAAATTATTTCATAGTGCGACATAATATTTATATAACAACCTTACGACACTAATTTAGTTGATTCAGGCTTGGATTAACTTATTCAGGAAAATAATTGCCGGATAGCCAATGGCATCAACAAATACGACAACTACAGACAAAATTCCAACTGATTTTCCTAATCGAATTATCACATGAATGGCAAGCGAAAATGGTTCAGTTTTATTCACTTTATTTCTTCCATGTTGGATCCCACGAAGGACATAAAGCTAAGGAGAAGAAAGGGATATAGAGATATTAAACTTAATACAATGTAGAATTTATTAATGCCACGCAAAAAAACAAACATAAATTCGGTTATTTTGTCCGGACAGAATTTATTGTGTCCGGACACGTAAATACATAAATTCGGTTATCCAAAGATAAGATGTAATCACCACTCGTTTTAATTTTTTTTACGATTATATTCTTGAATTTTTTTTAAATTATAATTTAAATAAAATTTGATTCAACTCTTTTACAGACCTAAAACTTTATCCATTCTCGCACAATTATAAATACAAATTCATTAACCGACTTCATTACAATCCAACCACGATACCTTAACACCTCCCTAATTTACCTCCGTCATCTTTTCCATTCCTACCACATGAATCATGAACGTATACCTCTCTTTGTCCTTATTCATTTCTCTACATCTCTAGCCTTGACCCCATATAAATCTCTGTCTGTCTGTATCCTCAGCTCAGGTCCACATGTATACTTCTGTCTGTCCACATCTGTTTGTACATATGTCCATTCTCATATTCCTTCCTATCCGTACCTTCTGCGTTCACATTTATCTTTATCTTCATGTCCATATGTATAGTGTAGTGTTTATATTCCCTTACATCTATATATATATCCTCAAAATCTTCTGTATTTCATTAGTACATCTGTATAGCTTTAGTTTTGTTAACGTTCGCAATATTCTTATGCACTTTGTCGGTAATTAAGGTCTCCCGGGAGTAATGTGCTGGAAGGGTTAGCAAATTTAATTTTAAATTACTGTTAAACGTGAATTTTAATATATTTTAATCTCATATCTAGCCGTTCTCGCTGGAAAGCAAACTTTGAACTTTAAAATAAAATGAAATTTATCCTTTTCCTCTCTTCCTGTTATATTTGAGAATAGCAAAAATTTTGCTAATTTTCTTTAGACAGTTTTCTCCTCTAACTTTATTTTAGGTTTCTCTTTACTTCTTCTTCAGATTATCTCATTTTATTCCGTTAACAAAAAAGCAAGGATAGATATATATGTGTGTGCACTATTTTATCGATCGTTCCATGTCCTTTTTATAGCTCTTTTTCCGTTATGAAAGTTTTTTTGTTCTTCTTTCCGGACGTCATTTTTATTTTTCTATTTCTCCGGTAGGCTTTTTTTTTCATCCTAAAAAACAGGATTGTTGATGATATGATATTGATTTTCATCAAATTTGATTTGAATGTGAAATTTTCTTTTAATTAACTGATAACATTCCGGAAGAAATATAATCGATCCATTTTTATTTTCTAAAAAAAAAGATTAAAAAATGGAGTTAATAGTTTCAAATGATTTTTTCTATTCCCATATTTCTCTTGTTCAATTTAACGATAGATGAGTCATTATTCAAATACTATTGCATCATCAATTTCATCGAAACTTTCGTTGCCAATTGGTTCGAACACTATCATATCGCCACGTCAAAAGAGTAATTATCGTTTCACTAATCACTTTGTCGAAAACCATATGTCGAAAAAAAAAAAAAACCTAGTTAGTTTTGTACCATCGTTTCCTGTTCTATTTTTAATAAATCTGTAATAGAATTGGTTTTGATCCGAAAATTCGGCTTTCAATTATTTCGATTTTAAGACATTGTTGGAAGGTTTCCAAACATTTCATATTTGTATTTATTTCACAATGTACTTACCTGACGATAATGGAGTAGTAATTGAGGCGCTTTGGATACTGTTTGGTACCATATATCTTCTGATCCACAGAGTATTCCTATTGTCCTCTTGGGAAAATGTACTATTAATAGGGTAGAAAATATGTGTATGTCATTAATTAAGGAAGGATACATGAATACTTTTAGGAAATGAAATAAAGGATTCATTAATGTCTCAAACACCAAACTTCCTTGCTATTAGAAGGAAAAACATCGTTAACATAAGCATTCCACTCTTTGCACAATTTTGTGTTTTTGAAGAAATTTCAATAGTGAAAGGAAAAATTCATTCTTCACCACCTCCTTTATCATAAATTTATAAAATGCTGCTTTCTTTTTTGCATTATTTGTTTTGTTTTCCGATATTATTTCATTGTCTTTTCAAGTCAGTAATTACTTCCGTTTATTTTGTATATAAATATTAAATATATTTAAAAATGATAATTTTAATTGAAAGTTATTCATCAAGACGGTTGCATTTCTTCTGTTCTTTTTGTTTTTAAAGAGGAATTTTTATTTATTATCATGTTGAAATTTTGTAGGAAAAAAAATACCATTTTTCGAATTTAAAACCAAGCAATTTCAAGATAGTTATGTAAGTGAGAAAATAGTCAGATAATTTCAAAGAAGGTAAATAATATAGTCAAGTAAGCAATACTGATGTGGATAAATAGATTGCATGTTGTTCGGAAGTAAACGAGACCATTTTTCTATATGTGTATATTATTTCGCTTTCATAGTTTGAAATTATTCGCCGTACCACATTTGAACTTATTGCTTTCAAATTGAACAGACAATTTTACTTTCGACAATTAATTAACTAAGCAATTTAAGCTATTGAAATGAATAGGCAAGTGGAAGGACAATTTAAGATAAGCAAATTATTGTACAGATTTCTTATCGATACATCAGATGTTACACAGATTCTCACACAAGTGCCGTTTATTTTGCAGGTTCTGCTGCGGTCATACGTGATATAAAACGGTTATAATATTACGCAAAGTTATGGAGGATGATAGAGAAGAAAAATGCGTTGCCGTAAGCTTGTTTATTTCATTATATTTTTTTGAAACTTAAAATTTTTAAATTAATTTTGAGTGATTTGAAATAAGGAATGCTGAAAGTAATACGAAAGATTTTTTATGAAACCATTCGAAAATTTTTGATATAAAAGCAAAAAGATTTTGATTAGATTTTGAAATTTTTGTTCTTTTTTAAATATAAATTTAGATTGTCCATTTTGTTGATGAGAAATTGTTGCATGAAGTCTCATTTCAGATTAAGTTACACGAAGATGAATTTAGTGGTTTAATAAGAAATATTGCAAGCAGTATTCCTCGAGATAAAGTTGGCGACACTGCAAGTGGTATTCTTGGTAATCTAGTGAGCAGTTTCAGTGGCCATGGAGGTATTTTCCTTTCAAAGTTGCTCTTTTGATTCCCAACATTAATAACAACTATAAAGCAGATTGAAATATTATATTAATAATGCCACTGAAGAATTGCCGTCTTTAGGTACCATTGCATAGCTGCTAGTTTTAGGCAGTCTTCTTATCCCGATCACCGGTATAAAATACAATATAAACTTGATAATTGATACCTCTTGTATGTTTTGCTTTCATTCGAGAGCTGTAAATTTGAATTTGTGTGAATATCAAAAAATATATGTAGAGGGCAAAGTGTAAAAGCTTTTATCTTCGATATATGACTTTCAGCTGGAGGTGGGTCTGAGGGCAAAGGATACAACCAATCGGGTAGATACGGAAGTGGTGGATACAATCAAGGAGGTGGATATGGAAGTCGGTATGGTGGTTACGGAAGTGGTGAATATAATCAAGGAGGATATGGTACAGCAGGATTTGGTAGCGGTTATGGAAGTGGTGGATATAATCAGGGAGGATATGGTACATCAGGTTTTGGTAGCAGTTATGGAAGTGGTGCAGGCTTTGGTTATGGTGGGGAAGAATATGACAGTCGTGACAAATATGAAAACAGAGAGAACAATAGTGGCAATAGTAGTGCGTTTGGACTAGTTGGAAATCTAATCGGTAATTAATTATTCCATTGTCTAATTATCAGAAAATCAATTCCAAATTTCACTCTACATTCATATTTATGTTCTTAAGTTTTCCTTTCAATTCCAACCAAATTTAGCTCATTTAAGGCTTCCCATTTTACACCGTGAAAAATAATTAATCAGTCCTTGTAATGATAGTTGCTAATTATCAGAGAATTTAAGGTGGAATATTGGACAGCGGAAGTGCTAGCCGTAGAGGTAACAATGTTTACAACGATTATGAAAGTGGTGGCAGTGGTTACGATGATTACAACCGAAAAAAGCCAGAAAAAATGCGTAAGCTTATTTTTGCTACCTTTTCGTTTGCAAATATAAGAAGTCGAAAGAAAATGTTGGAAACCCAAGAAAAAAGAAGAAAACAAGCTGAAAGAAAATCTGTCAAATTTTTGGCCTATCATGAACACTAATAAATCTTATTCAAACAATAACAATCCTTTATCTTTGTACTCTTCCATTGAACAGACAAAACCGATTATTCGCTGCAGAACTTTGAAGATATATTACATTGCTTACTTCTTTATTTTTCTCTAGATTATTCCTGGTGAAAATTAGGGAAATTACTATTATTCACGTGGATATTCCATGTTGATAATGAATTTCGCAGTAGGCTTCTCGTTGTAGCAGTAATAAACGTTATATGTTAAAATTCATTAATTAATTTGTTTTTTAATTAATTATTGATTTTGTAATATTTTCAAATATGGCGATGAACGTTCATCTTTATGGAGCCTTAATTATTAATAAATAGTTTGTAATGATGAACAGTTTTTTTGTTATTTTTTGGTCTTTTAATTTATTTATTCACTAATATTTATGTTCGGTAGTACTATTACTCAATTTCCGATTAAATCTACCATCATTAAATTTTTCTTTGTATGTGTGTGTGATTAAGCGACAGAAGTATTTCTGTCATCGTAGAATATATAGATTTATCCTCTACTTTTAAGTAAACTAACATAGACTAACAATGTTTTCTTTTTCGAAAGATGAAATTAGCGATAGAAGGCAGGAAGCATTTCTCGTCTTCTTTTTTGTTTATTTTTCCCTTTTTTAAATTAACTTTCTTCGTTTGGGTATTTTCATTTGTTTATATTTTCATTCTTTTTTTCAGAACATATAAACAGTATTATTCATCTTTTATTTCCCTCAAATTTGAAACCAATTTTTATTAATGAAAAAACAGTTGTCTGAACTAAAACTAAAGTTTTAGTCAGAAAGCAATATCCGTCTTCCAAACATTTAATTGTTGAACTTATCGGTTGTTTTATTATTAGCATTTTGATTTCCCTCACTAATTGTTATCTTTTCCTTTCTTATTGTTTCATAATTTTCTTTTTCCTCTCTCTCTTTGAAAATATATTGCAAAAAAGAGATAATAAATCTCTTATAAATGATCATAAATAAATTAATATAATAATTCTTTAAAACTTATACATATCTCTTTCTACATGCCACATTTTGATAGCATTACAAACACTTCCATATTGTTCATTTTTTCATACCACTCTTGAACAGATGATAGAATAATTTGAAAGGCAAAACCTGAAATTGTACTTTCCACGAATATTTTTTAATATTTTTATGGAACATGTTCTATTTGAATTTATCGATTGGTTTTATACCGCCTGTTTTCTTAGCTTAAAGAAAAAAAATGATATGTTAATGAGCAATCTATGTGTTCATCATGCCATTCTATTAATAGCATACTGTACAATGATTCTTTTACTCTTTGGTTTCATTTTTACTCACATATTTATCTGTCTCTTTATTTTAGGAAAAGAAAAATTCATTTCAAAACATTTTTAAAAAAATTTAAATATTATTTAAGTAAAAAAGCATTTCAGTTATCAAAGAAGCAATCAGTCTTTCTTTCATTCCTATATTATCCAGGATGACTCATTCTATTCTATTCATTGCATTCTTTATACCGATATGTGGTGTTGTCAGAACATATGAGATGAGATCGATCGTATGATATGAAGAGCTGAACGGAATATTTCTTTCTTTTTTTCTTATCTGTACTTCTTCATTGCTATCAAAAAATATTGTTCTTTTTTTAACCATTCATGTATGTCGACAATTTTCATTTTAATTAGTTAATTGATTTTAAAGAAGTTTTTTAGGGTAAAACTTATTGGGAAGAAAATCGACTTATGCTTTTACAATAATTAACCTTCTATTTTGTAATTCATAGTTTTCTTTTCTTCCGGAAATACTGGACAATTCGCAAATTCAATTAAGCCATTCCGATTTTTTTCTCTTCCAAAAAATGCCAAAGATTGGGCTTTATATCCCTTTTAACTACATATTTCCATTGTTTTTTCATTGCAATTGCATTTTTTTGAAGCTTTTTTTCTTGTTAATACCCATTTTATCTGTTATTTATAGCTAATTAGCAGGAAAAACAACAGCTAAATTATAACTTTCATTCTGTTCCATTACAAAATGATAACTTTAATTTTTAGTTTGTCACCACATCCATTCAATGAATTTCATTATTTTAAACTAAATATTTTCTATTGTTTCAATGTTTCGCTTATTATGTTGCACCTTTCATTAGCACTTTCCATATGATAAATGTTGTAATTTTCACATATTATAATGTAATTCAAGTTTAGGTTTGCAGAAAATTTAGTATTTTTGCTTTTTATTATTAACATTGCTCCACAGTGTTTAGTAAAATTCAACCAAAATGATCTCCAATATGGTAAAATGCTGTATGAATCCGGAACGTGATCGTTCCGGTGAACATAATGTGAAATGTTACAAGTTTAAAGGTAATTGGAGATTTATGCCAGTCAGAAAGTAGTAGAAATTAGAATTCTCTTAAATTTGAATCTTTCGATTATCAATTCAAGCTTTCAACAAATTGCACATATGGTAAGAAATTTTGGAAATGTTGCTGGATTTTTTTTATATTTTAGGTGATCAAATTGGCGATATCATCGGGGGTTTCATCTCAGGTGGACGCGGTGGCAACAGTAGTTCTCGTGGTAATTTCTTTAGAGAATAAATTTCCCTCATTAATTTCCCTAAAATTCTTTGTACGGAAAATGGCTGTCACTTATTTTTGCCTAAACTATTTCAGGTGGCGAAGGCGGTGTCAATGTTGGTGATATTACTGGTATTATTGGTGGTTTAGCTGGACCAGGCAGTAAGGGTCAGAAGCTTAGCGGTCTCATTAGTGGTATTGGTGGACTAATTGGCAAAAAAGGACATTATAGAGATGGAGGTATTTTTTATTATGCTACTTGTTTTTCTTGAGCAATTAAGTCATTTTATTTGACTTTGCTCGATTTAGTTCAATGCCACAATTTCGAATTCCCCGGAAATTTGAAACAGATATCGCATTCCTGTGAAAAATGAATTATAGGATTGATTCGGGTTTTTTAAAAGTTCCGAAAAACTTTTGAGCTTTATTTCTTTTTTGATTTCAACTTTTTAAGGAATGTCCCGGAGCAACATCTGCGGATGCGGGCAAGGACAGTGAAATGGTGTTAAGTTTTAAGCAGTATAGCTCTAACTGTTTACTTAATTTTTGAAGATTTCAGGTCCAAATATAAATCCAAATAATTTAAGCGGTGGTATGACAGATGTCGTAAGTAATCTTGTTGGGCATCTAGCTCATCGCTACCTTAATATTGATCCCACTACGGGACGCATTATCGGTGCCGTTGCTGGCAATCTTATTTTCAATCTTGGTAAATTGTCCAGTCAAAATTTATTTTAAATGATTAAAGCTTAAATTCTCTTTATCATTTATAGGTATGAAAATTCAAAATTTTCCAGGTGGCAAGGACAACAAACTTGGAACTGTGGGCAAAATCATTCTAGACAATATTATCAGCGGTAAATTCAAGCGAAAGGTATGTTAGTTTATTCTACAAAAACGGCGAAGTCTTGAAAGCTTCCCAATTTCTCTCACGATCTGAGTGCATCGAAAACTAAACTTTTTTGTACTGCATAACAGTTTACATTATTAAACCGACTTATGCTAGCACTAGGAAATCAACTGCTATTTCCGTCTTAGTTAAAGCTTAGGACTGAATGAATTCAAGAACTTACCTAAGATTTGGGACCCTTACTAATCTTTTTACTCTACGCAAAATTTTACATCTGTAGGTTGATCCCTATATACCGCCAGAACCGACACAACGTCTGTATCCGCCAGTACCTGACAGAAGAGTAGACGAAGCACTTGATTTCTATGCAGAAAGAGATCGTTGCCTTGCCGTAAGTTATTTTTTTTATGTTGTCAGTTAAATGTTTTTAATTGAAAAATCTGGAACTCAATGAAAATGAAAAATTAATATCAAGAAAGGATATTATAAGAGAAATTCGCATGTTTGTAAAAACAGTTAAGAGGATTTTCAGGAACGAAAACTTTTTGAGGATCCTCAATTTCCAGCTGACGATAAGAGTTTGTTCTTCAGTCGACGTCCTCCCAAGCAAATCGAATGGAGAAGACCGGGGGTTTGTTTTATGAATTCTTTTTTATCTCTTATTTTGACTCTTATGTTTCTACAAAAGGTAGTTTTATCATTTTTAAGGAAATATGTGATAATCCACAGTTACTCTATGAAGGACAATCACGTTTCGACGTAGTACAAGGGGAATTAGGTGACTGTTGGCTTTTAGCTGCTGCCGCGAATCTTACATTGAAAGATGAGCTATTTTACCGAGTTGTACCACCGGATCAAAGCTTTACCGAAAATTATGCCGGTTTGTTCTTTATTCCAAGTTTTAAATCCAGTTTTCGATTCTTACATCTTCAGCTCGTGTTTCTCTTAATTTTGCTCTATTTTTCTTTTAGTTGAACATTATTAAAATTTTTGAAAATTGAAGGCATATTTCATTTCCAATTCTGGCATTATGGTGCATGGGTTGACGTAGTCATCGACGATCGTCTGCCAACATCTATCAGTGGTGAATTGTTGTATATGCATTCCAGAGATAACAACGAATTTTGGAGTGCACTCCTAGAAAAAGCATATGCAAAGTGAAAGTTTCTTTTGATCCTTCTTAAGTTTGTTAACATATGCTGAAGGTTATTTTTAAATGATGAGTATTATCTATTCAAATAATCTTTTTGATCAGTTGATGAAAGTTTGGAGTTCGTCCAAATTCGTTAAAAACAGTATAGTCTATATAAGTTAACATTAGTTCATTACTGAATTTTGACGGCTATCTTAGTTTCTAATTTAAGGCTTCACGGTTCATACGAAGCACTAAAGGGTGGTACCACAAGTGAAGCTTTAGAAGATTTCACTGGTGGTTTAACAGAATTTTTCGATCTCACACAACCTCCTAAACATTTGATGGAAATGATGATGAGAGGTTTTGAAATGGGTTCATTATTTGGATGCAGTATAGAAGTAAGCTATTTCTTTTACATCATATTTTTGGCAACATCTCGAAGTTTTTCTTCTAAGTTGTTGCTAAGTGTTAGTGAGATTAATCATAAAGTTGCATGCAACAATTACGAAAAATTCTTCTATATGTCGAAAAAAAATCTGATAAGTTTTTGTACAATTTCAGGCAGATCCACATGAGTGGGAAGCACGAATGCACAATGGTTTAGTCAAAGGCCATGCGTATAGTATAACGGGAATGAAAATGGTAAAACATCTTTTGAAGTTAACACATTTTTCTATCTACCAACAGCTGTTTCACATCTGTTTTTAAATATTTTATTCTAAGGTGAATGGACCGCGTGGTAGTATACCATTACTACGTATACGTAATCCGTGGGGTAATGAGCAAGAATGGAACGGTGCGTGGTCGGATAATTCAAAAGAATGGAACTATATATCTCAGCAACAACGTAATGAAATGGGTTTAGTTTTTGCGCACGATGGAGAATTTTGGTTTGTTTCAATGTTATTTTACTTGTTTAGAATAATAATCAAATTCAAAATCTGCACTGGATTTCTTGATTTTGTCTTAATCTTCCAATATACGCAATAGGTGAACCCAGCAACATTAATAATTTGGAAAGAAACAAAGATATCTAGTATGATTGAATTTCATAGCAAAATGTCAATGCTATATTCATTCTATTTTACCATGGATTGTTTTATTAACATGATGTATTGTTGATGAACCAATAATAAATAGCATGTAGACATGATTAGGAACATAAGCCTCGTGGAAGACAGTCAATGACTATTTTATTCATTTCAATTGTTCACTTTATTTATTCCTTAATTAGGCTTTCAGTATCTATATGAAAAATTGAGTCTCGTTTTTGTTGCCGCAAAATTAATATGATGTCGCAATTTTTCAGTTATCTACATTTTCTTAATACCGGAAAGATGATATAATCTACAAAAAACTTTTCTAAGTTCGAACATTTGAAGTGGTAATGAATTCGATTTTCAGGATGTCATTCAATGATTTCGTACGTTATTTCGAAAAAATGGAAATATGTAACTTGGGTCCGGAAGTTATGAATGAAGTGTGTTTTTTTTCTTTTGCTTTCTGTTGTAAATATAATTTAAAGATTCTTTTTGGATTTTTATTTTCATTTATGATAAGTTTTTACATAATTACAGGTTTATCAAATGACTGGTGTCCAATCGTCGAAGAATGCTTGGGCAACATACACCCACAATGGCGCCTGGATTGCAAATAAAACAGCGGGAGGGTGCCGGAACTATATACGTATGCATGCTTGCCTTTCATTTTTGTATTTCTTTTTTTGTTAACATTTTCTAAGTTTCATTGATTCATTGTAAATCTGATAAGAATAATTGCCAGTCGTCCCTATAAAGCATTTTACATAAACGTATTTTAATGAAAAGTAACGGGTTAGTTGCTTTTATGTATGTCGTTTTAAGCATGTTTAATATTTTTTTCATTTTTTTCACTCTACACTAATTTTTTAGGGACATTTGCGAGGAACCCTCAATATCGTATCCAGGTGACAGATTCGGATCCATATGATGATGATAACTTATGTACAGTGATAATTGCTGTGTTGCAAAAGTATCGACGTGAACTAAAACATGTAGGCATCGAGAATTTACCTATAGGATTTGCCGTTTATGATGTAAGACCATTGTGTTTTTTCTTTTCTTATTGAATTAATATTAAAAGTCTTAACTATCGATAGCTTTGTCAGCATTAAGTAGGATGAAACAGAATAATCCGATAGATAGCATTTTTGAATTCTATGAAAGCTGATGTAAAGTTAAAATACTTGCTAGCAACAATTAGTTGTATCGTAAATAAAAAAAAAGCTTATTTGTTTCATGATAATTTTCAAAATTTGAGAAACTTTCCTTCGCTTCTAAAATTTTTGTCGTTTTTCAGTGATCGTAATTCAGATTTATAAAGTTGAAAATAAAACGAGAAGATGCGGTATTCATAATTGCTAGATTACTAAGCGTTTCGATGATTACTAATTTTTTTATGATTACTAAGTTTTTCCTAAGTTGTAAGAATGACTTGTTAACTGCTTCAATTTAAAGTTATTTACAAGAAATAATTTTGATAACATTAATCAGAATCGATCTTTTCTTTTCAGATTGGAAGCTTTACTGGACGCTTAACACAAGAATATTTCCGGCAACATCAATCATGTGCTAGGAGTGCTGCGTTCATCAACTTGCGAGAAGTGATTAATTATTTCTGAATTACTTCATTTAAATAATGATGTTGTTCTAAAACTTAACTTATATTCCGAAACCGTTCGGTTCATCATTTTTGCACATTCATTGTTTTTTTTTTTGACTTAAACTTTTGATTGCCTTTAAATTTCGTAATTTCGTTCTTTTCTTGCAGATAACAGGTCGTTTTCGAATCCCGCCGGGGAATTACGTAATCGTGCCATCGACGTTTGAACCGAATGAAGAAGCCGAGTTTATGCTTAGAGTTTTTACAAATGGTTTTATTGAATCGGAGTAAGTACATAGCTTTGATGAACGGTTTCAGATTTCCAAACAATTTAGCAAATTTCTTAAAGAATATTGTCCGATTTCTCTCTTGACTTTACGATTTATGATAATTGTTAATTTTTCCAAAAATTTCCCATGACAAATCAAGACCGAGTAGGGAAACTCATCGAGTCTGGTCCATAATCAGGGATAGTAACATATAGTTCATGCCTAATTGCTTAAATATTTTATTTGAAATCCTGAAAGGTCTGAGTTGAGAAGTTTTAAATTCAAATCTTTTTTAGGGAGCTATGAATTTTGATCGAAGCGTGCAGTTAAGATGTTTTTTATCGACATTTGCTTGCGGAAAATTATCCAGTTATATGTTGAAGATGCATTTATTGATCATGACTTTCATGACTTCTCGGCGGGTGTATTCACCTATAATCTTTTTTTTGCTTCATATTAATTTATTGTTTGTTTTTTAATAGTGTTAATTGTAACTATTTACATAATAATGATAAATTTGCGATAAAGTCTTTAGCAATCATACCAGAAACTTCAGCAAAAAATAATTGGTATTTGTTCCAGGAAATTAACAAATATTCTCATTCTGTCCCTGTTTATTTATTTCTCAATAATTTCGATTCAATTATTTCATTGGATATTAGTTATCCAAATCCTGCATGATAATCTTGCTGGACATAGCTAGCACGGTGCATTAATATCATCTGAGTGCATTAATGTCATCTGTCTTATTGTTTCCAGTGCATCCTGTATTTTTACAGAGATTGCTCTAGGCTTCTTGGGGTTGCTGAAAGTTTCGTGGGAGCAGATGGAAGACTGTCAAAGAGAAATTGAAGTGAGAGGTTGTTGAATCTGAGGTGGTTTATCTCAATTTCGATTCGTTGAAGTAATTAATTGCTTGTAGCTGCTGGGGAATTCGCATGCTTTACATTGAATTAGAAAGGGTCGAGTCGATAGCCGTTTATTTCAGGTTAAAACTGATTATTTAGATCAGTTGATTGTGTAACTGTGAAAGTAAAGTGAGGAGTAATTTCGAATTATATTAATAGTGGATGAGGTTGTCTCTGTTACACAATTGCGTTCGTCGTGCGATCCGACATGGAAAAAATGAAGTAAACAAAACTCAACCATTCTCGCTTACCACCCATCTGATAAGGGAATTTTTAATTCGATTAGGAAAATCAGTTGGAATTTTGTCTGTGGCTGTCGTATTTGTTGATGTCATTGGCTATCCAGCAAGTATTACTGGATCATCGATGGAGGTTTATTTTCTCTTTCAACTCTTTCCTGTCCTGAAGTTTCAATATGTTGTATTTTGTTCTGTTTGATGCGAATAGCCGAAGAAGTAGCTAAAAGAATTAATATATGTGATTTGGGGAAAAAAGAATATTTGGTAACTCTTATAGAAAGCGGGATGCTAATGAACTTTGTGCATTAAAAACTCTCTTATTCTTGGGATGAAGTGAACATAAGCTTTGGGGAGGAAGGGACTGGAATTTTTTTCTTTTCTTGAAGTTTGATCCTCTTCTTTTTCAAGTTTAAATTTTGTAAAATTCAAGGATTAGTAAATTTTCCAGACAGAAGTTCCTTCGTTGTATTAAATATATATATTGCTGGTATACTCATCTTTTCTGCACTACTTTTTGATTTCATATCTTTATTGACCAATAAGTCATACCGAATAAAATTATGATTTGACCGTAGTGCTCATTATTATTTTGCTTAGCCAACGCTACATGGCATTGACAAGAAATGGTGGAAACGGGACATCGTCTGGTTATCACGTTTTGGTTTAGATAGACCAGAGATCGGACAAATTTACACGTTTATGTATGTTCCTTATCTGTCTCGTTACTTAAATTTCTTGAAAACACGGAAATTATAATCATGTTCACACCGTTATGTTCTTCTCTCGAGATTTTTAAGTTTCCATTAAAATCCCTTTTTTTTGTTGCAAAATGATATTTGCAGACCGCCAAATGATCCGGATAAACGTCACATAAAGCGCATCACTGCTGTGGATGGTGACATAATCAGGTATCACACTTATTGAGTTCTATATTAGCCCTATGATCAAGTCACATTTAATAATTTCATTACACTTGTTTGGATTATATCACGAAGTACCAGTTTGCCTGAAATTCGTTTAGATCAGAGCCGTAGCTGTTCTGGATTTAACACAGCTACTGTGGTTATTTTGAATAATTTGGCATTATATAGCAGCCAAGGAATAATAAATGCATACTTTAATATTTATTTTGAAATTTGTTTGTAATGCAAATTTTTATTTTTTGTTCAAATTCTCTGATTGCAGGCCAAAACGAGGACCAAGTTTTTTGGAAATACCAAATGGTTGCTATTGGATGGAATCAGACAACCCTAACAACTACTCCGACAGTAGATTATATGGTCCGGTAAGTTTAGAAGCCGTTTCTTAATCTCAATTGATTTTAACCGAAGTTACTCATTACTTAACTTTGGAACGTTTATCTTTCTCAAATGTTACTTTTCGCTTCTCATTTATTGATATTTATTACAATTGACGAATTTTGTAATAAGCTGCTGGCACTTCAGGTTTCCGGAGGATTGTTAACGGCCCGAGCTACGCATATCATTTGGCCCCCGAAACGATGGCGTACCATTAAAACAGAAGTGTTGGAGCACAATACTATCCCCATCTCAAAACGACACTCATTTTTCGGAATGGATTTTCCGTGGTGATTTAGAGATCTGTGAATAATATGTGAGGTGCTGGGCAGTGTAATAGTTGTAGTATTAGTAACAGTGAAATGCCTGAGCAGGCCAAGTATTCGACGAGAGCATCTGATAAATTATAGACATTGATAATGCTCAAAATTGTCGTGAATTTGTATGTATTACTGATAGAAAGTACAACTGTATGCTAATAACACGATAAAAGCATCGATCCGAAAAAGAAAGTATTGAGTGGTGAAACAACCTTATCTAATCTGCTGCTGATCAGATCCTAGTCTGAAATTTCGAGCATATGCTATGTTTGAATACCGTCTAAACATTACTCTTTCTCGTACTGCAAATAACGCAGAATGACCGATTATTTGGGAGCATACTATCCAAAAAGTAATCTTGTATTAACAAGTGTCACATTGATTTGCACCAACTCCGGGATGATAATAACTGAACATAGTCATTTCACGGTTCCAATATGAATATTTTTCAATATCAATATGAATGTTTTCAATATGAATGCTTCAATATGAATGATGATGAATTGCTAGCACATTTCTCTTCTCCCCTTATTTTTGTCTTGTATTGTACTAACTATAAAAACCGATAAAAAATTATGAAACAAGTATGATAATTTGAGAAACCAATCACTGTTTATTTACTGTGCTTACAGGGATCAATGTTTATAAATCGTAATCGATTAAAATGTGAATGAAACTGAGAATCCACTTTATGTTCTCTCCTTATGGCGTAAGACTCGTCAGTTCTTCTTTTAATGAGCTTTTCGAAACAATTTATGCAGCCTGTACGAAAGTTGTACGACGAGTCCACCCACACAGCTTGAATAAACTGAATTAAACACACGAAATTTATAAATTTTCCACCTAACTCGGATAAGTACATCGGATAAGAAAAACGGATAAGAAAAAAACTATAAGAAAAACGGGTAAGAAAAAAACTAGTACATCGGATAAGCTTAGGATATTTGTAATAATGCACAAAATTGTAATAATGTACAAATATAACACTAAAACTCAATAAAGACCACGTCTGAGACACATATAATTGATCAATGCGAATTTAAAATTCATTCAATTTATTATATATGAAACTAACCCGCGAATAGAAGGTAATATAAACAGTGAAAAGTGATTTGGGAGAATTTCATGCTATTCTGTTCCATGACAACATTGGAAAATTTCAATTTCATATCTCGAAATCATGAAATACGGTCAAGTCAATAATGCTGTTACCTGTAAAAGACAGGAGGTTATATAGTACAGCTTTTATAACACTGCAGTAAAATATAGTCATTTTCCGAACGGGAAACCCTGCGACTGTATCTTAGATTGCAACGAATTAACTGGAATTGATTTCTTTCCCAAAAGACTTTGAACATCAGTACCAATGTATGAAAGTTTTTTTTTTTGCTTTTTGGAGTTTTATGAAGTCGATGATAATATTTAGTAAAGCTTACTGAACACATATTACAAAATTTTCATACCATAGAAAGTGATAATATTCCCCTGAACTAAAAACTTATAATTAAAAATGCTTCAAAACAAACTTCATCACACTCAAATCACGGTGTAAATAACGGCATTTTTTATTTTACGATTGACATAAATTATTGCGAAACATCTTTAGCAAGGTCTAAAGTGTTGTTAACGAATCCTAATTAAATTTTGAAAGTATCGTAATCATCCCAGAATCATGCATCCTCCAACTGTGACTGTAAAATTATTTGTTGGGAATGTTTCGTTTGCAAAAATGCTGTAAATAGCAAGCGTTTTATATTTTATAAGCGGAAATTCAACCTCTGTTTAATCTTTCATATCGAGAAGCCATTCTTTCGTTAAAGCCAAGGAAGTCGCTGCATTGATTTTCTGCTGTCTAGCATGCAGTTCGAATTCTTTTAATCTGAAAGTGTACTATAAATATAGAACCAACTTACTGCTCAAATCAATGGTCATTTCATAAACTTAAAACTACGACTAAAAAAAATCAATCGAAAGAACTGTTTTGAATTCGACATTTTGCATTATATTTTTATATTTTTATTTTGTGATGATATAAATCATTACAGCATATGTTAAGAAAGGTTTGTGAAATATTAATATTGGCAACTGAGAGCATACAGCGAGGAAAGTTCACTTCTGACCATTGGTTTCGATAGGGCGTTGTATGAACTACCATTTTCTTTTTCAGCAGCTTGCAGGCGACACTAAAATTGATTTTCAGTAGAAGAAAAAATTTTTCCAAAAATTAATAAAATGCTATTCTTCAAATCTGAAATTGGGGAGGAGCGTCCCAGAGCGTTCCGAATATTTTTTGAAAGAAATTTTTGAGAGCTTTCGAAACTTTTCTGTCACTGATCACGTTTGTTTCAAGATTATGATAAAGGATGCATTTTTATACGTAATAAATAATTGCCTCATTGGTTTGCTCGGTGATAGCAATCAGCTGCAGAGTTTCCTCTAATTGTTTTTTTGTTTTAAAAAGTTTGTGCGATAAATCGAACATATCCCTGAAAATAATGAATGCACCATTTCAGAATATATCCTCAATTAATCTAATTGCTAGCAAGATAATTATGACTGCAAATATGACATCGTTCTCGTTTCAATATGCAGTAGGATTTGACTTTCCATACAAATAGAAAATTTCAAATTTGAACCAGTAAATTACTTCACTTATCACGTAAAGTTAATATGAAATATTTCTGAAAGAGACAGAAAGAGATACAATAAAAAGATTACAGAATGGTTTTGTACCTTAACTACAAAATTTTTACTGCACAAACCAACGCAGGATGGGAAATTGCTTAATTGCATATTAGCAAAAATTAAGTAATTCTGGAGAATATGAATTTAGAAATGGACAAAATATGCTTGATTTTTTGCAAAATTTACAAACTATAAAATTCGAATAACAAAAAAATGAAGCAAGGGAAAATAAAGTTTACCTAGCTATCATTTGCAATGGTCCCATGAAAATATCACAGAGTTGCTTCAGTTTTTCATCATAATTTCTCACCGTTTTTTCATAAGAATTCAACAAATATTTCCTGAAATACGCGAAATTTTCGTCAGAGCAAATGTTGAAATTGATGAAGAGATTTCTTTTTTTATTCTTCTTACCCAGATGACTTTTTTTCTCAAAAATAGTTATTATATTAATTAATATTCAAGAATAACTTATTACTTCAGGGAAGAAGAAACTTACCTATCTGTCTCCATCTGTAAAACATTTTCTGAAGCACGGTTACACGGTGAGAAAGTTCGAAGCTTCTGAAAGTAAAAAAAAATGCAATTTAAATGGTTTTCTGGTTGGAGTACACCTAACAATCTTAATAGTACATCTTTGCATTGGTGTTTAACCTGACATATGATGCCACGAAATACATATTTAAGAAGCTTTTCTTGAAAGCATATTTTTCAATTCTTAATAAGCGTTCAATTGATATCTTAAAATCATGTGCAATGTAGAAATTAAAGGAAATATAACGCAACGCAGTTAACAAACACACACAAGAATATGTATATATTCATTATTCAAACAATTTGAAATAAAAACACACCACAACTGCTTCAAGTTCAACCTTCAAGGATGGCTCTTTCGTGATGTGTTTCGACTGAACAACAGCGATACGTACATCAATTTGCTGCAACATGCTACAAATCCACTTCACTGCCTCTGCAAAGTGTTTCCAGAAAAATTATATGATTTTTTTGTCATATATAAAAGGATCACAAAAGACTTTTCTCGAATTTCTTTTAATTTTTCGAATTCTTTGACGTATTAAAATCATAAAGCTCGTTTCCTGCTGTTAATGTGCATCTGAAGCAAGAATGATCTTAGCTGGTTTATCTTGAAACTCACGTTTTTCAACAATAACATCATTCTGCGCAACTGTCCCTAGTTAGAATGCTTAATTTGCTAATAATTAAGCTGAAAACTAATAACTATCACAGTTCGAATAAGAATGTTGCAAAAAGGAAATAATTTGGCCATAATATGATGTTTGATCACTTGCACACTGGCTGTATTCGACAATTAGTCATTTCACATGCGCCAAAAGATGAACCAGGCTGAACTGTCAGATAATCGTAATGAACATAGACATTATTCAAAATATATCACTAATTATAACATAGATTTCAAGTATACATGTTTTTAAGTGGATCATAAAAAAAAGTGACGCACCTCTAATAAAGTTCAATTCTCGTACAACTGAAAGTGCGTTATTTTCAACCGCCTTACGTTCTTCCGCTGTTTCCTTGCTCAACGCAATTGCTTTCGAGAGTAAACGTAGCTGTTTTGCTAAGCGGCTTGCAAAATTGCAATCATGCGTTAAAATCTCAGCTTCTTTCAGTAATTTGTTATGTACCGAACGCAAAATTCGAATAACATCCGGTATTGTGTCCTGCAATTCATATGTCTGTCGTTCCACGCTCAACGTACTCGCAGCCGCAAGTTTCATCTCATGAAAGGTTGGATCATGATTGCACTGCGGAAACGGTGAATGCACTGAAAATATATCAGATTTGGATCTATCATAAATATATTAATCAAAAATATATTATTCACTCGTTATCATATGAAAGAGTCATTCATTACACATTGCACCGAATTTTCGACAGTGTCAGGAAACTGTTTCGGTCTTTGATATCACTAGCTGCGAGACAAGACATCTCGAGTAAGTGTAACGAAAAGGTAGAAACGCACGTGAACTCCCTCGAATAACGAAACTGATAATGAATCACATTCTGCTGACAGTTAAAAACAACACTAACACAATGCTTGTAAACACACACAGATTTAAAGATACAATAAAAAAATGAAGCACAAGGAAATATAATTCACCAATTAGTTCTGGTAATTTGATTGGCAAAATATAATTTTCACTATTCTGAAGTCCCATAACAATAATATCAGAACAGCGGTCGATTAAGTCCATAGGAAATGGAGATAATTTGCAAACAACCGCGGAACCAGTTGGAAGTGTTAACAGACAGATCAAATTATGTGCTGGCATACCAGTCTTCACGTAAACATCAAAATAGGATCTGGAAAAACAAAAGATCAAATCTTCTTGAGATATTAAAAAGTTACAAATAGATTTCCCACTCTGAAACTTGTGTACCTTCTTTCGAACATTTGAAATTTTCAAAAAATAGCTTAAACTATCCAAGTTTTGGAATTTCCTTACTTCTCGAAATGATTAACAGCTGAAGTATCAAAGTACTCCTCCAAGCACATAATGTTCATCTTAAAAACACGTATTCGTTTCAAATTTAACAGCTCTTTGCACATTTCATCAAATTTGTTAAACGTTAGACGAGTTGCTTCACGTCTATCAAACAAATGCCGAATGAATTCTCCGAGAATACGACGGAAACTCCTGTAAAACACAGCCTAACCACATTGTCTTAACTAAGAACTATTTTTCGTCAAGCAAAATCTTTTAATAAAATCCAGTTTTTTCATTTGGTAAGAAAATGCCTTATAAGAGTCTCAGAATTTGCTTTCTTAACAAAAAGATCAATCTTTAAAAATTATCACACCTATAAAAAATGCATAAAAAAGGTAAGCTTACTCCGGGTATAAACAACGTCCACTGGGAAAATCTTTCTGCCACAAAAATTCACCCGTTTCACTTGCCCGACCAAATATAGCATTTGCTGGTCGACTAATCATCATATTATACATTCCAAGTGTATCTGCTGGTCCTAAGAAACAATCAAAAATGATAAATGATGACGCGTCATCTATTGCTAAATTCTACTCTTGAAGGGGACTTAGATTTTAATAGATACTTTAACAGGACAAGTATATGAGTCAAACTATTACTACCAGAATAAGAACCAAACAACTTAAGTAGTCGAAAAATTCCAGTTTATATTTTCGAAACCATTAATCCAATTTGGATTGATAAATTTCAACTTCATGAAAATATTTTCACTTTATGACACAATATAATTAAAGTTTACCTTTTGGTGGTACAAAAGGTAAAACACCCGTGGCACATTCGAATAACGTACAACCTACTGACCACAGATCACATTCGTCTTTCGTATATGACAGGGCCGTTGTTTTTTGGGCTAAATTGGCCGTTGAATATTCATTCTATAAAACGAAACACACTGAAATGTTATATTTGATGTTTCTGAAGACAACATTTCAACAATTATTTCAATGCACAATGACTGAATTTTAATAAAATAGCTGACTGTTTTCTTAAAATCAAATCTTCCCTAATGAATGAACTCTTTATATATAAATAGTTCGAAAAATTCACTTTATATAAGCAAATGAAAGGAAGAAAAGCATAATTTATAACAACCCACAAGATATCCTGGTGTACCACAAATGGAATGCAACGGTTGAAAGTTATCAGTAAGAAATCTCGAACCACCAAAATCACATAGTTTGAAGATCATCCTGGCAAGGGAAGAAACGCAGAAAAGTGTTTCAGATGCCAAAATAGAGATGAATAATTTAGGTCTTGAAAATTGCAAAACTAGGATCGATTTTTGTTTTTTTTTGACTTTTTGAGTAAAAAATGTACCTCCCATATTTATCGAAAACTAATAAGTTTTCAGGTTTTACATCTCGATGTGCAATCTTCTTTGAATTCAGATACGATAATCCTTTTTCTAAAAAAGTTAATTTGCCATTAATTTCAACGTTAATTTTGAATTGAAAGAACGTGCCAAAGAAATATATGAATGCCTGATAATGTATACTACTATTAAATAAAAATATTGAGTACGATAAAGTAGGCAAAGTGAATATAGTCAGCTGTAAGTGAACACAGTAAAGTGAATCAAAATAAAGTAATTTGAAAAAATCGTAAATACAAGAAAGTAACTTGATGTCGTATTATATAAAACAAAATGTAGTAAACTGAAATGGTGAATAGTAAGAGGAAATTAAAGTAACGTAAAGTAAACGATGCAACAAGGATACCAAGATGGTCGATTAACTGCAAAAGAATTTGATACGGCAGACCAAACATATTTTCCAATTTCTTCAGCTCATCTCTTACACTACCATCCGCCAACTCCATGATGAGCACCATTTGTTGAGTTTCATTCACATCCTAAAAATCTTAAACATGGAAAAATTTTGTTTCGAATTGATTAAACATAGAAGAACGAAATCTTAAATACATCTAAAACTTTTAAATATAATTTTAATCTTTGTTTGGCAAAGAAGCAATATAAAAAATTCTTTTATCAAGCTCTTGCACCTAGCTCAATAGAAAGACAATAGATGATATTCTGTTATCTTGCTTTATTCACGAACTAATACTCTTCAATCTGATTATTTTACATAGCAATTTTAATTAATAATATATTTAAAAGTAACAGTGTACTTCTTGATCAATCGTGCCAGAGGCAATAAATTTGACGATATATGGAGAATTTATTTGTCGCAAAATTTCAATTTCACGGAGATGCTGTTGAGTGTTGAATTTATTGCAGGTTTTGATCGCCACGAACTCACCCGTTTCTTGATTTCGACCTTTGTGAACCTACCATTTTAAAGCATTAATAGTCGTGTGGGAAATTAAAAGAAATATTGAACAATAAGTTGAATTAAACTTCGAACACCAGATGAATTAAACTGAAATAATAAGCATCATTAGAATATCCTTGCATAGTAGTAAGATCATTCCATCCATTTTGAAGTGGTTTCAAAAAAACCATGTGGAAATGATGTACAATTTTTGAGACACTATCATACAGTGTCTGTAATTTTTATCTAATTTTCACTTACCCACTTTAAACTTCTAGTTTCAAAATTTCAATTCTGAAATTTACCCTTCCAAAGGCTCCATTTCCAATCAAATCGATGCTACGTTGATGCCAGAAAAATTTATTTGCATGTTGTACATCTTCTGAAGCTTCAGCCATTCGCCCCTGCAAAGTAATTTTTTCTAAAATATTTGATGCATGATTTACCCTTTTAAAATAGTTGATTTTCGTGTTTGCATTGTCTATTAAGAAGTTTTCGGAATTAATTCTGAAATCTCATCTTACATGCAGCAAATTCTTCGCATAATTTCTTGACAAATTGCAAATATATGAACAAATAAATATGAGTTTGAGAAAAAGTATTGAAATTGATGATATATGATAGTATACTAAAAAAAAAATACGAAAAATATGTTACCATCAATTAATCATCCGACTAATATTATAATTATAATTATATGTATAATTTATACGAACAATTGAAAGAATAAATGAGCAAATCGAATGTGCGGAAATTATTTCTCCGTTCAATTTTTTCCTATTTACAATCAAAGGCACAGAAGTTGAAAAACGAAAGAAATCGAAATATAGCAATCATTCAACTGACAGTCATTCGACTGCATTATCTCTAAAGACAACACTATGAAATGTAAGTAATCAGAAAATTAATTAATAATTAATAATTAATTGACTTATGGCGTTGATAACTATAGTCATTAATAATGATATTGGTTGTTGATAATGAAGAAGTAGCATAAGAGGGATGGGAGATATTGTCAAACGAACTCTTACGTCTTCATTCTGGATTTCACGTCCAATCGACCGTCGCGAAGAATGTCAGTCTCTCTCTCTCTCTCTCTCTCTCTCTTTCCATTTCCGTTTTTCATCTCTTTTTTTAATTCCAATCATCCGTCCTATGTCTTAGGAGAAAATCCAAACAAAATCTAACTGAAAAAAATAACATTGGCAATAAAATTTGAAATCAGGAAGTTGAGAGTAAAACGGATAAAAAAATTCCAATTTTAGGTCTGCTTCACAAATAACTGCATTTTTTTAAATTGCGATATAAATAAGCTTGCCTACACTTCTAATGAAAGTATATTTGGCCAAATGGTAAAAAATCAACTTATCAGTCTGTTATCACTTCTCTAGTAGATACTAATCATCTTTCTATATGCTCCTGCATTGCTCCTTCATGTTTCTCAATCAAACTTATTACCAGTTTATCAACCAAACTTGTCATCAAGGATGAAAGGAATGGATAAAGGAATGGACAGGAAGCCAGAGTGATAAGCAGTTGAAAGTTAGAGCATAACATTAACATGACATTACGTTCCGGGATAAACAAACCATTCGCCACCAGGAACAACTACCGACCTCCCCAAACCAAATCCCATTTCATGTGTACCTCGTAAGAACCGCCAATTTAAATTTAATTAAACTGACAAAAAAAAATCAATGACTCACTTCGTATCACTACATATTTTGCATTTGGATGATGGAACTTTCGGTTGACTCACCAAACAGCCGATTCCGGTTGAAAGAAGTCTTCTATCGACCTCGATTTCGACTCAGAGTACTGCAAGAAAAGTGTTCGTTTTCTTGGCTTTGTTACAGTTGAAAAAGTGCAAAGAATTTACTGATCGAATGAATGTTACTCTAACCGGAAGAGAGAAAACAAACAAAGGCTAAAAAATTGTAACAAATATTAAAATTCGATTATCAATCTCAATCGATGCGCTGTTGCAGATCAATCGAAGTTGCAGATGATATTAGTTTAGTGACCTCATATGACTTTTGGCCATACACACATACATGCAAAACGATGCTTTGAAATAAATGAATGCTAAAAATCAATGAATAATACTAAGTTGACTTGTCTTTTTACAGGATTCGTAAATAGGAATAATGGAAATATGAATATAATAATGTGAATTTAATAATTTAACATTTCATTAGATATTTAAGTGTGAATAGATCATCGAACCATCTTCGTCCTTTGTTTTTTCATTAAATTAACTCGAACTATAACACATTTTATAGCAATTAGACAATTTTCTTTAATTTCAAGTATTTACTAATTCTTAGCATTCAACAATTTATCAGTTTATTTATTTGAAAATGATTGATTGATTGATTGATGTCAACAATTTATCGATTTTAAGACAAAAATTAATTGAAAGTGCTAATTGATATGGACGGAAGTTAAGGAAATCATATTTTGCTAATAATTTTTAGTTTTCTTTTCAATTTAATTTATGCAATAAATATTCATTTTACCACCGTTTTTAATTTTAAATAAATTTTCAATTCAATCTTAAAATAATTCTTAAATCTTAGATTAAATTAAAATAAATCTTAAAATCTTAAAATAGTTTTCTTTGTTTTTCAAAAAATTCATCAAAATTTCTCTCTGATTTTTTTGTTTTATTTCAATTTTCCTACTTTCTTTTATTTTGTTTGAATAAGTTCGAATTATTGAGTTCATTCTTTCCTTCAATTTTTTACACTTAATTTAGTGTTGGAATAAACAAAGTGAAAGAGATAATTGGCCTTTGTATATTATCGAAATCTCTTTTTCCCAGGCCATTTTTAATGTTTGGCTGATTGATTGCTCTGAAAATTTGAAATCTCCAAATTTTAATTTTACTATTTTTTTTTTCATATTTCTACAATTCAGCAATTTACAATGTTTCGTGTTCTTATCAACAATTAAATTTCATTTTCAGATAGCACTTAAATTGAAATTTGGACATTTCAAGCAATATTTGTTATGGCTAATTTGAAATAAACATAGAAAAGAAATATTTATTATAAGCATTTCTTATTACCGAGAATTTGGACAAATTGATATAAATAAAGAATGTTCGGGTAAATCCCAATTTGAAATTAGCGCAAAAGAAAATTAGCAGGCTTAATCATTATTTAAAAATGACTCGGAAGATATACCTTAATTTAATACATTCCTTCTCGACAGTCAAATAATGAGTTTCATTTCGAAATTAATTACATGTAGGAAATATTTGAATAACGTTTACACTATAATATCATTTTTCATTCAGTTCAATTCAATATTTATAGACTTCCCATATTATTTTAGATTTAAGGTTTCATTTAAAATTTCAACTTTCGTTCAATAATTTAAGTTTAATATTCCATTTAAAAATTTTTTCCTCAAATTGAACGAATATCTGTCCTCTAAAATTTCATTTTGTATTTTTGGGATGAAACTTTAAAGGATAGATTTCATTCAAGAAAAATTATTAACTTTCTGAAAAATGGAATAGTAATATTAAGAAATAAAATATTCTACAATAAATTTCATTAATCGAAATTATAAAAATTCATGTAATTAAAATGAACCTTTAATTTAAAGGTTAATTAACTGAATATTTTCCATCGCTCTTTGAAATTTATATTAAAAAGAAGAAAAAAAATGAAGAGAACAACAAAAAGGTAAAAATTATGAATACTTAGAAAGCATAATTTGGGAAAGAAAAATTAAAACTTTTAAATTATTTGTTATTTAACAAATTGCTAATTAATTATGTTAACACTTTTCAATGAAGAAGCATTATTATTCTGGATCAAGGTTTCAGCTTCTAAATATGTTAAATGTTCAGGAAATGAAATGTTCGGAAAATTTTTAGCATACCCCTTCACAACAATGTTTACATATTGTAGTTGTTATGAAAGGATATGCTAATAACAATTTATCAGTTATCCAAAAGAAAATGGTTCATCAGCTTGTAGATGTTTAGTAAATAAATATTGTGTTCATAATATACATATGTAATATTACGTTCGTTATTTATCTTATCTTTATCTTACCTCAATAATTGCATTGATAAGTTATTGATAAAATCTATCATTACTTTATTTGTTGTTGTTTACGCTAACACAAATATTGTTGTATATATGTTTTTTCCTTTTCTTCTTTTTTTGTTTTATTTAAAGAAAAATCAATAATATCTCATAGATCAAAAGGAATTCCTGAATGCTTATTGCTAATGATTTCTTTTCATTTAATTATGTATTTCTTGTCTACTTATATACATATATTTACTAATTGATTAGATATTTATAGCTTATATTGTTACTGTTATCATTCCTTTTGGTAAATTTTATTAAAAATGCAAAATTTAATATTTCTTTCAAAAAGACATTTTCTAGCAAATATAAACTCTTTTCCAATCATTCAATTATTTATCTTATCAGTATACTTAATTTTCATTAATATCAAATAAATGCTTTCCTCATATTAATTTTTAATATTAAAATATAAATTTTTTGCTATGAGTTTTTGTTTAATTTACAAAAGATATTTTAAATGAAAATTTTAACCTAAATTTTTTTAATTTTAAAAAGTTTTTAAAATTTCGAAAATCGTAATTTTTGCTTCTGTGAGAAGAATTTACAAATTAAATTTCGAATACTAAGTGTGTAAATGTGTAAATAAAAGAATGAAGAAATGATAATAAAGGAAAAAATCATCAAATGAACAAATATAACACCCAATTATGAGAATGTCTTTTCTTATCACACGAAATAGCCATGAGACGACTGTTTTCATTAGGCCATGAGGTCTCATTATTTCTGGTCGAGACTGAAATTCATTTGATCATTTCTGTTTCATGCCGTTGGGCACGTTTGGTGCGTCGTTGATTTATTTTTGTGCAGTCCTATCAATCATTAACTGAATTTGAGAATTTTCATCTATGCAATGCGTGAAACCTCAATGTTTTGGATTTTGGAATGTCTTGCTTGCATGCATTCCTTGAATTATCCGACTCTGGACAATCCTAACTGTATCTGGGTAATTTCCCCCGCACCTCTCAAGAAACTGAAACATTTTTCTGTCAGCAAATTATAAATTTAAACTGTTACTAAACATGCTGTTATGAGTAGATGAGAACTGAGATGAGATTAATTTGGATCCAACAAACGTAGTTTTTTTGTTACCCACGCAATTTTGTTTTTTTTTTTGCTCTACTTTAGAATTAAATTACAAGGTGCTAAGACTACCGTTTTATTTCATTTAGTTGATTAAAGAACGGTATTTATAGCATTATAATAACGCAAAATGGATACTTAACGGGATTAATAAGTTTCAACGTTTTTCCACGGCTTCTAGAAGCTGTTTACTTCTGGCTGCACAAAAAGTAGAATTTAATGTGGCTCTGATTGGTACAATATTTCTTATGATACCAATGCCATTAACTATTACCTTGCAGATTATGTTGCCTTACATTCACTTTCAAAAACGTCTTGTATCTTTGCCGTGCTACTTTACTATACGTCATGGATCATCAGCTACACCTGCACCGGGCCGTATTTATTCACAGAGACATTTATTTGAAGTGAAAAAAACCATGTTAAAGGTATTTCATTGCTGTTTATTTATTTGTAACAGCACTTCCGAAATACTTTATTAGGTCCCAAGCAAGATAATCTATTCTGTTATGACGAATAATGCCTGGTTCGTGGAAGCCCACAGGCTATATTAATTAAGATTTCCTGGCATCATAGCATCATAGGGCTTGAATTATATTTGCCATTGTGACTGGAAAGTTCAGAATATTGTAACCATATCCTTAGGGATTTTATTATTAGATTGAATTCGAAATACCAACCAATAATAACTACTATTGCTTAAGGCGAACAATCCGGACAAATATGCGTTAGCATCGGATTTCTTGGCACATCGGGCTGATTGTCCAAAAGAGTACAAACCAGTCGAACCTCCAGGTATTTTTTTGGATAAACTATTTATCAAAACCATTCGAAAATAGTACATTTAAATGGAGCAAGTAAGGGTACGAATAACTTTTCCAGGTGTATCAATATGAATGATTAAAATAACTATTTCATTTGTGATATTGAAATTGTTTCATAATTTTTGTCCTCAAGAATATTTTTACATTTTTCGTTTTCTTTTCCCCCCTGTCTGCTCAGTATCCATTCAACTTGTTTTTGGTATCATTTGTCTTCAACTTTGGTAGCTAGCCTATTTATATGATTTACAGGTCGAAGCATCACCCCTTCTCCGCAAGAGAAAAAACTTCTCGTTTTAACTAGGATGTATAAACATGAGTCGGATATTCCGGAATCCATCAGGTAATAAAGAGTTTCAGTTTTTGCTCTCACTGATGTTTTTAAGGCAAGGAATGGCCTAAGAAGGCTAAAGAAAGCAAGAAAAGGAAGAACTATATAAGACAGCAAGGAGTTTGCAGGAGTAACAGTAACAATTACGGGGAGAGACCCCGTTCTTTTGAAATTTTATTACGTAGAATAAGTTGATTGATTTTCATTTTTTTTTCATTTTTCTCCAGGTATTTGAGAAAAAAGACATTGTTCTAAATTTTTTTGCATATTTCAGTGAAGTGCGTATTGCAGTAATGAAAGAACGTCTAAATTTTGTGGTATCAGTTTTCTATGTGGCAACATTGTTTATTGCACTTTTTATAACGGTAAAGGCAAAACGCCGCATAATGACTATGGTTGTGGGCGACTCTTAAGATATTTTTAAAATCATATCAGTGAGTTGATAGAGTTATAGTGATTTTGTAAAAATTCTTGCTTCATGTATTTTTTTGTACTACCAACCAAACATGGTGAACGGGAAAACAATGTTTTCACATATTTGCTTTTTCATTATCTAGGCCTAAACTTTTCAAGAGTTTCTCGTAGTATTTGTAAGAAAGTAAATTTTTACTCTCTTGTCTTGAAATCTCATCATACTTAATGGTAATAATTGGCAGTGCGATGAAATAAAATTTACTTGCAATCAACCTTTGTTCGCTTTCGCCAATCATTTTCAAGTATTTAACTTTAAATCTGGTTTTTCCTAGCTCTCTTAATGTTATTTAATCTTGTCAACTTGGCTTTTTTCTTTTTTCCACTCTTGGTTGGAAGTACTTTGCTTTTCACAACACATAGCAATATTAGAATCGTAATAAACTTTTGTAATAATTGGAATTTCTAGATTTCGTGCATTTGGCAAATTTTATGGTAACATTTTTAGTGTTATTTATTGATTATTTAGTAAAAAATCTAATTCTGTATTTATAGTTTGCTGCAATTTTGAACTTTTTATTGTAGTTTATGGTTGATTTGGCTACGTGAATTTTGTCACTCAAACATATGTAGTATAAGTACACTCCGAAGACTGTACTTATATTAATATAAATAAGATCGAAATTTTGCTTATAAAGCCAATTTCATTCCATTTCCTTGTTGTACTTCATAATTAATAGATAGATCTGACTAACATAGCTGGCCTTGGGCCTTTCCGCAATGAAAACATAAATGTATGTTTTAGATTATTCGTCATCTGGTAATAGCAACTATTCTCGACATCATTAAGTAGTTTTGTTTACTCCTGTCTCATATTTTTGCCTGCGGCATAGTATGTGTACAAAGTCTTGAGAAGAAATGTGAAAAGTTTTCTGTTCATCTGTTCACAAAATGAGGTCTAGTGAAGTCATTTTATGTATTGAATTTATTAACGGTTACACAATATTACACAAAAAGCTGTAAACATTTTTTAATGAAGCATTGTAATTATTGCATTTCATTAATTAGATAATCATACTGGAAATAGGCAGGAATCTCCTTTGTAGACCTGAAAGTTGGGTTTTTACAATCCTGATAGGACCATAACTTGTCATATTGCGACGTTGTTTTGCAATGCAATAAGAGTCTTAAGTGAAATTAATGACTCTAAGAAATGAATTGATCATCAATTATAAACGCTATGCGAATTTCGGCAGATTGGTAAATATACTTTTTAAGAGACACAACGATTAGAAACTGATCCTGCTTTTTTTCAAGATGCAATTTAATATAGATTCTGAAGTTGCGGGGAGAGGAATAAAAGATATGGACGATATAGCTAAACGGGTGGACGTAAAATTTTGGAAAACAAGGTTGAAATTTTGGAGTCATTAAGATCGAAACTGGAGTTATCAAGTTGCGGATTTTGGTAGTTCAAATAATTTGGGGGAGTAGAATTTTGATCTGGAATATCGATGCTTCGAAAAATCTATCATAACATAATTGATGTTTATTATTTCGTGCTTGACTGAAATAATTAAACACATTACTGAAATATTCCCGTTATGTTTCCATTTATCAGCTATCATTATAAAGAATTACAATTTTCAATATCTGATAAGATCTCAACATACTCATGCAAAGAAATTAATTTTCCCGATTAATTTCTCAATTGATTTTTTCGAAGAGTTTATTCGAAACTTTATTACCCTTTATTACTGAAATTATTTTCCGGAAAATATGAAATGATAATAAGATCTGTCTGAAAGCTAAAATTTTTTTCTTTTTCTTATCAAAAATGATTTTAGAAAACTGTCACTGAATATTCGTTGTTTTCTTTCTATGTTGTAATAATGAAACATAAATAGGAATTAAAAGAGAGAGGAAAGAGAGTAAAAAAGTTTGTTATGAAAACAGGTTATGCAACAGAACGTTTCACAAGTTTATATCAGAAAAAAGGAAAAATAACAGAATTGTTGTGAATGGTTACAGAAAAGTAAATTTTTAATTTAAATTATTTCATTTTTCATAATTCATTAAAGGGAGAAAATAACTTACACTTTTTCCCGCACAGAAATTTCACTTTTATTATGCAATAAAATGAAAAGACATAATAATTCATTTAGTGGTGGAACAACTTTTTATATTTCTGTTATTTCCAGTTTTTAATGCTATTCGTTCCTATTATTAGCTTTTGTGTTTTTTTTTTTGTTTTCCTTCAAATAGTAAATATCGATATGATAAATAAGATAGTGAAAATATCAACAATCATTAAAGGTAATTATTTACCTGATGATGAAAGGGAAACTTTAAATACATAAGAAGTTGTCGTGGAATTTTCATGTGATATTAATAGAAAAATCGTGATAAACTGATATTATAATTTGAGATCAAAAATTTTTGAAGGTTTTTTTGAAAATTATTCAGAAATTTTATTTACAAAAGAGAATTGATTCATAATTTTCATTGACTAAACGATTAAACAATTCAAAGATTAAATAATTCGAAATTTTGAAATTTATGAAAATGCAAATGGATGATCATAGAATGATATTTAAAATTAACTTTGTGATATTTATGGTTAAATTGATTTTGATAAAATGTAGGAATAAATAGAGAATTGAATTGAGAAGAAAAAAATATAGAAATTGAAGTAAAGAGGGGAAAATACAAATATTTTTGTGACACGGAATAGGTGCAAAGAGAAGAGGAATGAAGAGAGAAAACGAAACAGGAAAGATCTAACTTAGAATGTAATTCCAAATATGTTAATTTTCAATTTGAAAATTTGTATTTCTAAAATAATTACTTCCGTATTATGATATGTAATTCTGTTGCAATTACCGGAATGGAAAGACTTAGCAATAATTAATGGCTTATTTGTAAGCATAGTTTAGATAAGCTATTCTTGTGATAAGTAAATTTTATCAAACGATCGTCAAGATTTTGATAAATGTGACAAAATAGAGTTTTGATTTTTTTTTTTTTAATTAAAATAAATCATATTTAAAGCAATTATATTTGAATATTTATTTTCAAAAAGTATCCAATAAAAAGACGAGGAAGTCATTTATGGTTGGTTCCAATTAAATATACATCGATGTTCTGTTTTATTCAACATACAAAAAAAAAAACACTGTTTTCCAAAATTTGATTTAATTTTTAATTGATTGTTTTGAAATGAAATGTGACATAAGCAACTCATAGAATATGCCCCGAGGAATTAAGAAACTTTGATGGTCAAAATGAAACAGAAAGGAAAAAGGGGTAAATTACAAGTCAAATTTTCTCTTCTCATTAAGTAATTAAAAAAGAAACGAACAAGTTTGTTAGCAAAAATAATTTATTTAAAGAAAAAAAAAACAAATGAAATGAAAGATTTTATTTATCGATGATGTAATATGACAAGATCATATCATTGCCATACCATTCGATCAGTTATTAAACAAAAAATAAACAATATTATCAATTTTGTTCATGAAAATTGTAAATGAATCAACGAACATTAATCATTTGTGGAAACTAATAGATTTTAAACTTTATATTTCTTTCCTTCTGTAACCGAATACAGTAGCATAAAAGAGCGACGTACAGTTATCAGGAATATTTTCATTTCATTTTCGCTACAGTAATTTCCTAATGAATTTATTTACAAAAAAAAGAAAAAGGCTTGTTTATCGTGGATGATCCGAATTTTTTCACTATAAACATATAAACAAATAATATTTCTAAGTAATAATACTTCTAAATAATCTGATAACAAATAACTCTTGATAATACAAATGATACTTTTAAGTAATCTGATAACAAATAACTCTTGATAATACAAATGATACTTTTAAGTAATCTGATAACAAATAACTCTTGAAAAAAAAATTGATGTTTTTCTTTTTCAGAATCAAAAAAAAAAGCCAAAATACATTAAGTGATATTATTATCATTTGAGCATGTGATAAAGTACAGTTTTTCAATGTTATTACAGTAGTTGAAATGGAAAAAATATTTGTAATGAAAACAAAAAAGAAGGAAGAAAAATTTCATTTTGAAATTGTTAGCGAAATTTTAAAACAATACCTTTTCCTATACTAAAAGGATAAATTAGTGAAATGACGGTAATAACGGTAATTTATTAGCTAATAAATACAAATAAATGCTTTCGTTTGTTTTCCTTTCTTCTATCACTTAATGTTTTCTTTTTGTTTTAATTTCAATTCAAAAAAACAAAAAGATTATTAAATATAAATTAGGAAGCTATCAGAATTATTCGAAATGCTATTTTTCATCGTTTATGCGACTTAATCATTTTATGATTAAGCTTTATAACTTTAAAATGTAATGCGAAACTTTTTTTCTCTGAAAAAACTGGTATTGTAATGTTAAGATTACTTTTATTCTTTACTTATTTCATTCTTTCTTCGTAATCTTTTCTTTTTGTTTTTAGCAAAAAACTCTAACAATTTGATTGATTTTTTGAATTTCTTTGCTGTTTCTATCATCTCATATTAATTATAATTATTTTCCTAATGAATATTTTTCTTTTCATCTTTCTTTCCTCTCTTTTTTTTCCATTCTCTTTTCTATGATAGCAAAATGAAAATTTCTCTTTTTTTTTGAAAAAAATAATGTATCAAATGTATCAATGGAACTCTTCATGATTTCAACAAAGTCGGAAAAGAACTGGAATTTTTCCCGACCTCAGAAAACTGTGATAATTTTTAAATATAATCAACACACATACACACACACACATACACACACATACATGCATGCATACTTCATACATGCATGAAAACAAGCAATGTCATATAAAAGGAAAGTTGCGAACATCCGAACTATAACAAAAATTCTTTGCTACACCTTCTAGCTACGACATGTCTATCAACAACCGATAATTTACCATATTAATAGTTGATTATTTGTTTTTAGCAACTTTTTCGAATCTTCTAAAGGAATATTTATTTTTTTTGATTCATTAAGAGGAGAAGAGGAAAGAAACAATTATGCTTATTTATTGTATTTTAAAGTTTTTTCGAATGTAAAATTAGCATAAAATAATTGATTCATTGGAAACAATAAAAATTTCATATATTTTGAATTTTTTTTTTTTTGGACGATTGATAAAAGACTTTATCTCATTTATAATAAATGCTAAAATTTATTAGTTGCAGTGATGTTCAGTGTTTCACAGAATTTATTATTGAAAGATTATAGTTGAAAGAGAATTTAGAATATTGCGATATTCATATTTCTAATCGAATTGCAATCGCTCTAATCTGAATTTTCAAACATTTGCAACGATTTATTATAACTATTTTTTTATAAATACATAATATCATAGTATCATAATATCATAGTATCATAATATCATAATATCATAGTATCATAATATTATAGTATCATAATATCATAATATCATATGGGTATTCTTAAATTACAATTTTGTCGGAAAAAATGCTATAAAAGAAAATCATTTTCATTTTTCTAATTTTCAGAAAATAGTTTTTTTAAAAAAGGAAAAATTTTTTGATGTAAATGAGATAAAATAAAATGGGAAATACTTTTCTTCAATTCATTTTCATTAGGGAATCATATGAAAACTTTCCTTAAAGGAAAGATTGTCAAATACTATCCATCAATTTTTACTTTTCCAAAATTATTTTAACTTCTGAAATTTTTTGAAATTGTTCAAAATTTTCGAATAGACTCTAATGATATAACAATTTGCAAATTTTTGTCAAATCCATTATGATAAAATTTGTCAACAGTAATTATCGGAAGCTTGTCAACAGTAATTATCGAAGCTTGTCAACAGTAATTATCAGAAACATTTTCAATAATTTTGGTCAAATTTTTAAACTGAAATTATTTGCATAAGTTATGCAGAACGCTGTTTCTCCTTGTTTAATTACTTAATCTTTTCTTAACAAACAACATTTACGATTACTCTTCAGGTCATCCATCAATTATCCGTAAAATGCTAACAATTCAACAAGAAATTAATGACTCATATAGTATTCAGTTCGAGTTAATATGAAAGACAAAAAAATTTTTCTCGATTTAATATTTATTGTAAAATCCTGATCCTGAAACTTGTTAACCGGAAATCAATTGATAATTACCTCATTATGCTGCTGTTAGATTCTCGCAACTAATGCAAAATTGTCTTTTTAATTAAAAACATAACAAATATTAAATTTACAAATTTCAAATTTTAGATCACAATGTGGTTTCTGTTATTATTTATTTCCTTAACATTCATTACCAAATCTATTTTTGGCCAAGGTCGAATTGGCCAGACATCAACTCGCTTCATCGAAAATTGTGATCAGGCGCCAACACCTGCAATTCGCACGACTTGTTTAAGTGTGAGCTATTTGACAATACTGCGAGATGATTTTTCAAAATTTCCACTTCAACATGATTCTCCAAAGATTAGAACAAATTTTTTCACTTATTTTTTAGCTTCAAAGGATGGCGAACAATTCGAGAAGAAATTCCGAGCAACAAGCCGAAGTCATAATTCATCCGCCTGGTATTCCGGAACATTTGAAGCCTGCTGCAGTAGTTCCAGGTTCAAGAGGTCAAGTTGCAAGCAATCCATATGATTGCATGACGCTTACTTGTCTCTGCCCTTATTTCTCGGTAAATTTCTTATTCAGCTGTAACTTAATTATAGATTTCAAATTGTTTTTCAGATTCAAGTCATTTCAAGTTAATTTGAAGCTATCGATGTTATCGTTCTTATTGTTATCGGATTTAAATGGACTCTAAATTTTTCTACAGGGCAGTATCGGTCCACAAAATCAGTGTATACTGAGGAATGGCAAAGTTATAGCGATGGCATACCGTAAGGAATACCGAATGCTTACCGAAGATGAACGATTGCGGTATCATAATGCTCTTAACGTATTGAAACGAAGTGGAGAGTATGATCGGATTAGCATGCAACATCGATTAGTTCGTTGCATTTTTTCAGCAAAATATTAAATAAAAAAAAATTAAGTAAAGAAAGATTGATTTAAATTTCGATAAAGTTTGTTGAATTTGGTATTTAAAATATTCAAAAATTAAAAGAAATCAATTATCTACTAGAAAAGATAAGAAACCAACGAAATTCAATTATTTTGAAAATTTAAAAAAATTTAACATTGATAATTGGATATATATTAATAGTTCGATGCCTTAGGTTGCAGCAAGAGGTGGCGCACATACCGGGCCTGGTTTTCTACCGTGGCACCGTGAATATATCAAAAGGTATTTATTGATCCAATTTTTTTCTTAAAAATGTCAATTAACACAAAATTTCATATTGAATGTTTTTAAAAAAGATGCTTAGAAGTATCCTTTCGTTATTTCTCGACTATTTAGCATAATTATCGAAAAATTCCAAAATTTAAAAAAGTTATTCAAATTTTTTATTGAAATAAACTTGGTATTTTCTTGTTGACAACTCATTTTTTGAACAACTATTAATCTTCGAGATTATATCAAGTAGTCGCATTCTTTTTCAACACTTTTGTTTAGATTCGAGATTGCACTTCGACTTATTGATCCATCGGTTTCCGTGCCGTATTGGGATTCTGTGCTGGATAATTATTTACCCAATCCACGTGATTCCATCTTCTTTAGTCCACTTTTCATGGGTGAAACTGATTTCTACGGCAATGTCATTAATGGTCCATTTGCACGTTGGAATACGCTTGATGGACGAAATGCTATATTGAGGTTAGTAAAATAAGCAAAAATTAATTAATTAGTTATTAAAAATTTTTGTCTAATTTTATTTAACTCTCTAATAAAGCAAATCTTTAGCATATATGAAATAATTTGTACTTAATCATTAAAATTTACTTCTATCTTCAGAAATCTTGGACGGGAAGGACAACTTTTCACTGAAAGAAGCATAGAGCAAGTATTGCAACAAAATACTGTTTATAATGTTCTCTCTTATACTGCACCAATGAGGGGTTCGAATTAATTTTTTCCTTGACTTCAATTTTTTTTTAAGTCCATTTAATTAATTAATTTATTTTCAAAATTAATTTAATTCATTGTTTATTTGTAAATTAAAAAAATCAGTTAGATTAAATATGATAATGATACCTCTTAGATAGCATTTTTGTTTTGTTTTTAGGTTGTCCATATCCGGTAAATTATGGTGCATTGGAGTATTCACATTCTAATGTCCACCTTTGGATAGGTGGTCACATGAAACCACCGGAACAATCATCCAATGATCCGATATTCTTCTCTCATCACGCATTTGTTGATTTTATTTGGGAGTTATGGCGACAAAATGTTCAGCCAAAGTGGTCTCGGGAATTAGTTCATTTTCAATCTTGTCTTTTCTTTTTCTTCATTAATTCATAAACGATATTATTATGATAATCGTAATAATAATATCTCATTTATTAATTATCATAATATTTTTACAATCAAAAAATTTTATTTAAAGGATTATCCACCAGATATAGCAGCATGTGCCGATCCACAACATTTTAGCTACGCATTAATGCGCCCATTTTTCACACTTTACAATCGAGATGGTAAATTTCCCTTTTTATGTTTATTATAGCAATATTATTAGTTTGGGTTATATTTATTTTTATGAATGACGTCAACAAATTTATGAAATCATAATAGCAAATTTATGTAAAAGTGAAAGTATGCTTAGATAGGAAAACCGGCTTTAACAAATAGCGCTCTGAGAAAGGGAAAGTTTTGATAGGTATTTTAGAGGGTGAAAATAGATGGAACCAATATTTAGCATTATATCAAATTATTTATCAAATAGTTTGATGGAAATGTAAGATGTTATTAAGAAATGAAACGAACATTTAAGCGAATGAATAAATTCGTAAATGTAAAAACCGGCTTAGACAAATAGCGCTCGGAGAAAGGGAAAGTTTTGATGTGTGTATCGGAAGAAGATAAGTGAAACTTTTCTCAATTTAGAAAATTAATCAACAAAAGGGCAAAAAAAAATCATATGTTCGGTAAATTTTTCAGGTGGCATGATGAAATAAAATATAAGCAGAAAAGTTATGAAAAATCGCACTTCAATTATTTAAAATAAATCAATGAAAAATGATTTATATTAGTTCCACGTTTCAATTTTGAAAATTTTTTAAAATATTTTTCGAATAATTCGGAATTTTAATATAGCAAAAACATATGCTCCAATTATTTGATACATAGATAAATAGTATTTTATAAAGTAATCTACAAATGGAATTTAAAAATTTATTTATAAAATTACGATATATTGAAATTAGCGATTAGTTTTAACAATTGAAAATAAATTTATAATTTTCAAAATATGGGAACAATAAACTTTCTGATGCAATTCTCACTTTTCAAAATTCATTCATTTATGAAAGTCATTTCAAACATGTCACATTTACAATCCTAAATTTAAGTAAAAGTCATTTCAGGTTTGTCGAATATGTACACGGATCAAATGTATCGATTTGCGCCACGTCCTGGTTGTACCGCGGAGATACCAACTTGTGGTACATCATATCTATTTTGCGACACCCGTGGCATTCCTCATTGTGTTTCTAAAATTAAGTTGAATGGTCTTTGTATCGGTTACGAGCGTTTTGATGCTTGCTTCAACGGAATTTGTTACATGGGGCGATGTGTACCAGGTCCAACACCGGCGGTAACTTTTTTTATAAGAAAAAAGCCAATCAATCTATACTATATTGGATTGCCTATTTGAAAAACTTAAAATTTAAAAATTCGAAAGTTTTTTCCGGGATAAAAACGATCCAATAGAATTTAAATCGTCAAAAAAGCAAAACAACAAATTTTAGAAGTATAAATTGGACTTTCTATTTTTTTTAAATTAAACTTCTTATGAACTTTGTAGTATTTTTAGCCTTTTGTACCACAAGAACGTCTCCCAGAAGTGCAACAAACACAAATTTCACAAGCTCGAATTCAACAGCAATTTGTGGATTGCTTTAATCGACATCCATGTTGTGAAACTTGGGCTAGTATGGGTGAATGCAGCAAAAATCGTAATTATATGCGACAATACTGCCGAGTTGCATGTCACATTTGCAATCCTAAATTTAATATTAGCAATGGTAAATTTTAATAACAGTGTTAATCACTACAAATATCTTAATTAAGAGAGCGACGATGGCATAATTATATTATTTGTTATTTCCATTTTTTAAAGATATTATATATTTTCATGAAAATTTTAATTTTTTAAGATTATAAATTCCATAGTAAGCAATTAGATAAAGGTAAAATTCTCTTTTTTAATTTTACTTTTCAGTCACTATGTTTTTTTTTGATGATATTTGAAATGAAAATATTTCAGAATGTGAGGATCGTCATATTGCCTGTCGACAATGGAGTATCAATGGTCACTGTAAGGGAGACTCGAGTCAATTTGTAGAAGAAAACTGTCGTCAATCATGTGGCTTGTGTAATACTCCCAAAAACATTTCATGTCCAATTCCAAGATCGGTTATTATTACTTCCGGTTTTTCTTCAAGAAAAAGAGAGACTATATGACTTTTAAAGAAATTTAATTTAGTTAGCTAAATATCTTATAATCTTCTAAATGATTTACGATTTCTTGAAGACTACTCTTTTATTTATTTAAAATATAATGAAACAAATGTCTCATAATCAACAATAATAATAATAATAACAATAATAAGGATTACAATGATAAAATCATGATAAAATCATATTTAAAAATCGGTAATCAATAATGATAAATGATAAACAATGATAAAATCATATTTAATGATAAACAATGATAAAATCATATTTAAAAATTGGTAATCAATAATCCATTTTCAAACATTGCACACATTTTTCTGTAAATATTTCGTATTTTGTTAATGACACTAAAAATGAAATCTTTTAACTCATATTTCAGATTCATCAATGAATTTATGCTTCCTAAACTGGTTCAATGATATTATTATTTCCAATCAATCAATAATCCATCACAATTAGTAGAAATCTTCCTGCCAAAGAAAGATAAGCCAAACAATTTTATGAATATATAAAGTAAGTTATTTTTTATTAAAATTAAGTCCTAAAGAGAATCAAATATTAGACAATTTCTTTTAGAAACTTAGTAATTTGAAGTTTGCATGAATTTTCAATGCCAAAAAAAATGGGTTAAAATTTAAAAACTTTTTTCGAAATGTATTTCTGAAATAGAATGAATTGTTTATTCAATTCCTTTATTACCACCCATTAGCTCTTATCTTATCACTTAATTATTTCATTAATGAAAAGTATTTTCTCATTTCTTTCAAATTTAAATTGAACTTATAATCATTGCTGGAAAAAAGAAACTTTCCAAATTTTTCCTCATTGAATTTTGAACTTTATGCGTAATTTTGCAAACTATTGTTGCATTTACTGTTTCAGGTTTCATTTCATCATATAATTATTAGTAGCAAAATTAATTGGATAGTTTGGGATTAATTAATTAAATGAATAATTAAGTGCTATTTGTTATCTGTGCTTATATTTGTAATCACTTATGGGATTTAATTTGTTCACAAATTTACATATCATTTCTTAGTTCTTTTCAAACTTTCGCTTACCAAAAGAAAAAAAAATTACACAAATAATATTTTATCGGAATTTATTTGAAATTCACGAAATCTTTATTGTTGTTAGATTATCTGATTTGAGACAGCTTTTCTTTTTTATCTGAAATTAATGTTATCATTGATCTTTCACTGCCTGCTGATCTTTTTTAAATTTTGCCCAAATAAATTTATTCATTGCCATCATTAAGTCAATCAACAAAAAATAATTTTTTGTAACGATCATTTTTTTATCAAATGAAGAATTTTAGTGATATGATATCACAGATTAACGATAATCAAACCATAATGAAGAATTTTAGTGATATGATATCACAGATTAACGATAATCAAACCATAATGAAGAATTTTAGTGATATGATATCACAGATTAACGATAATCAAACCATAATGAAGAATTTTAGTGATATCATATCACAGATTAACGATAATCAAACAATAATGAAGAATTTTAGTGATATGATATCACAGATTAACGATAATCAAACCATAATGAAGAATTTTAGTGATATGATATCACAGATTAACGATAATCAAACCAAAGTGAAGAATTTTAGTGAAATGATATCACAGATTAACGATAATCAAGCCATAATGTAGAATTTTAGTGATATCATATCACAGATTAACGATAACCAAACAATAATGAAGAATTTTAGTGATATGATATCACAGATTAACGATAATCAAGCCATAATGTAGAATTTTAGTGATATCATATCACAGATTAACGATAATTAAGCCATAATATAACGAAAGGGCAAAGAGAATGTGATACCTTTTTTACTGTTTAAAAAAAAAATTTCAAATATGTTAATTAGCACTCAAATTTTATTAATATTTAAAATATAAATTACTGTTTTTGCTATAACAAAAATATAAGAATTAGAATTAGAATGATATTAAATAAAACTGAAATTGGATAATATTAAGATTACTATTTTATTTTCTATTATTTTCTAATATCGTTGAAAAATGAAAGAAATAAATTGTAAGACAATGAAACATTGAATTGAATAATAATAAGACAATAGAGAAAGTGATATTGTTTTTTTTTTTTGCTGTTTATTAGGAGAAATTCTTTTAATTTTCTTATCAAATAAATTTGGATAAAATTTAAAAATTGTGAATGTTAAAATTTAAAGAGAATAATTAGCATTAATGAATTTTTAGGTGATAATGATAATTGAATTATTCCTATCTACTTGAAAAGTTACTGATTATTTCGGAGAAAAGCTAATTTTAGCACTTGTCATCTTATCAAAGAGAGAAAATTCCCAATCAGTTAAGAATGAAAAGGATTAGGAAATAGTTGTTGAATACAGAAATGAACCAAAAGGTATCTTCATCGATCAATTAAAATGGTTTGAAAGTTATAATGATATTGGATAAAGTTATCATCCTATAATAGCAATTAGCTAAACATTTTTAATAGTTTTGAAACGAAAAAGATTTTTGATTAAATAAGTTATAAAAATTCGTGATTCATTAGATTTATTGTTGAAGAGAGAAGAGATGGAAGGTGAGAAATAATGGAAGTTTAATTTTTGATTGAAAAAATATGAAAAATTTTTGATCAATTAAACGAAACAAAATTTTCACACAAATGTTAAACGATGAACTGAAATGATTTATTAAGTTTTTCTGTAATTCGAAAAATATGAGAAAATAAAGATTGAAAAAAGTTTGCTTTGGATGAGAACTATTTCAGAAGTATCAGATTAAATGGGTAATAATATAAAAACAAAGGATAAGGTAAGTAATTGTAATAAACACAGGTAAGCAAGCATAAGATTGTAAAAAATTGAAGCAAAAATATTTTTTTGCAAATTGCCATAAAAATTTTGTGTTAATTTTCGAATTTCAATTTTTAAAAAAAGAGAAAATAGGAAGGAATTTATTTATTTGAAGCATAATGTTTTTTTTGCAGAAAATATTTTATTTTCTATCAGAAAGATAAAAATGAAATAACAACATTTTGAAATGATGCAAAATTTTCTAATAACATAGTGAAAGTGTGGAAAGGAAGAGAGGAAGAAAAGTGAAAATTTTACATAAAAATAGAAATATAAAAGTGAATTAAAGAGAGGAAAAGAGAAGAGAGGAAAATTAAAGTTGGTTGTATGATGACGAAAGATGAACGATTTTAATTTAGATCAATTTTTGAAATTCAAATAACAGGTTTCTATTCTATTCTTTCATTCTAATTTACTCATTGCAAAAAAAAGCGAGTTTTCAATTAAACACATTATGCCACATTTTGATGTAAAATTTTTGATGAAAAGTTGTAAGAAATTGTTATGCAATCGTCATATATAATTGTTTAATATGAAATTGAAATATTATTATTATTATTATTATTAGTAGCATAGTTTACTAATTTTAAACTTTAAGATTTTTACTTATTTTGCTGAAATTATGATGCGAATGAAATGAACAATAATTATTGATAAATAAAGTACGGCAAGAGAATTCAATGATTGCGGCAGTTGTTGTTGTTGTTGTTGTTGTTGTTGTTGCTGTTGTTGTTGTTGTTAGCTGAAATGAAAGGATATGGCGGAAAAAATCATTTCTTTTTTTGAAGGAATAGAAAATGAGAAGGAAAGAAAGAAAGGAATGTTATGGTACTTCAATTTTAACATTTAATCATTTTCTCCTTTTCCAAAAATTTTTTCCTTCAATTTATTAAAAAATAATGATAACAACTAATTTGATTTCATTAAAAACAAGCTAATCATCACATATGAGATTTCATTTCACAAAATACTTGAAGGCGGAGTTGAAAGTTTAATTTTTGAAGGAATTGTATAAAAGAAGCATCGTTGGTTCTTTATTAACATTCTTCGTTTACCTCCAGAAATTTCCTCAGTTTTTTTTACCTTCTTCGAAAACTTCGAACATACCAACCGATGTTAGTATTTTCATTTCACATTCTATTTTTGCTAATACTTTTTTCTTTTGTAACTACTCCTTTGGGAATGTTACAGTATTCATCTCAAGCAGCTCTGGAATTTTACCTGAAATTAACTTATACAAAAACAAGTGTTACATTCATTAATTAGTTATGCTTATAACGCTTCTTTTTGTATAATTTCTAAAATGTTATAGAATTTGAAAACAGCATTGTTAATTGATTATTGAGATTGAAAAATAAAGTTTGATAAGAAACAGTGTGATATTTTGTTGTCACATTAATCAATGATTTTATCACACGAAATACTTAATAATAATCACAAATTATTAATAATAGAAAATAGCATTGTTTAGATAATATAATTATTAATTAATTATAAAAAATTGAAAAATTGATAAATTGATCTTTCTGAAAAATCAAAATATCATCGAAGCAATGAAATGAGTGTTAATTTGAACTTTATACTGTCATATTATAAAAGGAATATATTTTACACACTTTGAAATTCCACACCTTGTCAAATCAATCCAATTTTTTTGTTGACACTTTTATCTCTCTTAAAAGATCAACCAGCCACTGTCATGTTTAAACATTAACAAAAATTGAAAACAAGGAATTTCCCAAAACTTATCATTTATTCTATTCACTGCGATTTCATTAGGATGATACATTTCTAATATACTGTAGTTTTATTGTATGATACACCAATGATATGTGATTCCTTGAAATTTATCTCATTTTTTCTTCCTCCTTTGATAAATTTAGAAATCTCGGGATATATTTCTGCAACACAAATCAAAGTATTAATATAGTGATTCATGTCTTTTTAAAAGTCAAATTTAGTTTTTTGCAAAATTAAGTTTTAAAATGAAATTATAAATTCTTCTTACCAATACTTATCCATTTCAAATATCATATATTTTTAAAATCTATTTAATTATTTCTTGAAATAAATCAATTTCGCATTCATTTAAATGAGAATTTAAAGTGTTAGCATTTCATTTAATCAATAACGTTTTTCGGTCACTTAATTAAATCATTTTAAAAAACAATTTGTTGTTAATTTCTCTTCTCAATTATGTCTCACTTCACTAACATTTACATTACATACCTTACTTAATTTTTATTCGATATTCATAATAATATTTTTTGTTCCAAATCCTCTCTTTTTAATTTGCCAACTTTTAGATTTTATGAACTTTTAATGTTTGCATCATTTTTCAATGTTAATATTTAATGAATGATAAGTGGAAGGAAGAGCAATATGTATGAATGAATGAATAGTCAACAACAGGATAGGTTGTACCTTTGACTTAACAACTTCAGTATTTACAACTGATTGAATTTATTTCCGCTCAAAAATGCATTTTACACCTTTTTTTCGTCATTCTTTATATGAATGATTAATCGTTCAATTTTCTCGTTTCAACAATTTTACAATTTATTCCTTTCCCTCAACTAATTATTATCTATCATTCATTCATTTATTCGATAAATGATGCTGTCTTTCAAGTATCACGTAAAATGTTGCGTAGTAAATTTTCTTACACTTTTTCCAATTACTACTTTTTACTTCGTTTAGTTCATCTTTTTGATAGTGCATAAATATTGATATGATAACGTCAGTTTCAAGCCGGTCTTTTGACTTGCACCCAAAAATTTTAGCATCAATACGCTTGTTGTAGTTTTGATTCTTTCAATTCCCAATTTTGTTCCGATTACTTCATTGTCGATTACGGCATAGTGATAATGAGAACTTATCAGTTTAGTATTTTATCAGAAAAAAAAATGTGTTTTGCACTTAACACCAATTCTATATCTGCTGTTCATTCATTCATTATCATTAAAATGCGTTTGTGTACTAATCATCGGTGCAATTTTCTGATTGAGTACCAATCTTCTCGTAATACTATCTCTTCCAACGCTCAATTCAACATAAGTATCCTTCGAGACAAAATAATCATTTATGGCTTGCTGTTAAATTCAAGTATGAGAAGCAAAAAAATTTTTAAAAATACAAATAACAAAAAGTTTATTTTTTTATAATACAAAAAGTAAATATTCTTTTTTTAAACTTTTTTAAAACCAAATATAAGTTACTCCCAGCTGATCATAATCAACTGATTATGATCAGCTGGAAGTATTCAAAGTCATAATCAGATCATAATCGCAATATGAATAATTATATTTTTAAGAATATGAATTCTCAATGACTTTCACATCATTTTTTGTGATAAAAAAAATGAATGTTTAAATTAATATGAGATTGCTAATTAAATAAAATATAATATAAGAAAGCAAAATATTCCATGAATATAGCAAAATTTGCAATAATATATCACACAGAAAACTTCAAGTATAAACAAAAATGTGAAAAATGATAATATGGAATGCATCAAACAAATTCAAAAATTTGATATATTAGAGAATAATTTAAGAGATGAAATCGAAAACCGGAAAAAGTTTCAGGATTTAGCTATCAAAAGAAACATTTATTGTATTAAGAAATTACGAACATATTTAAGGAATTTCGAGAAATGATGCTGTTCAAAAGAAATTTCCACTCTTATCATAAATAATTTTTCAAAGCTTCCAAAAAAACAGGAAATGACAGATGACATTCGTTTCAAGCAAATAATGACTTATACCAATAGTATTGCATAATGATAAGGGAAGAATTTTAATTATCAACTGATTGTTAGCATCGGCAAATTTTCCTAACGACTTGAATTTTATTTCTAACACAAAGAATTAATGAAAAATTTAATAAATAAATTAAAAAGTAAACTGTTTAATTGCAAATCAATAGTTATATTACAAATGTAAAACTTGAAGGAGTGTTGTTACATCCACGTAATGCGTCATCGCTGATAATGGTGTTGAAGATGTTTCAACAATTTATTACGAAGTTTACTGGAAGATATTTTAATTTATCCATTTCCAGATAAATTGCGAATAAATCTATAAATAACAAATCTTTATTAAAATCAAAAATTTTCTTCAAAAAAAAAAGAAGAGTTCAGTTCGAAGATTTGTTGAATATTAAATAAAATAAAAGTATACTTTGTAAACATAAATGTTTAAATAAAAAAGGGAAAACAAACTTTGGTAAATAGAAAGCCTAACCAGGAATTGATTTCTTCTTCCTGCCGTTTCTTGTTCCTAAATTTCACCACTCCTCCCTCCCGAGAAAACTTGTTAAGAAATTATTGTGATAAAAGTAACCGGATTAAAAGTAATAGCTGAAAATTCAGTATTTATTCACTTCAATGATTATATAACATTTCATTTCAAACCTTTTCTTAAGCTAATACTTTTAATTAGCAATTATCTTAAGAATTTTTTTCCCTTCTTTTTTTTTCATCCTTCAAATTAATTTAATAAATTTGCCGATTAAAACAATAGTCGAATTTCATTACTTTAATTATTCATCCAATGAAACTAACTGTTATTCATTCCTTTTCTTTTTACAAAACAAATATTATTTTTCGTTTTAATATGTTTTATATGCTTTTTGAATTTCAATGAATTCAAATATTATCATTTATATTAAATTCGTTTAAATACAATTTCTTTTTAAATAGCAAATAGTTTTGATAGCAAAATATTGGAAGCATAAGAGTGATTGAGATGTTATATCACATAAAATAATTTAACTTAAAATTTTCACTAATGTTTGATTTCTTTCTTTTATCATGCTTTATCAAAATTTCAAAAATTGTTTATACTTAATTTTTCACACTTTTTTGTTTCTATTGATTTTTTTGCAGCGTTCTTCTAAATGATAAGTAAAAAAAACAAAAAATGAAATTAAATCATTTAATTTTATAAAATGATAGAACCAAATGATTATTTTAATTGATGAATAGAAATTGTAATTATTTTTAATCAATGCTCATCCATAGATAGATCGGAAAAATTGTCGTAATGAAATCGGATTCGATGTTGAAAGTATAGATCGGAAAAATTGTCGTAATGAAATCGGAATCGATGTTGAAAAAAGCACTAAATTTTCTATTACGATATTTAGTATAATCTATTTTTGACGATAGCAAAAGTATACATCTAATCCGATTTTAGGCGATAGATAAGGTATATCACTGTATAATTCAATGTTGTTGATTATCTTAAAATGATTCACAGTTATACCATTACATAAAACTATTTCTCATTTATGGAAGAAATTATTTGCAAAATTAAAAGTGATAAAAAAAACCGGTTGGTTTAATTTATTCTGAAATTAAGCCAACAACTAAAATTAAACTAATAAAAAATTAAAAGTTAAGAATATTTTCGGCAATAAAAGAAAAACATTATTTCTTTACATCTATGATAAACTTTTCAAATCGATTTTTAATCAAATGAATTGACATAATTTTCATAATCAATCGATATTGCTATCTTTAACTATTGTATACATTAGAAAAGATAACATAAAGTAGTTGTTATGAATATTTTAAAAAAATGACATAATTTTTTTAAAAACAAATAATTGTATTACAAGGGTATTGAAGTGGAAACTGTTGTATGAACATATTGGCTTGTAGCGAAAAAGCATGCAAGGTCATCTTTTTATAGTTGAATGACTTTTAGTTGACCTTCTTTAATGTTATACCTCTCACAAACAATTAACATTTTTTATTTCATTATTCAACTTACTTCAGTTCTTTGTCTCATGAAATATTTCTTTTAAAAAATTTGAAACATTTCCTGAAAACTCAAAATGAAATATTTTTTATAGAACTGAAATTTGAAATCATTTTACTTCAAGAGATTGTAGTACAGGATAAAAAGAGAAATTTGTATTTCTCTTTCAAATAAACATTGAGTACTTTTATAATGCTAATACTTATTTATCCTCCTCTTTTCATTTTGTTTTCTTTTTGTTTTAATGACTTATTTATTTACTATTTTTAATTTGAAATAGAAAATTTCCAATTTCAAATCAATCATTCAGTTCCTTTATTTGCATAAGAATGGATTTGTAAGAATGGCTTGGTTAAAACAAAATTTCTTCCAAAATATTTTTCTGATAAAGATATTAAAAATTTATCAAAAAAAAAGCCTTTTTGCTTCAAAGGAATATATTCAATTAGAATTTCAAACATTCGAAAAATTTCAGAACAAAAAAGAAATTTTGGATAAATTTTTATTTTTTGATAACGAAAATAGAAACACTATAAATTAATTAAATTTATTAATAATTAATTTTTGTGATACAACAAAGAACGCTATTTTAATATGCCAAATAAATTTATTAATAATTAATTTTTGTGATACAACAAAGAATTGTCTTTTCTTCTTTTTCTTTTTTGGAGCAAATGAAATTATTTTACTGTATTGCAACATTTTTGTTTACTGTAACATTTGGTCAACAGCCGAGATTTATGCAAAACTGTAATGAAGCACCAACAGCTGAAGCACGACAAGTATGCTTTACGGTAAGATATTTAAACAATTGTTTAATTTTCAAATATTTCAACATTTCTGTTTAACTTTTCGTTTTAATTTTTCAAAATTATTTAGCAACCAAATATTTGTTTGCAATATTTTTCTTCCTCTTTTTTTTTTCAATTCTAAGTTTATTAATTTGTTTTGGAAGAAATTGCCTTTTTGCTAAAATTCTAATTAATTTTTTGCAGAAAATTAAAATTACAATGACGTTAAATCAACAACAGTAAATTTCAGTTACAGCAAATGGCTCGTAATTCAAGGCTTCAAACCAATCGACTACCAACTCCACCTGATTTTCTACAACCGGCTCCGTTAAATCCATATGCAAGAGGTCAGATTGCTAGTCATCCGTATGACTGCATGACAATTACCTGTCTGTGTCCATTCTTTCAGGCTAGTCAATTCAATTAATTAATGAAATACATCACTTCTTTGTTCATTATTCATTCATTTATTTTTTAAAAACTTCTAAGCTACGTATAATAAATTATTCGTTTATTTTTCTGTCTATTATTTAAAATTTTGAATTTTTTAGCGATAATTTGTGGTAACTTTTCTTTCCACCCAAAACTGAATTTCATGCATTTCTTAAATTGAAATTAAATTAATGAAAAAATGCAATGAAATGAAAATTTTAAGGGTTCAATAGGACCTCAGAACCAATGCATACTGCGAAATGGTCAACTTTTGACCATGGGATATCGCAAGGAATACAGAATGCTTACCGAGGATGAACGTTTGAGGTTTTTCAATGCAATAACAACGCTAAAGCGGAGTGGTGAATATGATCGCATGAGCCTTGAGCATCAGATGGTCAGTTCCTATTTTAAAGTTCAAATTTTGATAGACCAAAAAACTATAATTAAGTTTTTACTTACTTGAAATTTAATTACTTTATTTTTGTACTCAGCCAAATTAGATATCATGATTGTTGCTGATTTTAATCCGGTTTAAAATTTCAATTTTCGATTGGATTTTAATAGTCAGATTCAGATTGCTAGATAATCCTGATGTTGCAGGTAGGCCAAGGCAGTGGCGCACATGCAGGACCCGGATTTTTACCGTGGCATCGCGAATTTTTAAAACGGTACAATCTTGTTTGAAATTTTTTATTCATTGTTTTTAAAACGGAAAAAAGAATGTATTTTTCAAAATTTAATTTTGAATTTCAGATTTGAAATTGCGCTTCGTTTGATTGACCCGCAAGTATCACTACCATATTGGGATTCCGTTATAGATCAATATTTGCCGGATCCAAGGGATTCAATCTTTTTTAGTCCATATTTCATAGGTGAAACGGATGAATTCGGTAACGTTATTACTGGACCGTTTGCTTACTGGAGCACTATCGATGGTAGAACAGCTATTCTTCGGTATAAAGAGCAAAATTTTGCTAAACATCTAATTAAATTTGGCTCTAATTATTCTTACCTTTTAAATTTGAATAAAGTTGGTAACAGTTTCAAAATTAGCATATATCAAATTACTTTGCATTATTGTTGAAAATTAAGAATAAATTTGAAAGAGTTCCATTCGTTCTTCAATTTTAATGAACAAACAATGAAACTCTTTCATTCATTGTTTTAATTTAAAAAATTGCAAAAAATTTTCAATAATTAATAATCAATTTTAGATTTAAAAGATAAAATAAATTTTTTGTTTTTAATTTTAAATCAAAAAAATTCCAAATTTTTAGAGCGCTTGGTGAGAAAGGAAAATTGTTTACTGAATATGATATTATCGATATCTTATCACAAACATCACTTGAACAAGTCATGGCTTACACTGCACCAGTAAATGGTATGCCTACGATTTTCGAACAGATCAATCATACTTTGATTTAATTCAATTAATTAATGTTTATGACACTAATAATAATTAATAGCCTTTTATTTTTATTTCTATCATTTAATTAAAAATTACAACTATTATGCAGGAAATCCTTTAAAAATTTCTCCTGAATTAAAAAATTTAGCTATTTAATTTGTTTCGATAAATTAATTAATACCGGTAAAAACTGAAACAAATTTTCAAGTAAAGTAATTGGATGGATTGATAGAATAAGGGATAATAGACAGTTCTGTAAATAGCCGTGTGAGTTAATAAATAATTAATTAGATAATTAAATATTTTTAACAAAAAATTTGATTGAAAAATTGACTTACTGTATTAGTTATTATGTGTATACACAGTTAAATTTTCAATTTTACACTATTGAAATGAAATTTTAAAACATTTAATTATTAATTTTTTTAAATTAAATTTGTTGGATAGGAAGTTAAGAAATAAAAATAATTAATTTAATTTAATTTATTTATTTCTTTCAGATTGCCCATATCCAGCAGGATTTTCTGCCCTAGAATATACGCATTCATTTGTCCATCTTTGGATAGGTGGTCATATGGAACCACCAGAACAGTCCTCTAATGATCCCGTCTTTTATGGCCTTCATGCATTTGTTGATTTACTCTGGGAGTTATGGAGACATGGCCGACAATCACATTGGGCACGAGAAAATGTGTGTTCTACCAATCGAATTATTAATTTCAATTATTATGAAATTCGATATTAATTCAGGCTAGCTTATCCCATTCATAACAATACTTAAATAGCTTTATAAAGAGTTTAAAATCGAATCTATTATAAGAAAATATAATGTTATTATTTAATAAGAAAATCGTACATCAAAAGGAATCCAAGAAAAACTCAATCACGTAAAAAAGAAAGAAATTAAATTTCGAAAATTTAATTAGAATTTTTTCAATTATTTAATTTGCTAAAATTTAGCAATATTCGCAAGACATTCAAGAATGTGCCGATCCGCGACATTTCAGCTATGCGCCAATGGTACCATTTAATTTGCTCAATCGTGATGGTTAGTTGTTAATTTCATCATTTCATTTTCTTCATTTCTTATAAATTTTTCTGCAGCTTTTTTTTTGCTTCTAAGAAATGAAAGTTTCTTAATTAATTAGAACTATGATATTAGTATTTATGAGTGTTTGAAATAAATTATTCTATTAATTCTTCACTTAATCAGTAAGGTTTTAAATTTTTCAATCTTTTAAGATTATTAGACAATAAGGTGTACGGTATTGTAATTATAACTTTTCTCTTTATTTAAGCTTTTGTTTTTCTAATTAATTTTCTCCTTTAACCTTTATTTTCTTCGTGTCGTTTAGTTTTTATTGGATTTAATTTCGTTTGTTCGTTTTTTGCTTACCTTCTGAAAAAAACTTGTTGTAATTGTTCAATCAAATGTTATACGTATGGTATAGATGATTTCAAGATTAACTGATAACAATTACTTCATTAGTTTTCTGCTAATTTAATGAATGAAAGATTCAGATTTCAAAGATTATGTAATTGTGAATACAAAGTATTTAATATATTATGCAGAATAATTACTGATAGTCACCTTTTATCTTATCATAAATTCCTCTCCTCATCTGTCGCCTTTTTTTATTTTTTAACTTTTCATTTCTTGTCTGATTATAATGATAAAGCCTTCTGATTCCAAAATAATTGATAAATTGTGCGAAATATTATTGCATATAAATTTGATAATGGTGATAAAAATGACCATAAAGTCATCGATAGCATAAATTATACAGAATTATAATATTAATGACAAAAATAATTATGCTAATTCCTAAAAGCTTTCAGGTTTATCAAATTTGTACACTGAACAAATGTATCGATTTGCTCCGCGACCAGGTTGCAGCTTCGAGATACCATTTTGTGGATCACCTTATCTTTTCTGTGATGCGCGAGTATCACCACATTGTGTATCTAAAATTAAACTTGGTGGTATTTGTGCGAGTTTCGAAGGACTCGATGCATGTTTTAATAGCATATGTGTAGCAGGACGATGTATACCGGGAGCTATGCCAGCTGTAAATTTTTAAAAGTTAATTCCAATTAATAGAACAAATTTATTTTCATTTGTTTGAAAAGCAAAGAGGAAAAAATAAGAAGAAAATAGAAATTTAACAATTTTAATTATAATATTATTTTTTGCATAATATTTTTTGTTTATTATATTTTGCATAATTTTCGTTTTATTTTATATACAAATGTTATCTTTTACAGAATATAATTATTTTGTTATTATAATTTAAGAATAAATGAGCAAAAATTATTTTAATAATTAGAATGGCTTAAATTCAATTTAAACTTACATAAAATTCTTATCATTTTGCTAAGAAAGAAAAATTGTTATCATCATAATTGTATCAATTGTTTCCTATTACGAACTCATTTTTAATAAATTTCTATCTAAAATGAACGAACTATCAAAAATAAAACTATTTGCTTACAGCCGTTCGTACCACGAACCGAATTACCACCAACTTTACGTCGAGAAATTACTCGACAATATGCAGCCCGACGATTTAATAATTGTTTTAATGGAATGCCATGCTGTGAGCAATGGGCTAAAGAAGGCGAATGTCATAAAAATGAACTTCATATGGCGAAATTTTGCCCCGCGGCATGTGGCAAATGTCGTCCATCTTATAATATCTCAAATGGTATCAAGTTTTTTAATGTTTTTTAAGTTTTAAGAGGAAGAAAGATAAACGAAACTTTTTGGATGTAAAAAAAGGTAAGGTGAAAAGTTCAACGTTGATTGATAAAGGTGATAAAGGATTGACAACAAAAATTTTCTCTTTCAAGAATGTGATGATCGGCATGTATCATGTAAGCAATGGAAAAGTGAAAATCAGTGCTTTGGAACTTCCGAGGATTTCATGGCTGAAAATTGTCGCACATCGTGTGAATTATGTAGCAAGCCGAAAAATATGAATTGTCAGAAGCTCAAAATTGTAAGTTCCCAAATTTTGTGGAATTAAAATTTTGAAATGAGATTGACTAAAATTTAACATATGTAAATAAAATTATGAAACTTCTGAGAATGAGTAATTAAATTTAAAATTAAGCTAAAAAGTGAACTTTACATTTCGAATTTATAACATTTTTTTTTGGCGTTAATTTTAGTTTTAAAAGATTATTTTCATCATTTCAAATCATAGATTATGTTTTCTAGCTGTTGAAAATGCCTAAGCAGCCAAAATCGAAAACAGCAAACAGTACTGACAATATTGATGAATCAAACGAAATAAATGATTCGGCACAATTTTTGCAAACTTTTCCAAATAGATCAACAATGTCACCAGCCAATGTCTTTTAAATTACCTTTGAAGCGTAATTTATTTCTAATTTCAATAATCTCAGAATGAAAACATATTTTGTTGAGAAGTTATGAAAATTAAATAATTAAAAGTTAACCGTATAAACAAGCGCCCCGACATATTTTCAATTAAAATTCAGATTCATGTTCATCGTATATTTAATTTAGATGAAAATTATATTTGCTCAGTCATGTGATGTAGTATATCTTTTGAGATAAGGATGATAATTTCTATATAGATCTTATGAGTTTCAGAATTGTATTTAACAATTATCATCTTGCATATACTGATCAATATGGCCTTCTCTATTTATTTAATTAAAATTTTTTGATATGTCACTTTTTCTTGTTTCCTTTGAAATGTTACTTAATTATTCTCATCACAGTATCAATTTACTGTTCAGAGTTAAATTTTTGTTGAAATTGTTACACTGTTGTAAATTTATTATAAATGTACTGCATGCTATAATATCTTATCAAACTATACTTAACAACATTTATGCATTGATCAAATTTTCAATTCATGTATTATAACGATATTATCATTATTCGTACGGTTTTAATTTAATTCCAAGTTTAGATCTAATTTTCATTACTATAAAAAAACAATAGTTTGAATCTTTTTTTAATTTCATTTATATTTTGTAATAATTGCCTGCTAAGAATAGAAAGAAAATTCTTTTGAATAAATGCATTTTAAAATTATTTTTTTTAAAGATTCTAATAATAAAATAAAAATATATCATTTTTTTTCTAACCAAACAATTTAGTTAAAATTAATTAAAAATTTTAGAAAGGTATTTTTAGGAATTTCTCCCACAATTGTTTAATAATTAAACAACAAAGAAGTTTGCATTAAATATAATTCTTATGCATTAATTAATAGTTGTTCAAAAAAAAAAAATGAAAATATTAAACAATTTGTTTTATTTAATTGATACCATTTTGTTTTGTTTTTCCTTAATTTTTCTTTGTTTACAGTTTCACTTGTATTTTGCTCCCTTTCATTTTATATGCACTAATTATTCTACCTTACGCGTAACGACATAAAATTTGAAACTTGTTTGTATATTCAAAAAAATGTCAATGAACTTTTGAAATAAACAAAAATAAAATATCGATTCTATATGTCACCAATATATTTCACCGACCACTATCAATTTCAACTGTGCTAAGTAAATCACGTTGAATATTTTTTCTGATACGGTAATAATTGTTGAAAAATAAAATGTTATCGTAACTTTTATCATCGCACAAAAGCAGTGGGCAAAAATTACAAATGGATTTTTTGTTTTTATAAATGGAATAAATATTTATTATATTCTATTCAGCCTTAGGTTTCGTTCGCAGAAATATTTGAATACATAAGATAAGGATTACAATGATTAATGCAATAATAATCGTACCCTTAGCTTCCATATAAAATCCAGCCGAATTTTCGGAAGCACTACTTGATGATGGACGTTTGTTTACTCTACTAAATTTGAAATTAATTAATGGATATTAATGGTTGCACTATATTATCCCTTTGATGGCTATAATCACTACTCCTCAGCAACTTCTTTTATCTTTTTTATAGAATTATCTTTAATATGGTCTGATAATGTGATAAAATGCAGTAGTAATAATATGAGTGATATTTCGTACCGTTTAATATGTAGGCGAATTATAATCAAATAAGTTGTAATCTCACTCATTTAACTTCTTATATTTTATTTTTGAAATTTTAAGATTTTTTGTTCTTAGCGATATAAATGTATTTTGTCGATATGCACTTAATCTATGAAACAAACTGGCGGTTCTGAATAATTTCGATAAAGTTACGTCACAACACTTTTCGATGTTGTTTGAGATGTATTTGATAAATGTTGTACTCCTGCAATTGGGGTGATTATTCTCGATTCTAAACTTGGACTTCGTGACAATACTGAACCAAGAGAACTTTTAAAGGTGATATATTCTTCCGGTGGTTTAGCACTGTCACAGAACGCTGACGATGATATGTGACCTGAACAAAAATAAAGTTTTATGCCATTTATGGTTATTTATTAATATCAAACATGTTTTGCTCCAAATATATTTCGGATAATCACTGGTATCAATCTCTTGTACTGATATATATTTATAATATGATAGCATACAACAAAGCAATTAATATGCGTATTATACGGCAGAAGAAAGTCGTTCACTCAGAAATAATTCAATCACGAAATAGATATTATTGATATTAGCCACTTTAATTCACAAACCAACCATCACTGATTTATTGTATAATGAAACCGTTATAGTATCCTTTCTTTTGATAATTCACTAAATGGATAAATTAAATCGATTGAACAAGAACCATCATACATTTTACTTTTGTAACAGTATGTTCGTTTATATTTGGATCATCAGAACCTTCGAATTCTGTAATCATTATTATTGAGGCTGATTTTACATCTTTCCAATTATTTATCTCCGGTGCTCGCCGCCATATTAATAAACAACAAATAGTTCCACGAGCAGGTATTGTACCGGAAGCATGCGGTTCAGCCTGAACGAATTGAATGCACTTTATTTTGCAATGTGCAAACAGTACGAACCTGCAGCTAAATATATTATCAACTTTGAAATTAAGGAAAGAAAAAAAGGATGAAGAAAAATAAAATTGCCGTAATTAATGCTTTCTTTTCACACTTGAATTTGTATATAATCGGTCGTTCACTGGCGTTATACAAAATAAGGTTTACTCGAGCTGTATTAGGAACATCGTTAACAGGTAAAAATCTCATTGAAATTATCCTTAAAAAAGGTGTTATAATAAAATTGATAGCTGAAAGAGAGAAACAAGGGAAAAAGATCAATTTTAACAAGATCAAAAATGAAATAGATCGAATAAAAATTTGAATAGATAAATTATCAATCTTTGACTCTAACCCTTCATTACAAATTAAAGCATCACAATCCTCACATCACAAATATAGAGACAAAATGAGAGAGAAACTTCCAAAGATTCAAATGTTGCACCTATCACATAATAAAGACTGTCCATCATCTTTTATTGACATTCTTTTTTGACAATCACAGGATTAAATGCTGAAATTCAGATAAGTATTAGCTTATTATGATAGATGCTAATGAACCTTTTTCATTAAATATTAAATGTCTGAATATAAATCCATCAATGAATTCATCATTTCCGAAATTTCTAAAGGACTATATGAGATTATGAATCGGATAGAATGAGATTTTCAGGGAACAGATTCTTGACATGCAAAAGCGACCAGCTAAGCACTCAGCAGATGAAACTAAATCACAAAAAACTAAAATAAACTTAGATAAAAAACTAGAGCAATACTGTATATGTTTAAATGAAGATAAACAATGATCGTAATCATATGAAAAATTATTTTTATAACTCAGTTTGAGACGAAGATTTCCTTTCCGGAATATGCAAATTTAAAGTTCTCCAGAAACTTGAAAGAAATTAAATTCTCGCACATCATAAAAAAAGGATCTTGACAATCTATAAATCCAAAGCAACTATTATTCACCTACCTGATAGTCTTTTCATCCACCAATATTCAAATACAACTCACAGCTCCCATAACTAACAGAAATCATTAAAAAATTCAAAATCTTTCAAACATACACTGTCAGAAAAGTGGATTGTTGATACTCTCAATGATCTCTGATATGCTCTGTATCATAATCACCAGAAAAAAATTGTTTAAAATTAAATATTTGACAAATTACACTATACAATAACGATTTTTGTTATATTATTCATAATTAACCGAAATCCAAAATTTCAATGTTTTCGACTATTCCAGTTTTATATCTTTATATGGTACAGTGCCACATAAAGAGAACAATCCATTATTTAAAATAACTTCATATTTTCAAATCAAGATTATTAGGAGAATAAAATTTTGGAGTGTATAAAATACATGTGACATACATAAGTTGTGAGTGTACATGTATGGAACGTATATACGCAAAACGTCACCTTAACACTGACTGATTACTTGACAAAAATGTCACTCTGACAAAAATAAAGTGCTTTTAAAACCGAATCTTAATAAATTTCTTTAAAAGATTAAAAAATAAGCGGTGAGAAATATGTGAAACTGGCAAAACATAACTGAAATTCAAAATCACTCAAAACTGTAAATAGAATAAATAAATATTTATATACATTTATATTATATGGCTAAGTAAACGAAACGCACAAAATGTCAATATTATTAGTAAAATCCTTATTAAAAAATAATAAAGCTAGTGACCAGTGACCATTAAAATAAAAATGCATGAACCAGAGAATATGCAGACCACATAATATGATTAGGTACTATTTGAAAGTAGAAAACGAAAGATATATATGTAGAAATATATATATATATGAGAATTAAGTAAAAGAAAAACTAGACACTTCTGAAAGTAGTAAGTTAAACATGAGCATTCGATTGAAAATAAATACAAGCACCAAGTATTAATAGCACCATTCAATTGAAAAATTCTAGGAAATACATCGAAATACCTCAAGGAAACATATCTGATAAGGAAATCGATGTGACAGAAATCAGGAAAAAATTTGGGAAGTGGAATAAACCACTGAAATTCGGAGTTCTCACATGAAAATACAGTTATCAGACCAATTTTTAACCGTACTGTTGGATTTCTTCCTTGTAATCCGACTATTATCAGATGCGTTATCATAAAAGTTACTACAAAAATCTGAATCATTCTCAGCATATTGTCCGATCGCCTTAATTTGAGGACTGCAGTCTTCGTAAATTATTTCTTGGAATAAAGATGGATGAAGATTTATATAAGAGTGAACACGGTGCATGAAATTTGAGTCCGTGCATCGATGTCCCAACAAAAATGAAGAAACATTTGGACGGATGAATAAACGAAGGCGATCCTGAAGTAAAAGGAAGCGATGATCAATCTCAGAACATTTGCAAATTACTGCAATTCTTTCCTACCAATAAATCAAAGTTAACTTGAATGCTTGTCAGTGACGCTTTACATTAATTAATAAATATCACTATTACATAATTTACTAAGTACTTAAGTGCTTAAGTGCTTAAGCGTGACTATATTTGATCAGAAATTCAGTCATTTAAAATTCAATTTAGGTTGTTTGCCACCTCAATTTTATGTATATGAACTAGAAAATCTAGTTAATCCGAATTTCTAGCGTTTGAGAAAACTTCTACTACAATTTCTCTCCAGAGGAAGTTGGGAAATATTTTATGAAAAAAAGCAACCCACTTCAATCGCTTGACGATCAACCGTAACAGAAAGAAACGAATGCATGATAAGATTAATATGGAAATCATACAACAACGGCACATCACTATCGACTTTACCATCCAAAGCAGCAATTCTTTTATCTAATAATGATGATTTTACCAACGGTTCTAATTCTTGCAACATCATACATGAAATATCCTGATCTCCAGATATATCAAACGGAACACATAGTAAAACCAGCTAAAAGAAAACCAGTGCTATGCAACAAGTAAACATATTAAAAAATTGTCAGATTATAGGTTATAGCCTTTACTTGTTCTCAGAAGAATTTTGAAGATATCAGGAGAAATATCCTCAAGCCTTCCTTATTTCTGTAATGGTTTAACTATCGTCGACATGTTTTAGAAGAAATTACCTCTAGCGGTACCCATTGATCATAGCCAAAAATGACAAAAGTTTCCATAATTGTTTTTTGACATTCAGTTAGCTGAAATAATTTGCATTTAGCACAACTTGACCAAAATAATCCTAGCATATCTTTGATACTATGATATTGCGCATAAAACCAGTCGCAATATTTTTCAAAATAAAATATCATCAACAAAATCATTGATGTACAGATATTTCGTATAAGCACTAGAAATAAAAAAATTTGAGGATGAAAATAATACGACTGGTTTTATTCAGTTAATTTTATTGAAATGTTTTAGTAAGAAAGTCGATTAATCAGACTTGCTGAGGCAGAGAAAAGAGATAAGTAAGATGAGAGAGGAGGTTACGATTTGAGTACAAGTGCATTTCGGTAACATCAAAAATGAGGAGTTATCTTAGCTAATGTGAATATCAAATCTCTAAATTTTAAAATCTTTCTTTGATAATTTAGATAACTTCTTAGTGATATCAAAAATTCTTTAATAAACATCACTGATTATTTTCATTCTGTTCTGTAATGTGGATAAAGCATTTATGTTATAAATAAATTCTAAAAATTCAATCAAATTGAAATAAAAAGCACACTACACACAATTCCAGTCGAATGTATACTTTGAACAACTAAAAATCAATACCACAACTTGGAAAAAATAAACACCAAAATAAACTAGATCTACGAACAAATCAGGAAAGATTTCTTGAATAAAGAATCCAAATTCACAATTCTTAAGTATTCATTTATTGAAGAAAACAAATACAACAGAAAACTTACAGATTTATAGGACTCCATAATCGCATCAACCATATTTTTGTGCTTATAATAAGTAAAAGTTGATATGGTTGTAAGAGGATAATAATTCAATAAGCAACGTAAGTTATAGAAGCTGAAAACAAAAAATAATTTTTCTTTCCACAGCAAAAAGAATGTTATGAAAAAAAATAAGATTTTTTAAAAAAAACATCAAGAAATCCAAAAATGTACTCATTATGACTGTTGCATGCCTGTTGTCTTACTATGCCAAGAAGTGCCGGTAAGCCCATCGTTCTTCTATGAATATGAAAAAGATGTTTATTATAAGAAGATGAGGACACTGCAGCGGAAGAGTGTAGTTGCTGGAACATTATCTCTGTTTCCGCCAAAGAAAAACCAGGTGGATCAACTGCAAAATGCACAGGATTTGAAGAGGATACTTGAAATATTTCCAAGTTACGACTTGTGGCTAGGATACGACACTGAAATTGAAATATTTAAGAAAGCATAAACCAAAAATAATTTAATATTATACGTTTGCACAACATAAAAACACAACAGATCTCGAATTTATGTTCATCTCATGATGAATTAGAGATGCTAAGGCAATCTGTTATCTAAAGTCATGCGAAATGATAATAAGTACTCAACACCAGCTAATTAAAAATATGGAAAATATTTGTGCTAATTTGATCACTTCACTTCTCAAAAGTAAAGGAACTAACATTCAGCTGATCAAACCAACGCACACTTTCTTGAAGATAAATATCATTTAATACTACCAATGTATTTGGTTTCTCACGTAACGCAGTTTTGGCCTGAAATAAGCAGTAATGATGGGTGTGTATTGCTACAGATTTTTGACATAAAAACCAAAAGGAAAACTGTATAAGGGTGCTTGTAATATCTTTATTATTTGTCGAGACTTCGTGTTGGATAAAGAAATTCACTGCTTATGAGAATGTTCAATAGAAATAGCTCGTTAATGAAAATCTTTACCAACAACTTATTTTGTCATTAAAAACCTACCAACGGCAAAAATTGGGCAAAAGTTTCTTTTCCGGTTAAGACCAATGCATCAGTCGCTAGAAATACGAAGTTTGAGAAAACTCCAGACAGCTGACTTGCACTGGTACAGCCATCCTCAACCCATATAACGTGTTCGTAATAACTGTAAAATAGTTCATAAAGCCATAAAAAGTGCAGAGATTTCGATTTATTTGGATCAAAAAAATAAATGAAATAAAATAAACGCAAAGAAGGCAGATGATTTCTAGATTACAACTTGTAAAATTTCGCCAGTAATAGGAACTATTAAAAGCAGCAAAAGTAGTGAAAAGTAGTGTGTGCATTAAAAAAAAGAAAGACGGTAAATAGTGATTGCCATGAATCTTACCGACTTAATAATATTGGATAAGCGTGTAAAACGGTGGCAGCTAAAAAACTTTTGCCACATCCAGGAAACCCGTGGACGACAAGCCAAAACTGATCTGCAATGATAAATAGTAAGTGATGATAACGCAGATGAGATGTATGAAAATTATGGAAAAGTTTACAGAAATTTTTGGAAAATTGAAACCTTGAGATGATAAGTCAACTAATAAATTCTTCAACTTTTCCAGCAAATTTGCTCGTAACACACGATAAAACGGCAGTCTCGGCACATTTCCTTCCAGAAAAAGCCGATCTTCCAACGCATCAGATGTTAATAAGGGTTGATCTTCAGGTATATAATCTTTCGACAAAAGATGCGCTAAATGTTGCTGTCCATATTTCTCGAAATATGCTATTAATGGATCAAGGGCATTCGCTGACTTTCGATACTGTCGAATGAATTCCATCACACGTAGCGTGCGTCCCGTCTACAAATGAATATCGATTCAAACAGGTGTGATACAAGTAAGTTATAGTGCAACTAAAGAAATTCAAACAAAAACTGCACAAATTTTCGCGAATTTTTATAAGATTCTGTTGCATCGATTTAAATAAAATTATCCGCTTCATTTTCATTGTGTGAAGGTCAAGAAGCATGAATCAGCTTATGACACCCGCCACTGATAATTTTCAAATACTTCCTAGTATTAAGAACAAATTACTTCCTTCCAGTATATCTTTTTCACTGATGCAAAAAAATACTGCTACATGTATTATATGTAAAAATTATATAACCATATGTATTACATAAAATAAGACCTGAAACACATTTTTATAGGATTGACCATACCGGTCAACAATTAATAAATTCCATGATTTCAATCACTGAATCACTGAAGCATTTCCCCAGATTCACCATATATAACTTACTTTACCTATTTAGATGTTGTGATTAAAAATCACAAAATTTAACAGTTATCACTAGCAACTCTTAACTAGCCATTTTTGTAAAATCGCAAAGTTTGTAGAAGAGGTAAACTAATAATTAAAAAGTTAAAATGATAAGATGTGAGAATAAAACACAGTAAAATACACAAACATGAGGAATCGGATGACAATATATGATAACCAATCATTCCAAAAAATCTAAAATATTAAATTTGTAAGAGTGAAAAAGAAAAAAGGAAACCAACCATGCCAAGGATTATTTCCTGCTGGTCATCACTGAAAATTCCTTCCGAACACATATATGGAATAGCATGGCGTGGTTCGAAATCCTGCACTAATGCTTCCATAGCTATCGTTAATATTCGACTATGTTTTTCTAATAACATTCTTTAACTAAAAAAATATTTTACCTTTTAATAAATTAACTTCAGGATAAGTTAAGAGAAAGGAAAAACTATTAGCATGGAAGTCACTTAAACGATTGATTCATTAATACAGTGAACTCATCAAAATTCACAACCAATTAAAGAAACTTAATTTATTGAGAATTAATCCCAACCGTGCCACCTTGTCCAATGCATCTTTCCGCTAATCACATCGATCTCTACTCTCTCCTTTTTAATAATGTTTTTTTTTTTTTTATCTCTAATGGCTAACGGTAGAAACGATACTATGCTCGAAATCTTATAATATATACTATCATATCTTCAATCTCTTCCCATAAATCTTTTCTCTTATCAATCACTGGTTCTCTCCAAGTTCATACTACATGACTCATCCTTTACTAAGAATGTTATTTTAAAGATCAAAAATAATTTAATATGTTTTTTCATCAATAATACAGATGAAAGTACAAAAATCATTTAATACGATATACCCCTTATAATCATACAGTACAAAATATTCTACAAAAGTGGCATGTGTGATCGCTGAAAGTTTTGCATGAATTTTCATCTATCTGATGTTTTATATCTGTAATGATTACAATTTGAAATGGATGAAAAGTACCACGGAATACATCGAACATATAATATATAATAATACGGAATATCAAATCTTATAAGAATATTTGATAAAGATAAAAATAAAAAAGAAAGGAACAAATCTGCGAATCAATATTTCTTGGTTTCTTTTTAGAAAATTATCATAAGATATATCGCATGCTCACGTAGTTTTGTTGTCATTCTAAGATTTATTAGTTCTATTAAGATCGTCGCTACAGTCAGTACTATAAGATCAGTTATGATATGATAATTTCAGCGATACATCGATACGTCGCTACGATACTATTAGATCAGTACAATAGATAAAATAGATAAAGGAAGGTAATAATATATCTAGGAAGCGTTTTGCTAGCATATGTCATTTGATCAGCTTGTCCATGTACAAATTTTAATCATAAAATGTTGTTGCTTTATAGTCAATGCTTGGATTGGCTTTCAGCTGACAATTGTCGTCTTTCTCGAAAAGAGATTTCTATACTTTTTTATATGAATAATCTTTGTTTGTATCTGAATTAGCCCTTCCATGTTTGAAGCTTTTTAATCGGTGATTTTACAAAAAACAATGATGTTAACAATGAACAGATTACTAAATAGCAAAGATCAGAGACAGGTAACTAAATCAATTAATTAAATTATATGAACACATTATTGATCCATCTATGAAAAGGTTCTTTCTTTTGAAGACATATTTCTGTCAAAAAAGTTGCAGAAGTGAATAAACTTTGAGAAATCTTTGAAATATTACAAATTCTGACGAAAGTATTGATCAATTACAATGTTTGAGCTGAGCCGAAATCCACGGAATGCTTCCGAATGTCTTCATAAGTAACATAAATAAATACAAAGCGAATATGAAAGTGTATGTGCCTAATATACCTATTCTCTATCTTTCTGATTAACGCCGATTAGTAATCTGTCTATCATTGGCATCGTTGATAAGATAAGAGTGGTGAAATGTATTAATGTATAAGCCTGGATAAAGTTTCTCAGTAGCTGCCTGTCTGGTTTGTTTTGTTCATTTAATGAGATTAGTCTGTTTGTTTGGTTTGTAAGTTGGACTGTTTCTATTGGCAGTAAAATTCGGATGGCAGTAATTGCCCCGTTATTTTTTGGAAGTAACCCTGCAGGGGTAACAGTATGCATCGACAATAATAAATTTGAATCTCAAATCAGCTCATTTCATAAATTCTGATTCTCAGTATATTTGACAAATTTCTGATCAGTCATTTCATAAAACTGCTAATCAATTGGAAATATCCACTGTTGATTTTGTAAAAATTAAAAATAAAAAAGAATAAAATTTAAAATTATTTTGATTTTTAATTTATTAAAGTTCCTTGAATCGATTTTTCGTCTAAACTATAAAAATAATTCACCATAATCGTCGAATGTATCGATTTCCTTTGCATTTCTGATTTCCATTACTAATAAATAATCGGTCTAATATTGGTATCACTGATATGATAAGATAGATGAGAATACAAAAACAAACGGATAATTTGCACTGCTACTATTCAGATAGTCTGAATTCTACCCTCTTGAATGATTGGTCTGATTGCTGAGTCTGTATGTTCACCCGTTTCCGTTATAGCTAGCAAAATTTTTGGCGCTTATCCGCTATGTCATTTTTTGGGAAGTGACCCCTGAAGGGTTTACAGGTAGCATCTCAAGCAGCTAATTTCATAAATTCATAAATTTTGACTCTCAATATATTTAACAATAATATTGCTAATCATTTGAAAACATCTACTATTGATTTTTTTAAAACATTTCATCTAGAAAAAATTGTAGATACACTATTTATTTTTTTGATTTCTGCGCCAGTTGATTCTCCGCTTTATATAAAAGAAATTATGGCAAGAAACAGTTATTGCAATATTCTTAGCTCATTAAATTAAATTCAGAGAGCAGTCGATTGAACTGTAAATTGTATTTTATGGTTTGTCCGTCAATCACATATTCCATTTGAATGATTTCAACTGTTGTAGAGCTATTAGATCATTTCGGATGATAAAAATTGTATATCCGCAAAATTTCTTATCAAATGATCTATCAGTGATATGTATCTTAGCATTCAGTGACTGAACAAATATTATACCTGAGGATATTGTTATTATACAGTGACGAGTACCAAAAAGTGAATAAACAGATCACACAAATTATATGCCTATTGAAAGTGATACAAACAAATAGACATTCATAAGTTACTTAATAACTGTTTTGTTTGTCTCCATGGTGGAAACTGTGGTAATAGTTTTCCTCAAATTTTTCCCTATTAAATTGCTGAAGCTGAAAATGATAGACGGATTGATATTCAGAAAGTATGAAAGAAAAATGTGCTTATGAACTTTTGTTTATTTTTCTTAAATACTTCGAAGTGATAATCTTCGATCGGTTAATAGAAAATTTTTATGATAACACTTATTGATTAATTTGAAGAAAATTAATGCAACGATTGATTAATTTAAAATTCCCAAATGCAAAAATTCCTTTCGAATTGGTCGGTGTTCGGTAAAGCACTGTCTATATAGTAAATACACAACTGATTATATTGTATATGAAATTGATGGCGAACAAAGAATCGCCTGATATTGTTTATAGTTAATAAACAGTGAAACTAATTGTTAACAAGGAATTGCTTTTTTCCAAATGAAATGTTTTGAAAAAATCAATAATAAACGTTTTCAAATGATTAGCAATATTATTGTTAAATATATTGTGAATCAAAACTTATGAATTGATGAAATGGGTTGCTTGAGATGCATACTGTAACCCTGCAGGGTTACTTCCCAAAAAATAACGGGGTGGAATAACCGCCATCCATTTTCACTTTGCTACCAATTGAAACGGTCCAACTTACATGCTATCAAACCAACCAAACCAACAATCATTCATTTACAAGATAAATCAAACAAACCGGACAGGTAGTTGTCAAACGCTACAAACAGTTAATTTTCACTACTCTTATCATACTAGTGATACCAATGATAGACGGTTTACTAATCAGTGTTGATCAGAAAGATAGAAGACAGATGATATATTATGTACATGAATTATTATTCAATAATCTATCTATTATTCATCAGTGGCAAGTTTTCATCTTTAATCGAATCAAATATCCAATGATTCATTATGCAAGGAAGATAAAGCTTTGATTTATCCGATATTATTATAATATTCGGGAAGAACTGATTAAAATGATTGAAGTAGCATAAATGAGTACAAAACGAATATGCATCGCATTGGAAGTGTATGTGCCTAATATACCTATTCTCTATCTTTCTGATCAATGCTGATTAGTAATCTGTCTATTATTAGTATCGCTGATATGATAAGAGTGGTGAAATGTATTAGTTTAACCGTAAGAGTTAACAGCTGCCTGTCTGGTTTGTATTGATTTAATGAGATCAGCTTGTACGTTCAGTTTGTAAGTTGGACCGTTTCTATTGGCAGAATCTTATGGATGGCAGTAATTGCCCCGTTATTTTTTGGGAGGTTACCCTGCAGGGGTGACAATATACATCGACAATAATAAATTTAATAATTTTGAGAGGCTTATGAATTGTTGTTATTTAAAGATGTTTTTTTGGCATTGAAATAGAATATTTATGGGCCTTATTTTTTGAATAGTACAAAGGTCACAATAAAAGCTAATATTTACCTTTAAAATAGACGAAATAATTCTGTAATAGAAGGCAATTGGTTTTGTCAAATTTGGGCTAATGCATTGAATTCATTTATGTTCCTGCACATTTTCCATCCTTTCCTTCTTTTTGGTTCAATTTTTAGGGAAGTTTTTAAGGAAGATTCACATTTAATTTGGTACCATAGAATGAATTTTTAAGCTCATTATGAACGAATAATGCCAGCTGGCCTGAAAAACCTAGTAAATCATTCATATTTAGCAAAAGAATGGATTTTACAAGTTGCATAAGCAATTGACAAAAAAATATTTCATATTATGATTTATTGTAATAACTCAAATCTTAATTTTTTGTTCTGTTCTTTGTTGTTTAGTAATTTATTCATTGTTGACAACATTGATATGTCTTTATTGCCATCAATAAATGAAAGAAATTTCTCATCAAAATTAGCAATCTTAAGTTTCATTTTTTGGTGAAATGTGTATCCGAATATTAAACTATAAAATAATCATACCATTTTACAATTGAAATGATTTAAAGGTATTGTGATATCATCAGAATGTGAGGATTTTTCTACTTCAATTTATCTATTTGAAATTTGCAGAATAATATTTCAAAGTTTTTGCTAATTTTTCAATAATTGAAAAGTTTCTCATTTTTTGCCTTAATTCTTGGAAATTTCAACTTAGTTGCAGATTTGTAAAAAGGCATTCAATGAATTACGACCATAGTTGCATAATAAATATCAACGGTTGAAAATGTGATTTTTTGCAATTTACTTATCTTCACCGTTTTCGCATTTGCGTGTCATATTCGGAAAAAGTAAAGTAAGCTATAATTTTAATTACGCTTACTTTCACGTTTTCAATAAAAGTATTTTATTACTTTCTCGGCGCCTTGTGCTTCATATCTCATTTTTTTTAATTATCTAAATTATATTCAAATTGTTGTTATCATCAAAAAGCAATGAAATAGAATAAGATTAAATTGAAATGGCAAATTAATTGGAATTACTTTTAATTGGCAAATTAATTGGTATTACTTTTAATATTTATTTTGTGAATAATAGAAGAATGCAATTTTCGACTCTGTTTTATATTGGAAAATTCCGAATTGATTTTTAATGTTTGTAATAGACATGAATCGAATTACTCTTCATTTTCTATCATTTTAGATTACAAGTATAATTATGATATGATTGATTTCCGGAAGAATGACCCGAAAAGTACAAAGGAAGGATAATGTTACCTGGTAACGTCATCTTTTTAAATTCAAAACAAAGAGTTCGTTTTCCTCCATTTTTTCTCAATTTGAAATATCATTATTTAGTGGTCTTATTTGTGAATTAATCCGTATTTCCGAGTACGATTTTCGGATTGTCGGACATAAGAACCAGTCACTTCCTCATATTTTTGGGATGATTCAATTTTGTGAACAACTTCTGTTTTGACGGAACGTGGTGGGCAAGGGCAGTAAGCTGCATCTCCACCAGGTACACCAGGAGCTCCAGGCTGAAATTAATTTACTCTTCGAAAATACAGCTTTTTTCTTCGTTTTGGGAGAAGATGTACTGGTGTTAGTTGAAACTTAACCGTAAATGAAATGCAACGTTTAAGAAAAACATACTTCGCCTGATTGGCCAGGTGTTCCAGCAGTTCCTGGTTGTCCCTGTGGTCCTGGGGGTCCTGGCGGACCTATTGGACCAGGTCCAGCAGCTTCACCTGATGGGCCAGCACTTCCCGCTGGACCAATTGCACCTGGTGCTCCTTTTTGTCCTGGACTACCGCGTCCTTGAACCCCTGGCTTTCCTGGTGCTCCAGGTAATCCCTCTTTTCCGGGTGGACCTGAAAAAGTCGTATAACTAATCAATTGGAAAATTGTTGCTTTCAAAAATAAACATTCAGTATGAATGTTGCAATGATAAATCTACCTGGTTTTCCGGCGTCTCCAGGTTCTCCCGGTGGTCCTGGCGGTCCTACGCTGCCATCAGCACCGGGTTTCTCTGGCATTCCAGCTGGACCTGGTGGTCCTGGTTGCCCTGTTGGACCTGGCGGCCCAGGTGGTCCAGGTGGACAAACAATGCAACCTCCGCGTGTATTGTTACCTGTTGATACAGCAATACCATCTGGTCCCGGTTTGCCATCTAAGCCACGTTCACCTGGTTCTGAAAATTTCGACAATCTCATTCAAATTTGATTTTTCAGTCATTATTGAATAGGCAAATTATCAGAAATGCTTCCGATACTAGGATCAAAAAGGCGAAATAGTAATTGAATATTGAAATTACCTCCGGCTAGACCGTCATCTCCTGGTGGTCCAGGTGGTCCTTGTGGGCAATTTACAGCTTGAAGAGCACATGCTGAAAATATAATTTATAATCAGTTTTGAATTTAATGAGTAGAATTTTCAAAAATTTGCTATCATTTCATCAATTCAAATGACATGAAGTATTCTTATTTTCATATTTATTCTTTCTTTATTCTATCAAAGAAACATTTCTCTTTTCGATTTCTCATGCATTATTTACGAATGTTTTGACAATAATATTTTAAATAAATTTGACCTTACCACAGATAGCACTACGTTTTTGACGTGGTTTAAAGCCGAAAGGTGTAAGTGATTGTTTTTTGGTGGCAACTCCTTTATGCTTCACATGAGCACTCATCAACTCATCCCATGCATCATCTGCCAATATCTAAAAAATTATTTCATCTCCATGATAGATAATTAACGAATCATTTCACATCAAATATTACGATATCATTTCAATTTCATATTATTTGAAATTTAAAATAGAAATTTATGGATGTGAATTAGTGACAAACAAGTACGGTTTGTACGATTTGATTTCCAATCATGAATTCTAATTATGTCATTTTTTTGCTTCTTTTAATCAATCATCGTATCACTCTTCTTAAGTAAGAATTATTAATTTATCCAATAGAATTACAAAAACACACCTTAAACTCATCCATATCATCCAATACTTCATAATAAAAGCTATTAATATCTTGGAATAAGATAGCAACAATAATTAATGATGTTATAATAATGAAGCCGCTGGCACCAGATGCTATATTAACAAGTAATCGTGTTCTCATCCCTGAAATGTTTCTCTTTTTTTCTTTGTTAAGTTAAAAAGAAATTTTACTTAATTTTTTCGTTTTCTTAATTTTTAAATGAATCATAAAATTTATTAGTGATAGAATGAAGAAATTTATTAATACAATAACGAAATTTAATTAATACATTTAATTAATACAATATTAATTAATTAATACAATAACGAAATTTTATTAATGCTACTTTACTTTATGAATTTTTGATTATTTCCTCTCTGAAATTACTTCAAAGAAATTTCTATTTAAATTACATTCTCAACAATTAAATTCATTAAGGCATTTGTCACTTTATAAGTATGGTTTTATTGAAGAAAAATATGAAATTATGTTTTAGTCGCATTCATTCCTACATTTCCTTCTTTTACCTGTAATATATTATTAATCAACAAGGTAATGTGATCATACTGTTATTTGCACTGTTCAAATTTAAAAGTACAGATTAATTAATACAATGCAAAAAAACGGTGAACTTGCTATTTGCTTTTAGTAGAGTTAAAATAATAAACAAAAGAAGAAAATGGGAATTGGAAATATCAAAGAAAGACTTCTCTCTGTAGTTTACCTTATCAATTTCATTTGATATTGAAATCAAAACAAAGAAAAAAAAAGATTAAAAACACCTGTAATGAGGATAAGAGGTAAGCGACGAACATATGATATTTCTATGGCAATTATATAGGCATTTATTAGGCCCACCCATTTTCAAAACTTGTTTTCAAAATGAAAAGGGAAAAGTTAAAAAGTATACACGGAAATTTGTCTTTTTTTTGTTCTTTTCAGGTAATTTTATTTTGTACAGGTAATTTTATTTTGTATTTCTTTATATTATGGTTACGATAAACATTGTATTGAAAATAAAAATATTATATTTTCCGATTTTAATAGGTAAATCAGGAAAATCTTCTCTTTCTACATTTTCATTCCGGAAATATCTAAATGCTTTTTTTTCTTTAAATTTTTCTCTGAAGAAATTACATGAAAAATATTTCGTTCTTCGTATAATATTTTCATATGTGATAAGGAAGAGATAAAAAGTGACTATTATTTTAAGATTTATCATTTTTTTTATCAGAATAAATATAATACAATGATTATTTTTCGGGTCAATTCTTATTCCATTATTCTGTAATTGAATAAAATGATTTATTTAAAAGCGTTTGTTTCGTTAATTGTGGCATCAAACTAATCAACCAATTTGATTGATGAATTTTAATATCGGATCAATCATCAATTGTAATATCATATATATTTATGTTTTCAAACATGCATAGATCTGTTTATATTTTAGTCTATCGTATAAATTTGAATTAATATTGAAATGATATGATGAAAACAATATGATATGATATAATACAAATTATACGATATAAATTATATAAATTGCATTTTATAAAAATGCTTCTTATCATAATGAAATTACAGTAGTCTTTATCAAATTAATGCACATATTTCGTGCTGATAATAATTCATTAAGCATTCACTCCATAAGTTTTTATCTATCGTATTATTTTCATCATTGATTATGAATGATAGTATTATATCGTTACTTATGTGTATATTTCTATGCTTTGCTATTCTGAAAATCAACGGATAGCTGGAAGTCTCCGAATATTCATTCTATTGCTTTTTGATAAAAATTTTGTCATTCATAAATCTCTTAAATAAGCAATATTTTATCTTAACATTGATAATGATAAAAAGTTTCGAGAATAGCGAAATAATTTCACTACTTATCATTTACAATTTCCTCCTATTATCATACTGTTTTTCTTGCCAGAAATTAAATTCCTTTCATTCTTTTCCATCTCTTTCTTTTGCCTTATCTTATTCTCATCAATATTCAATTAAGCATTAATTAGTTATTCCAATAAATGCAATGTATTCATGATATATATTCATCATATCTTAGGAGTAATTGTTTCCAGTTTAGCACATCATGGCTTTTCTTTTGGCTCAATTAAAATATCCAAGAAAATGCCTGTAGTCCAATTTTGTTTAACACTTTAACTACTTCGCAGCGTTTGATATATGAATTAGGCTTAATTTTGTTTTACTAAAATTATAATTTCATCCATGCTAATTAATTCATTCATTGCATAACTAATATTCATATCATATTTTTAAGTACTCTAAATTTTAAACTATACAAAATTCAGTATTTAAAATTAATTTTAAATTGTTAATTTGTAAAGAAAGATGCTAACAATCAGAAGTCCCGGTTTTTATCCTTTCCGAAACTCTTACAACCAAATTGCTAATTAACAACCATAGGGTGAAATAGAAGGAAAATAATGATATGATTATTCGAAAACGATTTTTTCCCCAAATCCAATTTCTTTAAATTACTATAATTGTTGAGGATAGTTTTTAGAATTCAATCAAAGATTATTTAATGAAAAATATTAGCGACTATTGCCATGCAAACATTCTTCTTTACACAAATTAAAAATTGCCTATGGGCAACAATCTTTTTAATTTAAAGTTATTATTAAAGCAGAAAGTTATAATCACAGGTAATCGTAAGAATGTGTTAAAGATATTATCACTGAATGATAAATCAATTAATCATAACGAAATAGTTCATTTAAAATAATTAAATGTAAATTATTATCAGACAAAAATGTCACAATTCATTTATTACAAAACAACAATTTAAGCAAATGGATAAATCAATTTAATGCAAAAAATTCATCCATACAAAGTGAAGAGAATAATTTAGAACAATTGGTGATAATGTTCATCAATTTGTCATAACTTTAATTAATTTATTCATTGTTTTTTTTTCCATACAACAAACAGGTTGTTTAGAGTGAGATAATAAAATGAAATTTAGAGAAATTGAAGAGAAGAAAGAGAGAAATAATTTGGATAGTTTTATGAGAGAAATAATTGGTGAAGATATTTACCTTTGGAAGCCATCAATGATTTCTCAAATTTATTAAATCTTTCTTTTATGCTCATTTGTCGATTAAAAGAGAATTGATTTTATTCAGAAAGTTTACTGAAAAATATCTTATTTTACACAAATTTCAATTCCTTTCTTTCAATTGTTATTTTTAATTAATTTCTTTTTACCATTATGAATTAATAAAATAAAACAATACATATATGTATATACGATAAATCAGTACGTTTGCTGAAATTATGATTTTTCATTAAAAAATTTCGAATATTTGACAATTGTGAAATTACAGAAGGGTCAAGAAGGTTATACAAATGAACTTTGAATAAAGTACTATGTACGGGAAATCTTTAATTGGAATAAAAATGCAGTAAAAAATATTTTCGGATAAGTCTTCTTAATTTGGCTATTTACTTCCCTGAAAAGAAGCTAACAATATAATTTATATAATATATCAGTTTATTTTACTAACTAATTGAAATGTAGAAATATTGAATAAATCCATCAATGGATGATATCTTAAGATGAGTGATGTTTCGAGAAATCAATTCCATATATTCTTTAATAATTAGATTACTTTCATCTATAAATAGTTTATGTCCAAGGATAGGTAGAAAAGAATCCGATCGTAATTAACAAAATTTTTTTTTTTTACATTTCATTTAATAGATTGAATTTCTTTCAACTTCATTTAAGAAGCAATAATAACAACAACAACAACAACAACAACAACAACAACACTAATATTCCGGACAAATCAATCCAACAATGAAATTCGAAAAATACTATTAAATTATATTGAAATGAATATTGCGATGTCATTTGACATTCATTTACATTTCATTTATACAGCAATAGATTGTTAACAACCAGCAATCTATTAATGCCAGTTCAAATATTTGCAAGATTTGAAATTGCTAGTTGAGAAAGTAAGTAAGTGGCAACTATGATAATTCTTGCAGCCATTGATTCTTGCGGTTTGCAGTTTTTATTGATATTTTTTTTTTAAATTAAAAACCATCCCTTTTCTTTCCTTTTTGTTTTTAATTTAAGGATTTTTTAAAGCATAAAAATTAATTAAATTAAGAACAATGAAAAATGTATTAGAACTTTTTCAGCAGTGTTTTGAGATATTTTGAGAGCTTTTTATCACTTTAAATAGAAGACAAAAAATTGTATTAAAATTCTAATTCATTATCAGCAAACAATTTATTGTTTTATTCTTTTCTTTCAGGATCGGTTTCAAGAGAGCATTACAGTATCCTGAACTGGGACGAATCCAAATCAACCAACGTATCTTTATCATTTAATTAAAATAATAAGATATTTTAAATTTTGGAGTTCAAATTTTTTTGTATTTTATTCTTACTGATTTGGAATCAATTGAAGTCTATGCTTAGGCCATTTTTTTAATAAATATTACTTTCCAAATCAATTTCAAGAAAAAAAACTAATCACTTTCATTATTACGATATAACATATGGAAATATCAAAATGTGTTATTGGATATTGCAACAATATCGCTATCATTAAATGTTATCCTTTCCATCACACTAATAGTATTCGTTTTGTTCACATAGTCAGTCGTTGCTATGATGAATTATTTGAATAACTTAAATATTAATTTAAATTTGGTATCAATTTTTCAGCTGCAATAACAATATATTTTATTAATTAGAAAACGAAAATAATATTTGTTGAAAAATTTTTTAATAATGATATCATAGTTTTAATCATTTATCTCATTTATCTCATCCCATATTTTCCAATATTTTTAATATATCAAAAATTTCAAGCAATAATTGTTAAAACAAATATTCCGAGTAAATATTAATAATTATAATTAAAATACAATTATAATTTAATAGCATCCTTTTAATGATAGAAAAATTGAAAGAAATTCTTCTAAATTTCAAATAATTAAAAATAGAAGAAAAAAATTAAAAAAAAAAAAACAAATATATCTTACCTTTCATTTATATTATTCTTTTACCGTTCATTATATTTAATATTTAAATAAATAATTTCAAAAAGAGAATGTGACAGCAAGCCATGTATTTTTACATACCTTCGATATTATACATACCATAAAGTGAGTTACAGTAATAATTATAAAACTTAATTACTTTGATTTATTTAATTTACTTTATTTGAAGCTTTGTAAAAATTTTAGGAAATATCAGTGAGAGAGTAATTTAAAATGTAATACATTTCATTATTTCTGTTTTCAGATAACAAAATTTTTTCATTTCACTAATTATCAGTCAGTTATCAAATTCGAGAAAAATATAACGAGCAAACTTCCCGTTATCAGAACATAATTCCACTTTTTTCATATAATAAATTTTCACTTATTTGATTTGATAACGTTTGTGATAACGAATGTATCACTTTTGATAACGCTTGTGATAATGAATGTATCATCATCTTCAATGACTTCTTCATTGCCGTATAAATACTTCATAAATTATATTCCATATTTTGTTGCAATTAATTTCAACGTTGTTATCTATTTTATGATATGGAAATTAAAATTGAATTGCTTATAAAACTGAATTTTAATATAAACATTATTTTTCTTCAATTTCAAAACATTAAATTGAAAAAAGCAAAACAGAACATTTCAGAAGGATCTAAATTGGAGTCATTCAGATGGTTGCAAACTAAAGTCCCTTAAAAGGTTCCGACTTACTAATTTGTCAATATTTGTTTTAAAAATTTCAAACATTTCTATGTTATCCTTTTAATTTTATATGTAATAAACATTACAGGTGAAACAACCATTTATGAATAACGCAAATATTAAAATAAATTAAATTAAATTAAATTAAGTTTTTTAATAATAAAATAATTAAAATACATCGCATTTCCTTTAAAAAATTTAGTTAATTTGAATTGCATAAACAATTGGAAAATTTTAAAACTTTTCCTTTTCTTCCCATCCATCCAATGATATTGTAAGAAAGTAAGATCGTTCAGGTAAAACAGGTATTTCAATTTCACTTCTTTTTTTTCTTGCTAAGTAATAAATCAAATTCTGAATCATTTTCTTATTTGGAAAATGAAAATTACGAAGAGAAACTTTTTGAAAATGATTCTAACACACAATCACAAACATAATTTCTTCCATACAATTTTTGCTTATCTTAAAATAAATGAAAAAATGTTTAAAGATTTTTATTTTGCTAATTTTTGTACTAAAAAATAATTAGAAGTTAGTGAATTAATTATGTAAACTTCATCTCTTAACTATCATTTCTTTACTTACCTGACATATTGATTGGATATAATTGAAAGGAAATATAATTGATGTCAATTGTATACACTTTCAATTTATGATTGAAATTTCAATTCTTTTTCAGATGCAAAAAGTTATTATCAATGTAAAAGATTCATTAATATATTATCTTCTACTTGTAATTATCTCACATAGCTCTTTATCATTTGCCTTTGATGAAAACATGATAGTTTGAAATGTGTGATAATTTGATAATTGGTATGCAACAAATAATAAATGAAGATATGATGCTATGAGAAAATGATGAAAGTAGTTGAATGACATAGCTGTACATCATTTTAATAATTAAAACAAACATTCAAAAAAAGAAACAACCTACTTTTATAGCATTTTATGAAATACTTATAAATTAACAAAAAGTTAGAAAATACAAATAATCGAATAAGAACTTAGATAGAAATAATAAAATTAATTATAATTTATTAATAGTATTTTAATTGATATTTTCATTAAATCCATTTGAAAATTAAAAGGTAATATTCCGAAAAACAGAACGATTGCTTCGTATATAAAAGACTTAGGCATTGATGGTATTATATTCATTAGTAAATGATATTTGTTATTTACTATTATTTAGTAGATTTTAATTGCCAGATGACTTAAATAAAACATATCAGTCTTTTTAATTATCATTTCAAAGTTTCTACATATTCGATGAAATAGATAATACTATAACATACATAATTACTCTGTGCTAATAATAACCGATTCTTTTTTTCTTCTTATTTCACATCATTTATTTTCGACAGTTTTTCATTTCTATCATTTATTACAGTACAATACTTTTAATTGTTTAATAGTAAAGCAAAAATCGATTAACTACAAAATTTGAAATGGAATTGGACGCGGTAGTGTGACCGTAACCTATCATTGATAACATTAGTATTACTTTCACTATATAAACAAATAACTCGTTTATCATTTCAATTCCTTACATCGTCACTTTTACTCATTCTTTGCTTATTTATTTTCTTTTTAAAATAAACTTTGAAAAAAAAAAGAACAATTTTTGAACATTCAAAAATTTGCATCATTTATTTTATAACATTTAATTAAATTAGCTTAAATAAATTTGGTGAAATTTTCAAAAAAGTTTTTTTCTATTTACATTTTTTCCATATTTGCGATAATACTTTTGTTTAAATTTTAATTAGAAACTTTTAATTTTAATTAGAAAACTTTTTAATTAAATTTTAATTTTTTTTTGTTTAAATAATTTTTATTTATGGTTTTTAAATTTTTAATCGTATATTTGCAATCATTGATTACCATAATTTACCATAATTTAATAAATTCTTATCTATTAAATTGTGTTAAACAATTAAGCATTAAACTGAATTAAAATAATTGAATGAGTATTAACTTAAATTAGTATAGTAGTAAACAAAGAAATATCATTGGCTTAAATGTCTGTGATTTCAGTATCATTTCAATTCAATTTTGTATTAAAAATATCAAACTAAAATCGCTAAAATCGAGTATAAGTTTAAATATCAAAAATATCACCTGAAAAAAACATTACAGTAAAATAATTGATATTTGCTTTTCTACTTTTTCCCGATCATTCGACAAGATACTTTTTATTTCTTTATTTGCTAAAGTTAATGAAGCTGGTTAGAAAGATATGTTAAAGGATAGGAGGCGGTATCAGTCAATGCGACATTACCGCTAATTCATATTTCGATAATAAGCAGCTTTTAGTTCATTTTTGTTTTCAATAGAAATGGAAGAAAAAGCCCGTCCACATTCAATGAAGACAAATGCTTTTGTAGCCATTGTATTGGCCACTGGTGCTATTACATCATGTATGATTTTATTCCCAATCATCTTCACCTATGTTCAATCATTGGAAGGTCATGTGCAAACAGAGTTAGATCTATGTAAGGTAAAACAAACCTCAAATATCTACCATTAACAGCTGACCATTGACCGCTGACTGTCTTCGTTCGTTAACAATTAATTAATTGGTTTTAAATAGCCATATTAAATACCTTTTTGGAATAATTAAGTAATGTCTTATAAAAATAGCAATTAATTAATTGAAAGTTTTGAATGAAAATTAATAAATATATAAATAAAGTTACAAATTTAGAAATTTTTTATTTGGAACTGAAAAATTTAACAAGGTATGATTCAGATGCATGCTCGAAATATGTGGAAAGAAATGCTTAAAATGAAAAATGGTGAGAAGCATTTGACAGTGTTACGTGTTAGTCGTGCGGCAACGATAATGAAAAATATTGTTACGGATATCATGGATCGACGGCAACGTTATAGTGCGGGTCTATGTTGTACATGCCAACGTGGACCACCTGGACCACCTGGTGAACCAGGAGCTAATGGTGAGTTCGATAATCGTATATAAGTGCTCAGAATGAAAGAGAAGTTGAAATAAAATAGTTTGAAAAAAAGAAAGCAATGAATTTCAATATAAACGCAAATCTTTCATATCCGATCTATTTTAAAGATTGATGTACGAAAAAGAATAAAAAATTAAATCATATATTTTGACATTATGGAAAAAATAATTTCATATTCAAATTATTGAATTTTATTAATCTAATTGATTTCATCCTTCTCAAAAACAATTAGGAAACTGATTTCAATACCTGTTGATTAGCAATTGAGTGACTATCTTCGTTCGAAAATAAGTCTGAATTAATCAATGGATAAGTAAATGGAATTATGTTCCAAAAGCAAACTTTCCAACTTAAATAATAATTTCAAACATAATAGGAGTGAACGGTATCGATGGCCTTATTGGTGATATTGGATCGCCAGGAGCAGAAGCAATAGCATCACCAGAATTGTTTCAACGATTTCCAAAACAATGTCCATGCGAGGCTCCAGCAGGTCCTTTAGGTAGTCCGGGATTACCTGGTCCACAGGGACCTCCAGGAGATGCAGGAATACCAGGTACTGATGGGGCACCAGGTGAGCCTGGATTACAAGGACAACCAGGACCACCGGGACGGGATGGTAATCCTGGAAAGAAAGGCTCTGCGGGTATGCCAGGAAGACAGATGCCAGGTAATGAAGGTCCACCTGGACCACCGGGAAGGCCAGGAAGGCCAGGAATGATCGGACCGCGTGGACCACCAGGACAACGTATGTTTTTTTTTCACATAGAGATTGTACCATATATTTTTCTTAAATCATAAGTTAAGAATACAAACAAAGAATGCAACCGAGCAAATAAAACGAATGTAAACTGCTCCTACCGATTTTCATATAAATGTGTAGATTTCAGCTGGTATAGATGGAAAACCAGGACCACCAGGTGAAGCAGGTAAACGAGGACCAGGAGGGCCACCTGGACAACCAGGAAAACAAGGGCCACCCGGTGATCCGGGTAAGGAAGGACCAAAAGGACGCTGTGATCACTGTCCACCTGCCCGTTTGGCCCCAGGTTATTAAGTGATTTGAAATCCCTATTGTTTGTTCGCTATCGAATTTCTTACAATTCTATCTATTGTGGTCAACGGTCTAACAAATAGTCTAAGAAAGAATTAAGCAAGGCATGTTTGCATATCAATAATTCATTAAGGTTCATTAAGGTTTAAACAATGTAAAAATTCTGAATAAATATCAAATTTACATTCAAAAAACAGTTCAAAGATCAGGCATAATATTTATAAAAGATTGTAAAAAATGTGTAGCAAATTTTTCAATATTTGCGATATTATTTTTTGGATATTATTTTTAAGTTAGAAATTTGAAATAAAATATAAAATAATCAATTTTGGAAATTTTGTTTTGATAGGTCGAATTTCTCTTAGAATGTAGAAAAATTTTCCCGCTATCATTAAATTTCCCAAATAAATAAATATTACATAAATAAACAATATTATTCAAAACGTTGCAAAAATATTGAAAATTAATTGAAAAACAAAAGTTATTGAAAGCAAAACAAAAAAAAGACAATAATTTTAGATGCAAATTAGAAGCTATCTGATTTAAATTATTTTAATACAAATACATTTTATAACATATTTTATAGTATAATTGTAATATTAAAAAATTCATTTGTTAATGAATATAATTTTAACATAAAGCATTTTAATAATTCAGCAAAAATACCATCGTTTTCACTGTATGAACAAATTTTTGAATTATATTTGAAGGACCAAAATATGTATTTACATCACCGTTCATTGATATCAAACGATATATTATTATGTTATATTGATAAAACACGGATAGGATAAAAAGAACAGCGATTGAAATGAAATGGAAATGAAGGATAAAACAAAAAGTCGTCACATTTTATTAATTTTAATTATATCGAACGCTGGAACCTTTCTACTATTTTATCTCTTTCTACGCTTTCATCTAACAGATGAAATATTAAAATTTCAGCCACCTTACACATATACGTCAATTATTACTTCACCAACAAAAAATCTTTCAAAAAACGCTCGCTTCCTTTCCTTTCAATTTTAACACTTCTAAAATTAATTAAAGAAAAGAAATGAATGATTGTTTCTGAGAAACAAAAGAAAAAGAAGCATCGATTTTAATTTAAATAAATTTCTTTCCTTTTTGTTTCGAAATTTTCTGTGGAAGAATGGATTTCTTTTATTTCATTCCAAATTTATCATCGTTTCTTCTTCTTCTTTTCAGTATTTTCAACAATCAATCGAATTTTTACTTCGATCATTGCAAATATTAATCAATCATTCATTGGATGAAATGAAATTTCTTTCATTTATCTTCCAATTTATACTCCTTCTTTTAATTTATCATTTTCCAATTTTATGCTTTGTTTTTACAGAACACGTATAATTGTTAAACTATCAGATCAAACTATTGATGGCACTATAATTGTTAAACTATCAGTAATAATATTGGTCATCCCTTTTATCAAATAAGTATTATACAAAAAGAAAGAAATATATTTGAAATATTTTTGTTAATTTTAACGATAATAATGATTTTTAAAACAATCACAAAATATAAATTTGGTATAAACCGATGATATCAAACATCTGAATTCATTCTAAATTATTACATTTTAAAATATATAGGTCTAACTTTTAATAAGTAAATAAATAAATAATAAATTAAACAAAAAAAAAAGACAAACTAAGCGAAATCTGCAAGGATATCAGGCATGCTATCGTCCCTCAATTAGATAACCGGTTTATTTAAATATCGAGGTGGCATTAATGATTAACTCATTCGTATGAGAATATATTGTATTCTGATTAATAACCTTGACCCAAATATCAAATTATTACACTGTAATTGTATGACAACAGAATCATAGTTATTCTATGAGAAATAGTTATTCTATGATAATCTGTTGTCATACAATTATAGTGGAATTTGATATTTGATTATATATATATATATATATTTATTTATTTCTTCCTATAAAATTATAATTTTATTTCTATTCTAAAACAATTTGATGTTTCTATTTCTAAGCTTTTTATTACTATTAAAAATTAATTATAATTTTTATAGAAAGAAATAAATAAATAGTGATAAACTAGTTATAGTTATATTTCTTTTGTAATGGCATAAAACAAGTTTCTTTTCTATACCGATGATTTTTCCGTGATAATTAATGCTTAAATTTAAAACATCTTATCGATTATTTCTTCGTTATATTTTTGAAAAGATTTGAATTATCAGACGAAGAAAAATTATTATCATTAATTAAGAGAGTTTTAATTTTGCAAGATTTATTTTCCATGTGTAAAAAGCAAATTGTTGCAATAAAGATTATAAAATAAATGAAATATCGAAAAGTTTCTCAATAATTTATAGCATAAACATTAATAAAAACTTTCATTGTCTTCTCTATTAATTAATTACTTCTTTAATTATAACATTAAAAAAATTTTTTTTTAAATCTAAGGAAAAAATAAGTAAAATATAAATAATTTGTTCATATTTACAGATTTGCTTCAAACCATTCAAACCGGAACTTTTACCATGCGGTCATAGCTTCTGCTAGGATTGTATTATTACTGCTTTAAAGTTTAATTCTATCATATGCAAATGTCCGATATGCTATTACTCATTTCGGTTACGATATGATGCAAATTTTCTAACAAATTACAGTTTACTTGGTTTGCATTTCTTTTTTTTTCACTTTCTTCTTTTTTTGTTTTTAATTTTGTCAAATTAAATTTTAATTGATGATGAAAAGAATATTTGTTATAAGATTGTGACGAATAAATTCAAAGCTGAATAATATGGTTAAAATTAAACTTTGACCTAAAGAAAAAGTCTTTTTCCGGTTTTTTAATTTTTATTCGATTTAATAGTAATTAATACAGATTCAATTTTTCATTAGGAAATGGAATCAAATTGATTGATTCATCTGATCATTGTTTCCAGCCTAAAAGATCTTTCTTTAACCATTTCAGTTATTTCTTTTAATTTTAAATATAAAGCAAAACAACGGCTAAAATTAGAGCTAATTAAATTAGTAATAGTAGAAGCAATCTTCTACTTAGATTAATAATAGAAAAGAGGTTTCTAACAACTACCGCACTTCACTGATATAATTTTGAATATCATAGTGTAAAAATATGAGGGCAATTAAATTCAATACAGTTAAATTTAATACAACATTACCTTAGTGGATTTAATAGGATTAAATTTCTGTTGCATTAAGTCGATGAAATTCGGAATCTTTCCCATTGTGGCAAATATTTGTTGGCTAAATTAAATTTTGAACACAAAATAAAACAATAGCAACTTTTTCAAATTTTTTTAAAATTTTTATTATAAATCGTATTTTTTCATATTTATTAAAAATTGAAAGTTTGAATTTTATTGTTTCTCTTATTGTTGTTGTACAACGTTGTAGCACAAATGTTAGCGAAATGATAATGAAAGCTTATATTCATTGAATTCAATGCATATTTATTAGCAATGATTATTTTCAAACTTTTCAATGATATCAATTTTTTTTACCCAATTCCATCAGTGATATCTGCTAAATTATCATGGTTGTGATTAATTAATTAATAATTAATCAGAGCTTTTCTAACGTTACCTTTTCGTTGTTGACAAATAAATAAAAGAGAAAGGGACATAAATATTAATACTTTCATCTCATTTTGTTTGTTTAATAATAATTATAATTAATAATTGGTGTAATTATTAAGACTGATTGTATACTTAAAATCGAACAAATCAAAATTTAGAAAATTCTAATCTTTTAAGTTAAAATTTTTATGCAATCGTTAGGATCATATGTTTCTAATCAATGCAACAATTTTCAGTTTAGCAATACTATTGCAGTATTTTTCATTTTATTTTGACTTTAAAAACTAATTTAAAACTTCCTTTATCTAATACTTCCGAAGAAAACAGCTATCATCGCTTTTCGAATCATACCAGCTATGCAATGCTGATTCGTCATCCTCTCTTCTTTTCCCTTAGGAAAAAATAATTAGTTAATCTGATCTATAACTTATCTCTAAAGCTGTTATTTGTTCTGCAACTTCAGACATTAATTGATATATTTTATCTGATCTCTGATCTATGGAATACATTATCTAATCCAATCACTGTTCCTCAGAATCATCTCTTCATTATAGTTTGTTATCTGTCACCTAAAGAAACAATGAAATCTCATCGAACGGATAGAAACAAATTGAAGCAATGGAATGACAAACGAAAATGTCTTCTATTGATTCTTTCACCAGTATTGATTTAAATTTTTTGTGCTGTTGGAGCAAACGAAACGATGGTATGCTGTGACTTGTTGATTTGAATCAGTCGTTTCAAATCCTCACCATTATTTCATTTCACTTCTGTAGGGTTTTTATTCATCGGTCAATGGCTTGGCAAGGAGATCGGCAACAATCGGGAAAAGTATTGGAGGCGAAAAGAAGAAGACAACACTCACCCAAATTCAAACAATCCTTATCAATTTGCTCCTTTCTCTCAGGTGGATTTCTTTCCTTTCTTTTTTCCTTTCAACTTTCCATTCCTATCATATTTCCATTCTTCATGATTCTTCCATATTTTTTGTCTGCTCCATGTTTTCAATTTATTCGACATAAATTGCTTGTCGTCAATTGCTGACTTTCAAATGATAAAAAGTCACTGATAAATGTTGCCAGCACGATTGAATTGATAAATGAGTTTAAACGGTTCAATGCGATCGGAATATCCTGATATTGCATAAGGAATTATGCTGCTGCCATTATCTAAAATCATCCCTGCTGTACCTTCCATATCGAATCGAAATATTTTTCTACCTTAATAACTCCTTTTTTGGATACTAAATGAAATGTGAGCTTTATTATCTTCCTCTTTTTTTCTAAGCCTTTTTGATAGATTTCTGAATTCCGGATTTTGATTTTCTTCTCTTCTCTTCTTCCATATTCCGGTTCCTGTTATTTTTTATGTAATGCTAACGGGGATATCAATGCCAATTTATAGTAATTAGTTTAAAAATAAGGTTAAAATTGGAAATTTAAAGAGCAACATTGACGAAATGTGATAACAGTTTGGGAAGAGATTGAAAGATTGGTAAGATATCTGGAAATGATGTATTGCAAGAAGTTGAGAAAATTTCTAAATAGTAAAACGTACAGCAGTAACAGAGATTGAAAAGGTTGAAGACGATAAGAATTTATGAAAGAGAATGCTGTCGTAGAATAAAAAAGAAAAAAATTTTTTGATAAAATACTCTTTGCTTATGAATCCGGAAAGAAATTATCACTCAAATTACGGAATAAGCGTTAGACAAATGAGATTCCGTTTCTGCAATGATGCATAATTTATTCTTGTTAACTACACGCGAAAAATATGCAAGGAGAACTTTGAATTTACAATTAACCTTTACCTTTACAAAATGAATTGTAAGAGAGAAAGTTTGTGTAATAGTTGAATTTGTTTTAATAAGTTACTTTTAGTAGTATTTATATTCATCCATCTAATTATGCATCATTTATTTTTGTCACAATTTATATCAATTTTTAAAACCAATGCTATTTTCTCAATCCTTCAACTATTGGATATTATGGGGTTAGTTTTTGTTTTCCACATGTGATATTATTAATTACTGTATGAAATTTTATTTGAAATCAATTAATTTTGTTAAAATATTTCGTATGCAAAAAAAAGAAATTCAACAATAAATTATTGGTTGAATAAACAATATGTAAATATTAAATATAAAACAATACATTTATAGAATATATTATCAAATAATACAAGTAACTTTCAACGTGATGTTGTTTACAATGTAATTTATTTTCATATCATCTGATTCTGGTTTTGTAAATAATTTTATAAATTTAAGTGAGTTTAGTTTTGGATAATCTATTAACATTAAATTAAGGAAATTCCCATATCCTAAAAATCCCACAATATAAAGCAGCATGTTAGATATCCTAAATTTATCATGATTCTGCATTATCCAACCTAATAATTCCAATCTCTTTTGAATGAACCATTAGATTGTTATTTATTTCTTCTTGCTATTATTGTTGTTATTATTTCTTCCTCCGAAAGTTAGATTTAGAAGTTCGATGATTTTTCATTCTGAAGGTAAAAATAGGTGAGTTCGATTGACGTACGGAAAACATTCTCTATCATTCATTTTCTTTTCACACTTTCTAGTTTCCCTTAATTTTCAAAAACAAAATGAAATATTAAAATTCTCTGAAGTAAAAATTTTCTATGTTTTTCTAAAAATTTAGGCAATTTTTCAAATTGAAGTAAAAAAGGATTGTCATCGGATCTAAAACCGTTTCCGAATTTATATATTTATAATAATAAGTTAATGGCATTCAATGGTCAAAAGGAAGTGGCCATTTATCGATTTTAGAACTGACCACTACCCATTGTATCATCCCTACTAGAAGCTTATAACACGACATCGGTGCTGATTCAGTAATTTGATAGGCAGAGAGATGGAAAAGAAAGGAAAGTGAAAGAAGAAAACATGAAAGAGCAAGGGAGAGAGAGAAAATATTGAATTATTGAATTTGAATAATATAATTTATACTACTTCTCACATCATATACAGCAATGATTGACCTTTTGCACTCCTACCTTCTTATTCACTTTATTCATTTACCTTCTTTTCATCTCTTTCACACTCTCTCTCCTTCATTCTTTTTCCCTTTTCTCACACCTACTCATTTCAGTAATGAATTTCATACAAAAAAAATGCCAATAAGCTCACTTCACAGTTAATTTCATTGTTATGATAAAGACTACTAAATCCTTATCACTATCATTATATACTATCTTAATATATTGCTGTCAGTCGTAGTGCCTTGAAATGGACCGACGACACATTAGAGCTTTGTTTTCTCATTATTTTAATAAATTTTAAAATCATATTCCTCAAATCGATTCCGATTTATTGATATTTTTATTGCTAACCAAATTGGCCTGACAAATGATATTTTAAGCTATTTTGATTAAGGGAAGGAAACTTTTGCATATATCTTTGATTGATTGATATGATACCCATGGGAGGTTGAGATGAAATGCTGATAATGCACTGATAATCTATCCCTTCTCATTTCTTGATCTTATCAAAGAAATGATTCCTCTCCTTTTTCATTGTTCAGCTTAATTAAAGAAAAAGTAAAAATAATTTGCACTGATCAATCATTTTTCGTGGTATCTATGCTATAAATAATAATGTTAGTGGCTCTATCCCATGCGCCATCTCACATTCAGGTGATAATATCATACCTATAATATTTCATATTTTTCGAATAACCTCCGAATAAAAGTCACAATGATATACTTACTTAAAATATGCTATTTATCCTGAACAAATTACCACTTCTCTCAGAATTTTAGCTTCTCCTTCTTTTCCTTTATCATAAATTTGTATTGCATCTATTGTTTTGTCTATTTTCGAGTTGAAAAAAACATATTAAAAATTTTCCATTATTTTTTTGCAGCATTAAATTTTTGCATCATTTGCGCAGCCTGATATATCATTTTTTTTTTAATCTTTATTAATTTATATTAAAAAATGATTAAAATTATCAGTGCTAATTTATCAGTGCTAAGCTAAATTATCAGTGCTAAGCTAAATGCTAATTTTCGTTTTATTTCCAAAAATTTTGTTTTCTGATAAATTTATAGAATTCAGTGAAAATTATTCAATAATTGAAATCAAAAATAAAAGGCAAAAATATGCACGGTGAAAAATGATTAAAATAAAATGATTATTTTTGATTTGAAATTGAAATTTTTATTTCAATCATCAATTTTTTTTCTTCTTGAAATAATAAAATTAACGATTAATTTCAGATCTTATTGATTATCTTCAATCGTCGGTTATGACAAAACAATCAAATGATGTGATATCACAAAATGACGCCATCTTACCGTCATCTACAAAAGGCAATAAATTAAGATTTTCAAAGATTTCACATGGATCATCACGATTGTCACATTTATTATCGAAAATTTCACGAAAAGATAAGGTGTCAGCTTTTATGTTCTTCTATGAGAAAAACTATTATGAAATCTTAATATTCTTATTCTTTCTTCAATATAAATATTTCATTTTATTATGTAAACTATAATTTTTGATATTAGTATTTTATAAAATATTTCAAAATATATCAACCAATAGTAAAGTTAAATGGAACTTTTCTACTACAAAAGAAATAATTTCAAGGTGGATAAGAGTTGAACTTTTTATATTACTATTATCACACTGAAATGATAAATCATTGATGATATTATTTTCTGATAATAAAAAAAAATGCCATTGAAAATCACAAATTTCAAAAGTGAAAGAGAGGATAAGCATGATACTTTATTATAGCAATATTGTTTTTTTTTAAAGAAACAAATCAATTAGTGCCACATTAAATATTCGAAATTCTACAATTGTGTTGCCTTTTTTCGTCCGAATCTGCCAAAAGTTCCTTTTATGTTAGTCAAAGTTATGCTAAATTTATATAATTATTTAATTAAAATAATTTTCGTTGTGTAATATCTATGTTGCATCATCAGTGATCGTTGACAAAACCTTTATGACAGTCATTTAAATAAAATTCGATTTTTACTATCCATGCATTATCACCTGAGGCGGAAATAGTTGTGATATTACCATTTTACTGAATGAACCAAAATATTGTTACATTGATACTATTTTTTTTTTCGCTTATTTTAGAAATCAGATAATTACTATATTTTTGCTGAACCGCCGTTCACCTCGACTCCTGATATGTCGGGAGAAGAAGATGGTGTCGAAGTATCGTATGTCGAGACAGAAAGTGAAAATAATGACGATTCCGAAGATGTCACTCCGGCTGCCGAATCTGCTTACACTAAAAGTACACCGAACAGGGTGATTTGTATTGATTCAACCACAACAACAGTAGCATTATCGGACTACAGTAGTAGTTCTGCATCCGGGAAAACGAACATCGAGGTTAGTTAGCCTAATTTGACCTTTTAGTCTATGTTAAATAAAATTCTTTGTGTTTCTTATTTTCATCAATTATTAATTAAATATTTTAAGAGTTCGATTATCCCTACAAAATTGATCAAAATTTATTTCAAATTGGATTATGCAATTTGTTTTTTCATCATTTACTCTAGAGGGAAAGAAAGTAGTAAACAAATAAGCTTTGACGAAATGAAAGTCTATTTTTGTAACTATTTTCCAATATCAATTATGACATCATATTTTAGTCTAATATCTATTAATGCTGTTATTACAACTTGTTGTCTCTTATTTATTTATACTGATAAGTTTAGTGCAAAATTATTTTTATCATTTCACTTATTCTATCACTATTCATGTATTATTCTGATTCTTATCAAAATATCAATACATCGAACATGATTATTTCAAAACTTTTTCATCCATAAAAGTCTTTTAAAAATTTCCATATCTCTTACTTATGTTATTTACGATTTGAAGCATATTTTTTTGAGGAGCAAATGATAAGGACAGGTGTTACTGCTTGCTTACCATCGGATCAACAAGTTGTACGATCGGATCAACAAACTGTACAATTGGATCAAAAAGTTGTACAATCGGATCAACAAGTTGTACAATCGGATCAACAAGTTATACAATCAGTAGCAGAAACAAAAGGAACAACGGCGGTTGTTAATGCAAATTTCAGGAGTTGTTTGGAGAAAATAAGGTATGTATTGCAGCATAATGTTAGAAGATGAAAATTTAAGTAACATGGATTTCCAAGGTAGAATTGCATTACTATTATTAACTACTAAATTTTTTCTTTTAATTCATCGGTTCAGTTATCAAATTGTTGAACATGATTGATAATACTTCTCAGACATAATACTTATACTACTTATATATACTTATATTTCTTATAATACTTATACTTCTTAAACAGTGTACACTAATCAGTAATATGCACCAGTCATCGCTAAACACTGATATGAACATTAATTAGATATTTAAGGATTTGTCTTCTTTGAGATGACTTCTTTTGGATTCTTTTTCTTTAAGAATAAAATGATCTGTTGATCAAAACAAATAGGAAAATATTGCTATTATTATGGTTTGCTTATTAGAGGATAAGAGAATGATAACAAATTAGAGGTATTGTAAAATGCCCTTTTTCCGCCTTCGGAGTTATTAAATGTATTTCAAATTCATAACAGCAAATTATGACATTCATACAAATGAACGAACTAATTAGTGGTAGAAATTAATTATTTTTCAATTCTTCACTTCACATTTAATACTTTTAAGCTATATTATTGTAATGACTGCTTAAATTTTATATTTATAGGTATATTGTTACTGTTACTATATATCTATTCCTGGCCATTTTCGTGCTATTTTGGTGTTTGATCATCGTCAAAGTCCTTTATGATGATTTCTATAATACTCAATTAAAACCATCAATGGTGTGCGGTGCTGTTGAAGTGATCGATGAATGGTTATCGTTAGATTTTTCACAAATGATTCAGTGCAAAAATAATTCCAACAATTTCTTCGAACAATTACATCATGAAGCAGAAATGTTTATTTCCTTTCTGATAGCACAGTTCCGCTTCATTCCGACCATTTGGTCATCTTTACATTGGAGGACATTTATCCGGTTATGTGAAGAATGGTTACAAGAAACAGTGCAAAATGCAAAGAAAATTTTGAATGAGTACTACGAAATTATTCGGAAAAATGTTGCAGAAAAGCGATAGCAATATGAGAAGTGTGATTAATTGAAAGGTGAGATTCTACGAATTGTACATTTATATTTACTTTGAAATTGTATGATAATATTTTAAATTATATAGGTTTGAAAGTTAGCAATGATTTATAATGATCCGGCAACTATCAACATTTATTATTTTACTGACTGTAATATCTTTATTGTACTCATTTGATCTAAAACAATATAATGCATTTAATTGAAAAGTAAAAATTTTTGCACGGAATGGGTAATCGATCATAATTTCGAAAGAAATGCTTGAATGTTTCAAATTTTAGTCGAAACATTAGATTATCATTTTTATTAAGATTTTCAAATCTTACATTGCTCATTTCATATTTGCAAATTAAAATTTCAATCTTACCACCCGAAAAAAAAAACATTCAAAATGATACCTTTACATTCCATTCTATACAGTTTGAATATTTTAAATGTATTTTCCCTATGCAAATGTTATCATAAACTTTTTAACTCCTCAATTATCTTCCACTATTTTCAGCAAAATTTTCATCATTTTTTTCACCTCAAATTTATTTTGAAAAAAAAAATGTGATTTTTCTTTTATTAAGGAAATTTCATTTCAATATTTGTCATTAATTATTAATATCATTAATAAGGAAATAAAGATGTAAATCGAACTTCCATTTTCAAATAAAATAAAAGTTTAATTTCAACCATATTTATCGCTACAAACTATTCTAATCAAAATCACTTTTTTCACTAGACAATCTAATTACTAACCTTATAATCTTAGAATTCAACTCATTAACTGTAAAAAAAAACTGTTGCAAGTCGATATATTACGGTAGTATTTCATCAACAGCTTTTCGTTTCGAGAGTTTTCAATAGTTTCTAAATTTCGATCAGATATTTATTCTGCTAAAGATTTGAAAGAAAGATAAGATATTATTCAATTAAAAAAGAAACATCACATTCTCAAGTTTAACTCATCTAAATTTATCAAAAGCATATAATTATTATGAAATATTGCGACAAAAATGGAAAATTTTATTATTTGCCACTATACTTTAATGTATTTTTGTGATCCTTCGAAATGTTTTTGCAATAAATTCGATAAAATTTTCAACAATAATTGTATACCAAAGAGTTTTCTCAAATTCAAAAGAGAACTTTTCAGCGTATCAGACAACTTTCTCCTTTAATGGCTTTCTATTAGACTTTTTAAAATGTTATCATCACTTCACTAATTGTTTCATTTATTATTACCAAAAGTGTTGGATGTGATAAAGGATTCAGTTATCGCAGAGGTTTATAAAGATATAATTGATATACACGTGGACGAACGGAAATTCGAAGTGATAAATATGGTAAAGATTCAATGATCGTGAAACATAAGTGACGATATGTGGATACAAAATTACCCGGATATGTCAATTGTCGCAACGAATTTAGTCAAAATTTCAATTTCAAAAATAGGAATGGATACATAAAGACTCCACTGAAAAGCTGTCCTACGATGAATTCTTTTATTACGCCGATGATAGAAGACATCTCTGTCATGGATATGTTAATGAAAGAAATAATCTCAATCGCAGTGCTATGAAATTATTATGCTGTGATAACTTAATTGATTTATCATTTTATCACATCAATATTCATACGTCATTTTAATCCATCTTCTATTCATTATTGTATTTTCATATCGGTCACTATAGTTTTTTCATTATTCAATTTATTGTTCACTTTGATCAAAAAAAAACATTCACTTTTCCATTCCAATGTTCTTTAATTATCGGAAGGCTATTAACCAATGTTGTTTGTCATAATTCACGTGCGCTCTTACAGTCAAATAAAAATTGGATTTTGGAGATGTTTTCCCGACGTGACTAATCAACACCAGCATTAGTATATCCAAAAATACTCGAATTTTTTTAATTCAAATCTCAGAAATTCGAATATTTCTTTCCTAACTGGCAACCTCGGCATGCAATTAAATAGTTATGATATTTATTTTATTTTTCCTTGCTGTAAATTTCATTACTAGATCGTTTGGTTCCTTACCTTTCCTTCTAACCAATTTTAGCGAAAATCTCTAGAAGAAGATCAAGAAGATCTGATTTTCTTAGTCTTCTAAATATTCAATGGACTGCACAATTTAGCTTATCACTTTATGCCGATGTTTTGAAATGATATCAATTGAAAATTAATAGATTTTAATTTTCGATTGTGTAGTACTTTAAAGATTTTGATAAGACGAAAAGGAAGAACGAACAGTTAACAATAAATTTCTCAATAAGAGAGAAAGGATATGATATTGAATCTATTTAAAAACTTGACCTACTAATTCTGGGTTGATTGAAAGGTTGAGATGAAGGATTTCATATCGCACCTGCTTTAGATGTTGTACATGCTCGGAATTTGTAATAAAAACTTCAAACCAGTGATTAGTTGACAGTGATGCAACATTTCCGCGCATAGTGATATGTCAAATAAATTGATGGTTGTGAGATCGCTCAAGTATGGTGGCATTTACGTCTTTCTACATAATACTTTACACGAGAATTTTACTGCTTAAAATTAATGTGAAAATGAGGAAGGAAACAAGATGATGATGAGCGAAACTGCTTTTCTTCGGAGCGTTTTGTTGTACAAGAATTCAGAAATGAATATTCCGTTACATTTGTGCTAATTGTTTACATCAAATAAGACTTCACGTAGATTGTTTTCGTTTATACAAATCATATCATGGTTATGATTTGTGATAGAATATCAAAGATTGATTCCAATGTCGTGATATACATAACTGTCGCATTCAAATTGTGGAAAGCTTAGCGAATGGTCTCATCGGTCGGATTTTTTCCGATATAAATTTGGTTATCAATATAATTGATTTCCTTGCATTAGATAGTTGGACGATACAGTGTGGATGATGAACGATCAAACGGACTGGAACGAAACGATTCGAATGCGACAAATTGGTATTTTGTTCTCTATTTCACATTATTTTTGCGTTTGTCACTTGTTGGAAATTTGAGCAGAAGTGCTTAAACACAGGAATGTTTGTCATTTCATGCATTTGGGAAGCTTGTGACGTGATACATTTCCGATCGCGAGCAAAATATAATGGTTCTGATTGATGCATTATCTGTACATACGACATACAATTTTTATAAGTAAATTGACGGCTAACAATTACTCATTTGTCCATTCGGTTTGTTTTCAGCTTCTTTGAAACAGATGTTAAATCTCAATCAACCGCTGCCAATTTCGATGGCTGTGGAACCGGTCTGGAAATTACTTATTTTAGATCGCTATGGGCAAGATATCATATCTCCGTTGTTGACGATCAAACAGCTGAGGGATTTGGGAATTACTTTGCATTTGTAATTTGTTGTTTTTCATTTATTCGGTCACAAACGGCATCAACTTATCACTAAGAATATCATTCTCTTTCTTTTGGGCTGACTTTTCTTGAGTTAAAAACAATGATTTCATTTTTAATTAACAGGAATTTCTGTTTGTGACTTAATTATGTGTAAGATTTTGCAGACTTTTAAGCAGCCATCGTGAAATCTTGCCCGACGTGCCCGCTGTATATTTCATTTCTCCTACCGATGAAAACGTTGAAATGATTTGTGATGACTTCAAAAAAGTACGTAAAAAGATCGCTCAATATTTTGGCATTCAGATTTGAATGTAGCAATATTACAACTGCTTCTTAGATTGTTAAATAAACTCAGCGTATTGTTTATGGAATTATTGATATCTTTATGAAAGAGACATTAAAAAGCATAGTGTAAATGTCTCTCTTAAATTTTGGTGTACGTCTTTTAATAGAAACCACGGATTATAGATGCTTCGGCTTGTGGATGCTTCGATCTTGAGATTTTTTCAGTAATTTTAGATTTTCTGTGACATGTATATATTTTTTTAATCTTAGATTGTCTTGAGATTTTTTCAATAATTTTAGATTTTAATGGCCATGTAGTTTTGCTGTTTGTTCAGTGACAGAAATGGGTTTTTTGGTTGCTATTTTTTAATAGTATCGAGAATGGAATGAGCTAAAATACCGTTTCTAATAGATTTAGACCAAAGCTTCATTTTCAGGAATATCGAAAAAGAGTAAATAATCTTTCAGAGGCACAATTTTGTGTTTTGCAAAATGACATAAATATTATTTTAGGGAATGTATGATAGTTATTATTTAAATATGATCAGCCCATTGAGTAGGCCGCGCCTTGAGCAATTAGCGTCTGCTGCTGTCCGTGGTGGAGCGGTTCAGCATGTTCAGAAGGTTAGATTTTTAAAAACTTTTGAAGAATTTGTCGTCAATTCAGTCAATTTTGCGGAATCGTCATTACACTTGTATTTTCAGCTTATGGATCAGTTCCTGAACTTCATATCATTGGAAGATGATTTGTTTGTACTGCGAAGATATAGCAACAACAGTCCCTTTTCATTTTATGGTATTTTTTAATAATTTTTTATAATTTTGGACTTTTTTTCTACCTGAACCATGCACTTTTTACTTTCCTTTCGTTATTCTTTTGCGTGGTCATTCATATTCTGCTGGTTTTTTCTTTGTAAATATCAACATAGCTTTGACCTGAATGATTCTTCGTGTATATTAAATTTTTCGCATGTTTCTGGTTTTCGACAAGTTGCAAATCGAAAAATTATCAATCCCCTGACTTCGAGTCAAATTTTTGTTTATGATATTTTACATTCGTTTCAAATTGCACGAACGAAATAACTGGGTGTCCATGGTTACTTTTTTTTAGCGATAAACGATCCTTCGGTAACTCCACAACAGATGGAAGTTCTCATTGATACTGTTGCTGACGGTTTATTTTCGGTATGTGCAACCTTAGGTGTAGTGCCTATTATACGTTGTCTGAAGAACAATGCTGCAGAACAGGTTGCCGTGGTCAGTTCCTTGATTTAGCTTAATGACCTAAACAAATTCATATGATACTATTTGAGTTTTCGTAATATAAAAAATATTCATGTAATTCTACAGTTCAGTTT